TTCTCTACCTGGAGGGGCTATGTTATTTTTCTCCCCATTACTCTTGATAAAGATGTCTACAACTTAAGTTTTGACTCAGAAGATACAAATTAAGTTGCACATTTTTTATAGTGAGACCAACATAGTAAGTCAAATCTGTACCCTCCATTAAACACAGCAAAGTAGCAAAAGTGAGGCCGTATATATAAGTAACTTGCAGCTAGTTCGACATCCTCCAGCCAAAGGAGCACTGAGGCTTTACTGTCCCCAGGTAAGCTCTACATCATCTTTTGTTTTGCTGGGAAAACTGCCATTACTCTAAATTTGGTCCAATATTCCCTCAACTGTTAGCAGCAGTGGGTCCAATATATTGGTTTCTTTGCACAGAGGAATGTGGAAATGTAGAAGTATTGCTCTCTGCTATCTCAACAACCCTCAGTGCCCTCAAGCATGTCACCTAGAAGACTACTTCATGGCTGAAAGTAGTGGATGGTGGCTATGCTGAGCTATCTCCTAGATCTGAATTTAAGTCATTTATGCAAAGGAGGCCTAACCCAAATAACCATTGGCTTGAAAAAGCATTAATTTGATACGGGCAGCATGAGGATAGAGGAATAACTTTTTAATTTCCTTGAGAGAACCTTCCCAAAAGGATAAATAAAGTTGCATCTAATATTTGGAGCCCTGTTGTTACACAGAATCAACAATTTTACATTGCTAATAGTGTTAGCTGCTGTTTACCCATCATTGTGTCAGTGTGTTTACATATATTGACCTCACCAACAGACCTCAGTATGTGAGGCTACAGAAGTGTGTATCTGACATGATGGTATATGCAGCTCAGGGGCCCCACAGGGGACAGTGCTCTCCCCCTTTCTCTTGACTCTGTACACCTTGGACTGAAGCTACAGCGATGGGAGCTGTCACCTCCAGAAGTTCTCAGCACCTGCTGAGGCGACTGAGGTCATTAGGCGTGTGCAATACTCTGTTACAGACAGTCTATGACACTGTGGTGGTGTCTGCAGTCATCTATACAGTGGTCTGCCGGGAACAGGGAGCGCGGGGACAGGAAGTTCTGTCCTGGGCTGTACCCTGGAATCTATAGAGGAGGTGGGTAAGAGGAGGATGTTAGCCAAGCTGACATCCATCATGGACATCCCTCTCACCCCCCCCTGCATGAGACTGTGGGGGCCCTAAGCATCTCCTTCAACAACAGACTGAGACATCCACCCTGTAAGAAGGAGGGCTACCGCAGGTCAGTCATCCCATCCCATCTGCAATCAAACTCTATAACGCGAGCACTACACTGAAATGTGGAAACCTCTTCATAATCATCCTGTCTCATGTAACTACATAAGCTGCTTTGTGACTTTGCACTATGATTCATCTGTCACTCATACATGCATTTTAATCACTTAATGATTTAAAATCTTTTGATGTTAGAATTATTGTAGTTTAAATGTCTAATGTTTATGGATACCTACTCTAGTATATAATAATAATAATAATAATAATAATAATAATAATAATAATAATAACAATAATAATAATAATTATTATTATTATTGTTTTTGTTGTTGTTGTTGTCATTGTTGTTATTATTATGAATCATTTAATGAATTTTCCTTAGGGTATGAATATAGTTCTTGTATTTCTATTGTATCATCATCATCATATCTATTACTATCATTGCATTAGAAGGTCACAATCTTAGCTGAAATAAATATTCACATATTTACACAGTTGTGTTGAATGCATAATCTCCAGCACTCATGTCATCATATCATTTCATCAGCTACTGCATGCTGCATGTTTTTAACAACCTCCTATAACTTTGTGAAATAACTAGTTTAGCAATAATTAAATGCAATTTATTGAAATTTATTTTTTAATTTTTACCACAATATTGTTCCCCTCAACCATTTTAAGTACATTGCTGTACTCCTCTGTCCTTTGTTTTTGAGCTGCTGTACCATGAGAATTTCCCCATGTAGGTGATCAAAAAAGTTTATCTTACATTATATTGTCTTAAAAAACATTTATTTTTTGAAGGCCTTACAAAAAATCCTTCACTGGGAAAAATTTGAGAAAATATTTCATTTAGTAATGAGGACTTCCCTTCAGAGTAAAATAAGCACACACACAGAGCTTTAGAAAGAGAAGCCTGAGAGCATTCTTAACAACTCTTTCCAACCTTTTCTTAAACAGAAGAATTAACTTCAAAAAGTTTCACTTCTGTATCATCCTCCTGTTGTAAAAAAAAATGCTGTAGTTGCACATACACTTTCCAGTCATATATTTTACCAAATGAAACATTGATGTTCCCTCTAAAGCCTCCGTCCTTCTTACTACATGTTTCACAGACAATAGCACTTTGCCAGCAATTTGTTTCAGCCAAGATGTATGGTGTGATAAATATTTAAAATCAAATTTGGCAAAAAGACATAGATGGATGTGCCACCCCAGGCTGTCGTGGGAGCCACACACTGAAGTACAGGGACGTCCCTGCAGAACTCTCTTATATACACACATACACACAGGCGCTCAAACACACACACACACCCACACACAATACCTGTAGATGTGCACATACTATATCTATCAGGATAACTTCCTTCATACAAAAATCCAATTTTCTCCTTTTTTGATGTGCAAATGACTGTGATGCATATTTGTATGAACATGCATGTCGTTGTGTGCATGAGAGAGCAAAAGAAACTAACTCAACGCAAAATGAATAAATTTTTACAAGCAAGATGTCAGCAAAGTAATAAGTGAATTTGTGTATTTGTATTAATAGATGGAGTCAGCTGAAGAGACACCTGGTGGTTCATAATGGCTGTGTATGAATGAAGCCTTATGTTTGGCTTTTTTACAGTCCATACACTCATGCTGCATCTGCTGAGAAAAGTGTGGGCTGTTTGCCAGGGATGTGATGTGAGAAATTAGCCAAGAAGCAGACCCAAGCAGAGAGATCAAACCACACACTAAATTCATGCATACCAATGGAAGCAAGTCATTCATGCTGCTGGTACTTGGTTTAGGACTGAGAGCATTTGATGATCTTTGTACTAGTTATTACTGCAGACATTCATTTTTGTGAAATATTTCACCTTTTCAGAACAAACAATAAAAATAGGAAAGCAGGCAACAAATCACAATAACTACTGAACTTATCTGCTGATTTGTTAGGGGCAGTGTTCTCAGTTCTGCAGTTAGTAGTATAAGACTGATGTGACTTGCATCTATTTTCAACTTTTTATGAGTAAAATTGGTATGGCCTTTAATCAGCTAGTTGGGAATTAATTTTACAATGTGGCTTAACACTTGAAGGCATGCCTTAACTAAAAACAGGCCAAGTAATGTTTATACATGTTGCAACTAGATTTAAATGGAGATGGATTACAAACAAAATAGGACATGTCTTTAAGAATATTTTGAAAAAATATGTTTTATAAAAATATGTTTTATTATGTTTTTTTAATCTGTTCTCAACCAAAATTCATATCTCTCAAATGTATTTTCTTACTGGTTATATGTTTTGATCACAAAATCATGGAAAAGTAAAAGGGAGGCTCATCCCTTGAGGAGGGACTTGAGATTCTGCTTTGCTATTCCCATTTTAGGATAACTCACTATCAACCAGTGAATATATGAGAATCATAGACAGTATTTGGTTTTTAACTAAGATTTTATCTCTCTGTGTTTCAGCTTTATGACAGCCTCATTAGCTTTTTAAAATGTATCCTGTAACCAACGCAATAAAGAGTGTAGCCTTTACTTGGGACTAGCTCCTTCATGAATTGATTTTTTGATGTCGAGTTTCTTTTTCTTGTTTTAATCGGATCACTATAGACATAGCTTAAAATTTGGGCCCCATATTATATAGACCATTAAGTGTTGCCTGTATCATCCTGAGAGAGATGAGGGATCAGTGTGTAGCTGATGTCTGGTTGATGGATGACCACTGATATGCTGCTTCATTCATCACCATTTAACGGTAAATGCCCAGTTTCCGGGGCTTGTCATTTGCTCTGTGATGACTAATAGCCTGAGTTGAGATGTCTGATAAAGGCAAAGTGTAAATAATCTGCTTGGGAACAGATGATGTTCCCTGTACTGTACCTGCCTGGCCCCTAAGGCAGCTTGTGTAAACCAGAAAGTAAGTGCACTGAAGTGCCCACTTTGGGAATGGTGTGAAAAATAAAGCCCTCCCTCAGTCATTAATCAGCTTGCCCATTATTAAAGTTGTCCAAGGAGTTGCAAGGAATGTACTCTTATTACTTTTGAGAGTATTACCAGAACCTTTACTTCAGAAAACTTCAAATACATAGCAGCCGAGATTTTTGAAAAGCTGCAAATAAAATACTTTTTATTTGTCAAGGCTCATTTTTACAGTTGTTTTTAGATATTAGAGTCATCTTAGCATATTTGTATTTTCCAGTGAGTTGAAGAGCTGTTACTTAAATATGGGGAATAGCTTTATTTGCTGCCACAGTTGCCACTAAGCCTTTTAGAAGAACGAAAAATAAAATGATGATGATAATAATAATAATAATAATAATAATAATAATAATAATAATAATAAATGTCAAGCTACAGTGGCAGTGTATCTGTAAAATGTGTGTGCAGAAAAAGAGGGCATTTCAAAAAGCAAAAACTGAAACTACAGAACCATTTACTTCCATTAGACAAGGTTAAAGCTTTTTATAATACACAAAAATAAACTGTATATACTATGGACAGCTTAATTCCGCCTTCCGTTAGTATACAGACTTGAGGCCGAAAAGCTCTTGGTATTTCTGCGATTTTTCTCCACTTCCTGAAACCAGCATTGCGCAGGCGCATTGTACGCTCTCCACCGATTGCGCAGTAGCATTGTACGCGTTTGGCGGGAGAGTCGCCGATAGTCGCTGTGATGACGCTCGGCTCAAACAACGTATCCCCGGGGTGAGCGACGCAATCTTTGTACACCCATAGGCTGTATCAGGTGTCAATCATAGAAAATGTCAACCCCCTAATAACTTTTAAAAATGGAGCTACACGGAAAAAGAGGACTTGAGCACAAACCAGTGTTGCAGTAGCTACTTGTACTGCAGGCCGTCACCAGAGTGTGCTGTTCTCGGAGTGGCTTCACCTAGCGAGGAAGCAGACGGCGTCCATTTTATATACAGTCTGTGTGCTCTGCTCACAAGTTGCTCGTCGGACTGTAAGCAGTGCAACAGAGGCCTTATCGGTGGATAGCCCCGGTGGATGGCGGTAGAGGATAGCCAAAGAGTTCTGAGACTGACCGACCTGCTACCCTGAACACGGTTTATCGCCGGGAAAACGAGCGTCGCCTTCAGTTTTGCGAACTAGTCCCTAAGTTTTGCACTACAAACTGTCTACATAAAGACTTTGAGCAGCCACACCTGTTGTCAAGAGGGAACCAAACTGACGGTTTGGAGAAGGTAAGTTCCCTGCTGGCACAACTCATCTTTGCTGTGTTAGCAAAAATGTGCTAAGTCATTAGAGGGTGAACTTTTATGGGGGGTGAACGGACACGATGTTTTATTTTTAAGGTAAATTATAAAGATAATTTAGCTTTATAATGTCAGCCTTATGAAACTACTGTATGGGGTGTCACAGTAGAGCTGCTCTTGTCTGCCTCGACATTAGAAGACAGGTGTTTGCAGGCTGATTTTATGAGGTGTACCATGACTGTGCGATGTATGGCAATAATTAATATTGTGCTATTTGCCCAACAATTAGTGCACATTATATTTGTGCTTTTGTGGTGGACAAAACTCTTCCACTCAGTAATCTACTTAATGTTAGGGATTATTAAGAAAGGCTCTTGTCGCTGTGCTGTGACGATTACAGGAGACATGTTGGCATGTCATAGCAGAAAAAGCACAGGTGTAATTAATCACATTGATGGCCTAATGGCTGATTTTCACTCAGGTTTTCCAGGTCTTGGGTCATGATACTTTGCTTGCCACCTGGCTGACATGGTTTTCTTGGAAAAAGTTATTAGAAAAATTGCAATAATTAGTCTTATTACTTCCACCTGTGCTTCTTTAGGTATGATAGTCATATCTTCTAATAGGCCTAATATTGTGTGTGTAGTGGATGCTGCTTTCTGGTTGTTTGGTTGACAACCTTTCTCTAAAGGATAAATGCAGATTTTGAAAAAGTATCCAGATTTATGGGTTCATAGAGGGTTCATAGTCCAGTGCTTTAGCCAGATAACATGATGTAATTATGCACCAATTGAGGCATATTTGTATTCTGGCTTTCGACTAGAGCTGACACTGGGTTTGTGACACTTGAGAAAATGAATGCCAGACACTGTTTCCTTTTCACCCAGTATTGACCTCCTCTCTTTTAATGTCCCCTGGAAAATTTCCCCTTCCTTGTTTCTGTTCATTCTCTTTTTGTGTGTTAAAGTAAACATAACACAGAATGTGCTGCTTTTCTTGCTGAAAATGTATGATTTCATATACACCGTCTACCTGGTTAAAATTCCTCTACTTCGAGAATTTGTATGGGAAGCCTTAAATGAAACATTGGCGATTTTTTTCTGATAGTTACCAGGTATGTTATCATGCAAGATGACTGACAGTAGAGTCAGATTATAAAGTAAGATTATATCTTTCTTACATCTTCCCGTCTGATCTTTTCTTCCTTTTTGTAAAAGTTTTTGTACACCCTTCATAGCAATTAAAATTTTTTGATGTTTTGTCAGAGGAGATGAGGTAATATCACTGCAACCTCTCCTATGCTGTCGCACTTTTAGGATAGCAGGTTATTCCTCCTGATTTGCCTGAAATAGCATTTCTACTTCTATTTTACCCCAGCATTTAAGCATTTAAACACTGGTTGTTAATTGTACTGTACTACTACTGACAAATGCTTTTAATCATTTGCGATGTTTGTTGACTCAAACCAACATCAGGGTTGTAGTCAAAGCTGTATGAACTTCATTTTACTGGATAAAACTGAGATAACCTATCACTACCCTGTGCTGACTGTGATTTCAGTTCTTTACAGCATGGAAGACTTGTTTTTCTTCTCCCTTTTCCAAACTTACATCCCACTTATTTTCAGCTAAACAACTTCCTAAAGGTTCTCTGACAATGTTGGCTCACAATTGAATACAAAGGAGCAGAAGGAGGAGGTGTGGGAGGCAGGCGGAGGAGGTAGAAACAGTAGAAAGCAGCTTTTAAAGCAAGCTGAGCCACCAACTGCTCCTGCACATCTTTTCTCTTATCTTAATAAGTAATGAGGCTGCCACAGGCTGACAATGAAGTATTTTGAAAATAGTTCTAATGTATGGCTTTGAAAGGGGTGGCTGGGCATTGATGTATGGCACAAACAGGCTTGGAAACAAGTGAAATATTAATGGGCTGTTCCCCTGGAGTTAATGTGGGATTTACCTGATTGCGTGGTGAGAGACAGGAGCTTGGATGTGGCTGATGGGAAGGCAGGACAAGAATATGACTGAGAGATGAGTCTTAAGGACTGGGTGATGTGGAGGTGTGGACTTAGTTTTCAGTAATCAGGATTTCAGAAATAAAACCATCACCTTAAAAGTAAACTAATAGTAACCATCGAGGTAACTCCTCACTGCTTCTTCAGTCAGCATGCTAAGAATAATTGGAAGAGGCAAATATCTGTTCTTTTCTTTGTTATTGTAGGATTTTCAAATACAGTTTAGTCTTTTGTTTCTATGAAATTGAACCTTGCAGCTGTTTTTGTACTATTACTATTTTTAGCTTCTCCACCCTGTGATTATTAACTTTCACAGCACGAATGAATAAAGCAATCCATCTTTTTTCTGTTGCCATTTCATCACATGGGACTGATGCATTAACACTTGGTCAAAGCAGCCTATCATATCAGGATACACCACAAGGGAGCAGCAGTGTAAAGGGAAGAGAGCCCAGCAGGTTTTCTAAGTGCATCATAGAGGACGGACGACGACAAAGATCTGTTTTGATACACAAGTTTTAAGTTTTTGACATGCAGAAAAAATATAGAAATGAGTTTAAGGCAAAATCAAAACAAGTGTTAGCATATAAAAATTAAAGTCTCCATGACCAAAACTTTTTGGAGAGATTCTCTAACCCATTACCAACAATTTTAGAAATAGCAGAATAGTCCACTGTTCAAGCAGTGTGCTAGAAAGGTGAAGGTACAGTAATAGTTTAAGTGCTTTACCCCAGAGACGAGGCCTAAATCAACACTGACGCACACAATTGAAAAGTTCCGTCTGAGAGCAGCGGTGGCATCCCAGAATGCTTGCAAATGCCATTCAAGTAGTGGAAAGGTCAATAGTTAGAATAACTTTTGTTGAGGGAAAAGAAAAACTTGGCTGTACTATCACAAATTGCTTCCAGACATTTTTTTTCTCTCTCTCGGAGCAAGTTATTACCAAAATTGAGTGTAGAATTGTGCATTTCACTCTGGAGTGTACAGTGAGGGATAAGTGCCCTTATTCTAAAATGCAGACCTCCTCCTAAAAGTCAGTAACTTGTCATTTAACAAAAAAAAAATAGTGCTGCCTGGGGATGAATTATTCCAAAGGTGAAGGGATACATTTTTATTGATGGAAAAAAAGCCTGATAGTTCTTAAAAGTAGCCCATGAATCATGTCTTTAATATCACTTTGACACTACTTGACTGTTTGATTGTTTTATCCACATTAGCTGCTATTTCTTGTTTGATTAAAATACATTCAGTCTAAATTAATGGCAGGTTAATGATTAAATTGGATTCTCTTGTTTTCTGAAAACCTTTTAATTTTAACTTTTAATAAATACATCATTACAAAGATCAAAGTAAATCAGTTTTTAATGTTGTAATGCATATTTCAAAACATACCCCATGGTATAAGTGTTGTAGAAGTCTATAGTATGGCATTTTGGTCATTTTTAGGACGGTATGGCCGGACTGTAAGACACAGAACATTTTTCAAAGGCTGTATGGTCCCACTGCCATACTTACTATTAGTTTCCTTGTGATGTTTCAGTGCACAGTGCCTTTGAAACTCTCCAAACAGGCTCTACTACTCAGGTTTAACGTCTTCTTAGATCCCAAAGTGCTCCCAATGTGTGATAGCTCCTTTAAACTGTGATTGTTCTTATTGGGACAGTAGGTGCAATGTGGGATGTAAATAAGGTTTCCAAGTGACACTGTTTTCTTGTCTCATGCACAAAGAAAGCCTTTAGGCCAAATTCAGATCTAATGTCGCCTTACAAAAGGAGTCTCACATACACATTCATTTTCATCTCATTTTTGGTACCAAATGTCCTGAGTTACAGTAAACCTCCATGAAATTGACCCTAAGTCACTAAGATACTCTGTCTTATGGCCACATTTGCTACTCATACTCTCACCCCTGTTTCACTCACCTTGAACAGAGTACCATTGCTACTTGAAATGAAAAGCAAATATTAATATTCGCTGGTGTTACCCTGGAAGGTAAAATGCGTGAGGCCCAGGAAGGTGTTATACATTCCCCTCTTAATGACACACTCAGGTTCCTGTTCTGGGGCAGTTTTTTTTTCTTTCTCAAAAATGTCCATATCATCGAACATTTTACTGTTCTCATGGTATTGTTCCTTTTAATGGTTTTGTTTAGAGTTTTCAAAGCATAAATGACCTTTTTTATTCACCATTCAAAAAGTACATAATTCCATTTGAATACATATTTCACAATTATGCTGTAATTTTTCATGCTTGATTTTAACAGTAGATAGCACTATGATGGAACATGTGTTAGTAACAAAGTTTTGGTTTCAATTTCTGAAGTTTAACTTGTAAAAAAAATCAACTAATTAATTTATTTTACCAGAAACGAAAGTGACATTTTACAGCCAGCCATTCAGTTTGAGTATTTTTCTTCGCATGGTCTTTTTCACATTTCTGAAAGTCTGTCTGTTTTATTCAAACTCAACTGCTAAATCTATGTATGAGCAGATCATTTCCTGTCCATGTTCCATAGTAAGACACTGAGTTACTTCAGGTTTCGATTGTGAGTTTTCAGTTATGTCCAATTTTCTGTTCCATTAATGCTATTTATTTAGTTTTATTCCTTACTACAAATAGACAGCTTTGTACAAATGATTTAGAGCTGTTGCTTAGAGCTACAATCCCCAGCAGTGAGAAGCTGGTTAGTATTGAAGTGTCTTTATGAGAAGAAGGCAGAGAATGCTGTGTAATTTCAGTCCGACGGATGGCCCTCACATCAGTGTTCTCACATTAGGGGACCAATTACTGCATGGGGAGATGAAACAGGCTTAGTAAATATGAAATAGGCTGTCCGTGGTGACATTAATAGAGTTAACCCAGAGACCAGGTGGGATCAAAGGGGCCTCAACCATATTAACCAATCTGTCTGTGTCTGTGCAAAGAACAGCTGATCGAAGATAATGACAGTGTGTGTCATCAAAACACACTGACCACCAACACGAGGAGATGTGTGTGTTGGGTGCATGTGCGCATGCAAGGCTGTATTCTGCTCGTCTCCTCCTTATCTGGGAGTCTGTGGCTGAAGGAAGATCACTCTGTATGTGCACAAGTTCTCCATGTAAAAATGTTGGCTAGAATTGTGTCACCGAACCAGTGTATCTGTTAACACACCAGCACTCACCACAGATACACAGGAACAAACCTCTTCACACATTGTGAGGGAGATGCACAGTGGAGGTTGTAAGCGGCTGGAGTTTAATTAGATTCATTGTAACATGGGTTGTTTACCAGAACCAGAACCCTCCGTGCCTGTGATACCAGATTTTGAAATACAACACTTTTGCTCGTTGGTTCTCTTCAGCTTTGTTGTCCGGATTTAAAAGCATATTGCTGTTTATGCACAGAGGGCTATAATGATCTATCATACCATGCGGGCGAGGGGGCTGAACCCTCTGCTCCACATAAATAAACTGCAATTTGGCCATCTGTTTGGATTCTTTCTGTCTCCCTGGAGACCCCCATCTGCCTTTACATTATCAATTACAGTTCAGCCATGCTGCTACCCCACACCACACAACACACTCTTCTATAATCCCCAATTTTGACGGTGTAAACCAAAGTAGAGCTTAAAAAAAGTATATAACATACTTCTGGAAATGGCAATAAAGAGCAGGAAATCATTCTTTAAGTGTGGTTTTACTACTGCATGATTTTAGATAAAAGTAGAAACTGCTCAGTTACTGGGAAAAACACTAATGTCGAGCAATCTGCAACACTGTTCAAGACATTCCATATTGAAGTATTTTGTAGCATTGTTTTTAAAATTCATATCCACACACTGACTTTCTGATCATGATTTGTGTTTTTTCTCCTCTCAGTGTGGCACTCAGTACTTCAGAAGATCCATCGAGTTTGCTTCAGAGTGTGAATTTGAGGAGACACCAGCTCGAGAATGAGAAGCACCTTTGTTCTGCGGTTTCCAGGAAAAGCGGTGAGGTTCTCAAGGGGACAGGTATGTGTGGGAAGAGGACCCTTGTCAAGTGCATGGTGCCTCATTAATATGGAGACAGGTGCTCTTTTGATGAGTTCATAAGCAGTTCAGTAGCAGCCTGGAAGAAGTGCACTTTACAAGGCTGTTCAAAGATCTTTGACATCTGAGGAGAGCCAGTGAAGCCAATAATCCCACTTTCAGAATGTGAGTCTTTCCTCTGAGATCAATCCCAGATCGAAACATCAAATAGAGCTGCTGCTTTTCTCTTTTTAAACTCCCCCTCCTCCCCTTACAAAAATCACTTACTAGATGGTATTAGACAAGCTAGCAAAAGTGTCATTACCGCTGGGAAGAGGGGATGGATAGATTTCCGTCAAATTGTGGAATATTTTCCACCAGTTTAAGCCTGTAGTTAAGAGCGCAGCATTATTGATAAGACTGTGCTCTGGGTCCAGCGATGTGCCCAAGGGCCCAAAGAGAAGCAATCCACAGAAGTGGGCTTTCATGTTCATCTATGTACAAGAACAAAGCGAGGATTAAGTCTGGGCCTTTCATCCACAAAGCGGGAGGAGTATTTTTATTTTTTAAATTTTTTTTACGTACCCCTTGGGATGGCTGTGGACTCGGCCAGAGCCATCTCAGTATAGCACTGTCGCCTCTGGCGGGTCTGACGATCCCCCACACTGCTCTCCTTCTCCTGGCAGAGAAGAGTGTGGGAACATTTCTGCCTCTAATACAGCGGGTTGTAGTTGCAACTTTGCAGTGCACACAAAAGTTTTTGACCTCCAATATTTTCGATGTATGAATTCAAAATGATCCAGTAGTCTTAACATGCTAAACTTAGCAGAGTATAGTTTTCTTAACCTATCAGAGTAATTATTGTTTCTTTGCACTTACTGGAAATCAGGTTAATTATTTCGAGGCCCTCTTTAATTTGAACGGATGTTTTCTTTTGATGGCTGACCAGTCAATCTGTTTGTATTGATGCTGTCATTTCCGGAGGCAAGACTAGGTCCAAGTTGGATTGTAGATATGTTGGGAATCATGTTTCATCCGTCTCAAAGGTTTATAAGTAGATTACCTTTTGTAATTCGTTTTGTTACACCAGTCAATAAGCGTCCAATGCAAATGTGGTTCATTTGTATTTGAATTGATGTCCTGTCCCCATTAACTTATGCCTCTAATGCATTCTGGTACATTAGTAAATAGACCTGCTGGATTAATCATTAGTTCATTGGGATCATTTGCTTTCCTCGTGCTTAATCGAATCTCTGACATTGGTAATAAGGGCAGACTTCACCTGCCTCCCTGGACTCTCAGAAACAAGGAAGAGTAATTTCACAGGAATGTAGTAGTCTTTGTTTCATTTATGTGCTATGATGCCAGACAAATTTGAGAGCAACAACAGATAAGTTGCTTTGACATCCTCTTGATGTGTAATCAGTAAGTTCGCTGGTTTAATTGACATTCAGAATCGTACCTGTTTTCCATGCACCCTCGCTCCCTGTTATCTCTCTCCCTTACATTGACCCTGATAATTAATGGCTTTTATGTCTTGAGAATAAAACCTCCAAACAGGCTCCTTGCACATTATTTATTTAGTTCTAATTAATTGAAGTATACCTGGATTGAATTCAACAGGGGCAAGTTTGCTGTGTCTCCTGGTTAGAAGCCTATTGCCTTATGCATGACTGCTTTGTGTATGCCTGGATTAGAATTAGAAATCAGTGGCTTAAAGTAAAAGTCTTGTTAATAGTTATTTTTCCAGCTGCTTTCAACTCTTTCAGCTTTGGCTCCCAAGAGATTCACAGTGGGGACATTTACTTGATGCTGTGGACAGGTGTGTTGCCATAACCTGGACAGACATTGCCTCATTGGCCTGTGGTTTGGCTTTTGTGGACTTGTAACAGTGACATGTCATCACCTCTGGGTTCAGCAGCACCTGGGATGATACATGGGCCATTTCATGTACAGTGATGCTGATAGCTTTTCAATGCAGTGTCACTGGGACCCACAGGTTGTGATTAAAAGGAAATGTAATGCGTCCCCAATTAGATTTGTCTGTGGGGAGAAGCAGGAATTAAAAGAATACAGTAGTCTTATTCTTAATGGAAAAAATAAAAAATCATCCAACGCTATTTTGTATCTGATTGGAAAAAACAGACCTAATCTGGTTTAGGGTTTATACTGTAAAGCAGTGAAACATAAGTACTAAACAATTAAAATAAAAACATTTATATTTCTGTCTTCACTCAAAGAAGAAAAGTGAACAGGTTAGTCTGTTTTGTTTTCTCCCAAAATAGGCTCTGTAAAAGAGAAATACAGAAAGAAAACGCCATTTGTCACATTGTCAAAGTCAAAAATGCTTATTTATCCAAATAGTGTAGCACACTGCTCAAATACAACACCAACAGCTGGCATAAATCCTGCATCCACAAAAAAGTAAGACTTAGTTTGTTGGCTTGGTGCTCACACATGCAGTGAGTCGCCATTTACAGGCTAACAGAATAGACGTCACAATTGCCGTGATTTGTAGCCATGGAACAGAAACCACTCAAAATGAACTCAAGTTAGAAAAAATTATGATGTTTTGCCCTGCTTTGAGCTGGTAAGCATTATGTTTTCTTATGTTTTCTTCTGGGTCGCTTTTTCTCATTTTAGCTGTTTCCTGTCTGTACCCCAGTTGTCTGTTTTTGGCCAACATGTTGGGTAGCAACTAGCATTCAAAATGCATTAGAAGCACTTGTTCCAGTGGTTGGATGGTACAATTACAGGTTTAAAAACTATCAGCAGATTTGCATTACTGTCAGTTGGATCCCTCATGCTTCCTTGGAAAATATTTGACATAAGAGAATGTAAGAGTATGTTTTTTGCCAAAGGAATTTTTGTATCTATTATATATATTGCAACTAAGTGATTGTTATCATTTACAAAGATCGTTTACAGATATTTCTTAGTTTGTGGTTGAAAGGCGAGGTGTGTCCCTGGGTTACGTTGGTAGTCAGTTTACTGCATCCCTTTAGATTTTAGTATGCCAGAGATGCAGGATGCGTATCAAGCAACATCACTACAAGTGTGGGCAATATCTGTCACAGTGAGTTGATATAAATACATTTAGAACATAACAATCGTGGTTTTAAAGCAGTCTACAATATTGACAACTGTAACTTATTTTAATGTGATGTATCAGTGCTTCATGCATTGAAATACATGCTTAGTGGCTGTTGTTATGTTGAGGATGTGCCTTGAATAAATGGGACTAGGATCAACTCTGTCAGAGGGACATGACCTGGAATAAAATACCACTCAATAATATGTCTTCCACACATGTTAAAGTGTGTAACTGTATTAATGTGAGCCTGCCTCCTCTTGTACGGGAGGGAGGCTCAAATATAAACACTTATTCGAAGTATGTTATAAAAAGAAAAAACTCTACCTACTCTGAGCTGTTTTGTTAGATTTTGCTTTAGTCCTCTACTGGGCAAGGATCATCAGTTTGTATGATGTGTGGATTACAGCAGCAGGCATTATATCCTGTGTGGTATCCCATTCAAACAAAGACACCCATTGTATTTGTTCCTTTAACCCATAACCCAGCCAATCAGCACTTGTGTGAGCCTTTTGTTTTTCAACCATCCCCAAAATACATCCATCTCCTTAATGGATCTCTTTTTTTCTCTGGTGGATATCATGGTTCAGAATACAGCAACACCAGTCTGTGAGGAACATAGATGGAGTCAGGCCACACAGGCCCTTTAAAAAGCAAGATTAATAACCCAGTTCAGATGATCTCATAGTTAAGTGTTTTCTGTTGTATTTACACATCCGCCCAGGCTGTCAGACTTGTGCTCGTCCCTGAGAAATGGAACCGACACATCCTGACACTAATGCATCACTGAAAATATTTGAAATGAATAAAGCTCATGCTTTCCAGCAACAGAGAGGGAGAGAGAGACATTACAAACACTCCATTTGACATTGACACAATGGCGCCTTTGCTCAATGCAAATACTGTTATTCTCCTCCTGCCTGCCTACAACCCCCTCACTCCCCCTCCTCTTATCCTCCTTTGATGGAGGCGTCACATGGGGAAAAATATCCTGCTCTCAATGCAAACTAATGAGATATATTAATGACATTAGACACTTAATTCAATGCATGTATAATTCATAATAAGCGATTGCCCTGGTTTGAAGAAGTACCTTTTGTGAGAAAAATGATCCTATTAAGCGAGGTTTAATCCAAATCCAAGCTGTCAAAACACTCAGGTCTTTTTCTATCTCACACTGTTAATTGTCATCAGCATTTCAGATTGATTTTTGGTCGTCCAGGAATGAGCTTTTCATTCATGATTCTCTCAGACGTAAGATAGGTAGATATGTCACTGGAGCAACTTCCATCAAACTATTTTTTATTTCCACATAACTAAGAGGGGATATCAGCAAAACCAATTTCCAAGATAAATATTTAAATGCTAGGAAATTAATTTGGAATATCAGCACAATATTTTATTCTGCTTTGCCTTTGGCTCATGATGTCTCTTAGAAACTGTAGCTGCTAATACTTATCACTCAATAAGGGAGCCTATAGTTCATAACATCACAGGTAACAATAAAGTAACACATATACTGTATAAACACATACACACATTTTATTTGTGGAGATGATTCAAAAGCTGATATATCCCCAAATGCCTAAATTGGGGAGCAGGATAGTAAACCTCACGTGTACCTGTTTTTTGGTAAAGATTGAGAAATGGCAAACTCATTTGTCATGAATGAGAAAAGAGATGGTCAAAAAGAATACAGAGCCTGACTAACAGGCTGAAATGATTGATGTTAAAAGTAAAACTAACAAATTTCCTTGTTTTGGTTGTTGGCTAAGTCATAGAGTCTCTGCAGGGGCTGGCCTACAATGTTTGAACAGATTTTCATCTCAAGTTTTTAAAGACAGTTGTAGACCACCGATGATATGTACAGGGGTCTGCAAACAGTCGCTTCTACTATTCACAGTCTACCTGTTAAGATGTGTAAGAGTGTGAAGGTGGAGAGACAGTGAGTTGAAGAGAGTGATCTAGACTGATGTGACGCCTGTTGTTTAAGTTAAAAGAGTGATCCTGTTTACTAGGTACTTTCAGTCAAATGCTTAGATGGTTGTCATAGCAACAGGCTGAAAGTAACCAGGTAACATGGTCCCTTGTGTAACAGTTACACAGATATTTGTCGGCATAATACTCCAACATTGTTTTTCTGGCTATCCAACATAATATAAGAATAGAAACCAGTATTCACATCAGCACTTCCTAAGTCGTCATTAATAGAATATTTTGCTTGTGCAAACATTTCTCATTTGCTATCATATCTGTGGTTTCTTAAGGTAATTGTCATCAGGAAGTGACTGAAAGATGATGTTAACTAATGGCCTGTGACATATGCTTTGAATTGGCATTTTGTGGCTGTCTCAACCACATTTTTACAAACCTTTGTCTTTGTGGCTGCTCTGAGCTGTGAAGTAACCACCAAATGTCAGATTATTAAGGTTTACACAATTAGTTATCTTGAACACATCAGTGAGACATGATAAAAACACTTGAGCTTCCCATCCTGAATGTGTCATCACCAGAGATGGCCGCTGTGGTAATATGGTCAATTATAGTAACCTGTTAAAACAATCAGAAAAGCATGAATAGTAAACATCATGCATTCTCATGTCTCTCATATGACCTAGGAAGTAATGTAAGGGTTCCTTATCAACTGGTTTGAAGTTCAGTTTTCATTTTTTCTCTGTTACTTTTGTCCTCCAGTTGTTTTAGTTACATTCTGGTCGAGTTCAAATTGCCCACAGATGTGTTTGTCAGTGTTATGCCTGTGATATATGACCAACGTGTCAAAGTGTGTTTCATCCCTTCTTTAACCCCAATCTTACACCGCACTTAAACTCAAGAAATATTACAGTGCCAATGGCAAAAAGAGCAGCATGGGTTGAGCTGAGGTCTATGGGAGGATGGTGCTGGAACAAAGGCGGATAAGTGGGTGGATTGTTGAACAGCTGTAAAAACGTGACCTCCTTTCTATATTCCTTCAATAATGACAGAAGTCAAGTAAACCGTTATTTGACCTCATGGGTAGATGACAGAAAATTGATTTCTTAATCAGGGTGTTTGGATGTAGGTGCTGTGGGTGTTCAGCGTTCATCAGACTGTATTGTTGTGAAATCACTGGTTCTATCCTGACCTCTGATCGATGTGTTATGAACATACATGAAGGTTGAACGAAATTACTGCGTGTGAGTCACATCAGAAAGTGGTAGCTGCTCATATGTGGACATGAATGCAATCGAATGCTCAACCCCCCGACAGAGGCAATCTGTTGAATGAATACCAAATTCATTGTTCCTCATGCAATTCAAATGGCTTTTTTGTCTTCACGTGATAAAGATTTAACAGCAGAGTATTTCCGTCGTGAAATCTATGCCAGTGACAGTGATGCTTGTGGCTCCAAAGACCATTAAAGGCTGTGCAAAGCATTGTTGCATAGCATTTTAACCAAGCAGGAGATTTTGATAAATAAGAATTGAATTTTGTTCCAGCTGTGACATGTTGATTGATCAAAAAGCTCATGGCTAAGGCCTCCCTTCTCTCCCGTCTTATTTATTCTTTGTCAAATGGTTTCAGAATCAATACTAGCCTTGTACACAACCTTTTCTGCTGCGGGCACTCATGGAGGGAGGGAGAAGGGAAAAGAAAAACACCTGCTCTCGTGGTGATTGTTACTAATTTTTCCTGTCAAACATTTGAACACAGAATAATTATTTTCTGTGTGGTTTCAGGGCACAACAGATTATTGTACAATCCATTTAGATAACTTTTGAGAGGGGCTAGAAAATGAAACTGCCTCAAACCACACAAGTCTAGCCGGGGAGGTGATCTATCAGACACTGCAGCAAATAACTCAACTTAAAGATGCTATAGTCTTGGATGGAGAGCAATCCACATGCTAGAGGAAGGGAAGCAAGTCCCTTGTCACAGTTTAGATACAGAAAGAGAGGTCCCCTATTATGTATGTCTTTCCTGTATCAAAATCATAATTTGTGATGCAGCAGATAATGCTCATGTATAGCTTTAAAGGTTTAGCTGATTTTGTTTCAAAATTTAATTATTTGACATTGGGAAGAATCTCTATTGGTATAAATTTTCGAATGAAGAGTGCAGCCTCATCCATGTCTCAGCGCTCATGTTAATGTCTACAGTAAAAGTACATCGGGCTCAGTCATCAGGTAAACTCCTGTTGTGTCCTTTCCAAGTTTCACATCTACTCTGCAGACAAAAAAAATCATCAGCCAGGACGGCATGAGAATTTTAGAGCCATAAGCGTTAAATGAGATGAGCTATTACAGGAACACACATTGTATGTTTTGCACCAATGGGTGCCAACATACATTCAAGTCTCTTCCTGTTGAATTCTTGGCTGTTATGATGTGCACTCACTTATTTGTTTTTTACTGTGCCTCAATGCACTTTCATTGTAAACACTGACACCTGCTGTAACATAAGGAGGAGGTGTTGCTCTGCGAATGTGCTGGCTCTGGCTTTGCTCTTACCAGGATGCAGTGACACTGATGTTGGTCACAACAATGCATCTGACAGTTTTTAAATGTTGTGTGTCACTGTGTGCTCTGAAATGTCCTCATCACTTGTACCTTTTGATAGAAAAGAAATGAACAGTTTGGGGATCTGAGGTTACCATCTAATCTGTCGCACCGCTCAGTGGAAACTGTATCGGTTGTTGATCATGAAGGTTTTTTATGCATAAAAGGCAGTGGGACCAGAGGCCAGAGATGAAGGATATATTTGAAACATATCATGGTTTGTTGGATGTGTTTGTGTAAGGGTCTCTCTGACATTGGCAGGATGAGGTCTGTGTCTTGTTTTACATTCTTCTTCTTTTGTTTATTTTAATGTCATCTGTGTTGCCTCAATGCAAAAACAAAGACAAGAACCACTTTAAAGTAAGTGTGCTCCTGCGAGGCATGATAAGTAACTGACCCCAGTGTTTATAAAAAGAAATGGACATTTATGAGCCATTTACAAGACACTTGAAACAAGCGGAATGACTTGTCTCAAAATTTAATGAGTTTATTGAAATTAAAGAGAAGCAACTCTATGATATGACCATTAACCTGTCTGTGGTTGGCTCTACAGCTGTAACCCAAGCACAGCTTGTACATTTTCCCATTCACTCCCCCCAGGCTATGGCTATGGAGAGCAAAGGGAGTGTTTATCAGACGGGGTGACTCTGCCCTCGAGCCAGTCCCTTTGCAGAGACAGGAGACACATCATAACATTGTCTGTCAAATGATTTGTGGTGTTCTCAGTGTATAAAGGCTTTCAAAGGCATTTTTGGATCCATTTTTTCAGCTAATGGAAACTCACAATAGCTCAATTATCCTGAAACAAAAGGTAAAACAGAAACAGGCTGTCTTGAGTGTAATAGATTGTCCAGGTGTACTGGAAAGTAAAGAGAGGGAATAGAAACTGTAAGTTGAAGGGATGGTTTTTGAGCGTCCTGATGTTGGAATGAAAAAAAACCCATCAAAACTTGAAGGGGATGTTAAAATATATATATAAAAAATAACATGAAAAATAAATATATAAATAGATGTAAAGCTAATCACTTGGACAGCTGTGGGACATTTTATTTGCTCTGAAATGTCAGTTGTCTCTAACCATTAGTGAGGAAGCTTCAGGAAGTGGCTCTCCCTATGATTCACAATTAGTCGGGATGGAGGGGAGGCTGAGCCAAACCTTGTTCTGCTCTGGTCAGCTCACGTAATTATTATTGTTTTGGAAATCCATTACAGTCCAGATGATGGAGCTGAAGAGTTTGTTTGAGGAAGGCAGAGTGTTGGTAAAGGTTTATTCAGCTGCTTGTTCAAAGACAAGGAAAGGTTCAGGGTTTTGTTTCTCTTTTCCTTTTAAATCCGGGGGTATAGTCAAACTTTACAAAAATGCACAGGGTATTATTATAAAAAAAAGTAGTCTTAAAATGATCTGCTCTTCACAAAAAAAAACCCCTCTATCCTATCTTAAAGCTTTTTGAATATCAGAAAGTTCTCTCTAATGTTCAGTTTTTCCTGCTATTTTTATATCATCAATGATTCAGCCTACTATAAATGTGGAAATCATGGTCTACATAGTTTTACTCCCCAGCCCAATTATACATTGTTTAAAAAAAAAAAAAAACTGTACAAGGTTAGCAGACAAGACAGTGATGTTGTTTCAAGGTGGGCTTGGGATATGGTTTGGGCAGGTTTTTTATTTAGGGTCTTAATCCAAGAAGAAAATCTTTGTTCAATTAGTTGAGTTGATTATTCATTTGAAAGCCAGTGGTTATAGTGGATGTGCTGTCAGCATCCTCATTATTCCTTTTAGAGGATAAGAGCGCTTTGTCAAGATGCACGATGAGCCGATGATGTGTACCTCTTAGCAGTATGACATCTTCATCCATCATGGAAATTTTGGATCTCTCAATCTTCACACCCCTAACTCTCAATCATAGCTCATGCAGCCGCTGACAGGCAGTCACTGTTACATGCAGGAGGAGCCGCAGATGAGCTCTCCATTAATGAAAAAATAACATATCACACAATACAAATGGGTGCGAAGAAGTGAGAGCACTTCAGAAATGCCCAGATAATTAGACTGTCCGGCAGCAGATTGATGGATGCACTATAATTACCTTTGTGTTATTATTTCAGGGCCAGACAAAAAGAAAAGCTGGTTTCTCTACTTTGAGCCGCACTGATTCATTAATCTCATTAATGTGTGGAATTAATATCATTTTATCAGACATTCCAGAGCTGCTGCTGGTGTGTGTGGCCAGAGCCATGATTCAGACCTGTCAGACAGAGGGGATGCATCAATCTAATCCCACACACCATCGGCTCATCTGCCTTCCAGTCACGAGATGGGTGAAAAGTGTATACAACAAATATGGGGCTGTGTTTCCTTTTGTTCAATGCCAGACTATTGTGAAAGTGTCACTTTACTTCTCTTTTCTGCACAATGTGAGGATGTGTCTGCCACTGTCAGTGTCATGTTGTTTCTTTAAAATTTGAACACATAACAGTTACTAACTAGAAAAATTGCATTTCCTTGCAGAAAATGCGTGGAAATGCTGAGTGCTGAAAGCTGAAAAAGCAATGCTAAACTGCTAATAAAACATGGAGAAAGGTATAAATGTTAAAGCTGTTGAAGGGGTGAAAAAGAAATATAAGTTGGATAATTGTTTAATTGGTTGAAGGACAAATAGTATGAATATGCTCTATAAAAGGAAATTTTATTCATGCTGAAAGAGGCTAGAAAAATGTCTAAAATTGCACAAAGTTTGAATGAAGAAGGAAATTGCCTTTAAAGGCAGGAAGGTGGGAAGTGGCATAAGTTTAATTTTTTAAGTATTAGAAAGGTTTGAATCAGTTTGAATCAGTTCAAATTAGTTTGAAAAATTAAATGATAAATCATCACTGAGTGACTTTAAAATGTGAAAAATCTAAATGTATATAAATTCTAAATACACCCCATAATGTCCTCAATGAGCTCAAATTTTAAAGCCCTGAATGGTTTCTGTAGGTCAAAGGTCATGTGAGGAGATAGGGGCTGAAGTTCTTTCAAGCGCTCTAGTAAAGGGTTTTAAGTGTCATCCCCAGTGCTATGTGTGCTGAGCCTGGCTTCATGTGTCTCATATGGCCATTAGAAGCAGCTTTCCAGTCAGCTGTGTGTCTCCAGGTGCACTAATTGGTTGCCATGGGGACCTTGGATGCATAACTATAGCAGGAGAAAGAAGGCTTGAAGCTAAGGAAACAGGACTCCAAGTAGGCCCTGACGCTCATCCTCTGTATCTATTCCTGATAAGGAGCTTATGAGAACACAAGACTCTGCTGAACACATTAATACAATTTATTATCACAATCCTCAAAACACCCCATAATATCTTCAATGAGCTGAATTTTAGAAGCCCAGAATGGTTTCTGTAGCTCAAAGTTTGTGGGTGGAGATAGGTGGCGAAGCAGACACATATTAACTGTGTGTACAAGCAGCTGAACTGCAAGGTAGACCTCATAAAGCAACAAGTACAAGAGTGTGTGTGTGTGTGTGTGTGTGTCGTTAATGACTGCATCCTAAACAGCTGTGAGATCAAAGGCAAATCACTGACCTACTGTTTGAATGAGAAGCAGCTGAACTGCAGAGGATTTAGAGGCTCTAAACTTCTTCACATAGCGTGATTTCCTTAAGTCACAGAATGAAAATAAGAACATCGTACGAATCCTCCGCCCTTCATGAACACAATGATGTCTTTTTCATGTCTGTACTTCGAAAAATGAGGCCACAACAGCGAGTTAAAAAAGTCTGAGCCTGAGTGGCGATAAGGATTTTCTTGGAGAAAAAATACATTATGGTCAATGGGAGAGATTTCCGCCTTTTTTGGACAGTTGGTCACCTGCTGGCCAAGGGGTACGATTTAATGATTTGAAACCTCTTTTGTGAGAAGCAGGACACATATACCTCCATTTTGATGTATTATTTGTGTCAGTGGAGTGAGATTTGTGGGCGTGGGAGCGATATATTCGAGCGAGGTTCTGTCGATCAGAGACGAGGTCTGCACTCTAGCTGATGACATCATCACTCTAAACTCTCCAATACACACCCATTATAAAGCTTGAAATTTGCTGAAAACCACAAGTTGCTTAAAGCTAAATTGTGGAAAAACTGTAAGAGATATCAAAAAACTGAGTACAACTGTAATAGTCGACAAGTGAATGAACATTTTAAAGCAAAAATGAGGTCTCTAGGTGAAAGTATGCAGAAGTTACAAGGTTCAGAAGGTGGAAGAAAAACAGGAAGAATTGGAAGATTTCCCCATTGACTTCAATGTTAAAATTTTTGCATAAAAAGTTAAAAAAATCAAAAAGTATAAAGGGTAGAAAAGTGAAAAGTAATCGCCGTCATGTCCTGAAGGAGAGGAATAGTTTAAAGTTTGAACGGTTGAAATCGCACAAAGTGGAGAAGAGTTATAAAGTGCCAAAAAATGGCGGAAGAAAAATAATAATAATAATAATAACTAGAAAATTTGCATTTCCTTGCAGAAAATGCGTGGAAATGCTGAGTGCTGAAAGCTGAAAAAGCAATGCTAAACTGCTAATAAAACATGGAGAAAGGTATAAATGTAAAAGCTGTTGAAGGGGTAAAAAAATATATATAAGTTAAATAATTGTGAAAATGGTTGGAGGATAAATAGTATGAATATGCTCCTCAAATTGAAATTTGATTCATGCTGATAGAGGCTGGAAAATGTTCTACAATTACACAAAGTTTGAATGAAGAAGTAAATTACCTTAAAAGGCAAGTAAGTGAAAAGTGGCATAAGTTTAAGTTGTAGTACTAGAAGTAGTATGATAATAGGTAGTTGTAGTAGTGATATTAGTAGTCATGTAAGCAGTAGAAGTAGTTTTAGAATTGAAGAAGTAGAAGTCAAAGCAGTAGAGCTCGTGGTAGAAGTAAGAGTAGAAGTAAAAAAATATTAAGAGAAGCAAGAGCAGTGGAGGTGGAAGTGAAGATACAAGTTAAGGTGACATAAGTAGTAATTGTAGTGGTAGAACTGGGATTTTGCTTGAAGAATTAAAACATACATAAATAATGAGAATGATTTTGAAGTGGGAAAAACTTAAAAATTAGACGTCCTAATGTGTTTAACAGGTTTGAAGTATCCCAAAGGTTTGAATCAGTTTGAATGAGTTTGGATTTGTCTGAAGAATTTCATAATGCATGAATAATGAGAATAATTTTAAAGTGGGAAAAAGTTAAATGAATAAAAATCCTGAGTACACCCCATATTGTCCTCAATGAGCTGAATTTTTGGAGCCCTGAATGGTTTCTGTAGGTCAAAGTTTGTAGTCCTCGCTTTGTGGGTCTTTTCTCATAGACCTCACAAAGCAGCAAGTACAAGATTTTGTGTGTGTGTCTCGTTAATGACTGCATCCTAAACAGCTGTGAGATCAAAGGCATTAACTGACCTACTGTTTGACTGAGAAGCAGCTGAACTGCAGAGGATGTAAAGCCTCTGAACTTCTTCACATTGTGTGATTTCCTTAAGTCCCAGAATGAAAATAAGAACATCGTACGAATCCTCCGTCCTTCATGAACACAATGATGTGTTTTTCATGTCTGTACTTCGAAAAATGAGGCCACAACAGCGAGTTAAAAAAGTCTGAGCTTGAGCGATGATCCGGATTTTCTTGGAGAAAAATAACATTACAGTCAATGGGAGAGATTTCCGCCTTTTTTGGACAGTTGGTCACCTGCTGGCCAAGGGGTACGATTTAATGATTTGAAACCTCTTTTGTGAGAAGCAGGACACATATACCTCCATTTTGATGTATTATTTGTGTCAGTGGAGTGAGATTTGTGGGCGTGGGAGCGATATATTCGAGCGAGGTTCTGTCGATCAGAGACGAGGTCTGCACTCTAGCTGATGACATCATCACTCTAAACTCTCCAATACACACCCATTATAAAGCTTGAAATTTGCTGAAAACCACAAGTTGCTTAAAGCTAAATTGTGGAAAAACTGTAAGAGATATCAAAAAACTGAGTACAACTGTAATAGTCGACAAGTGAATGAACATTTTAAAACAAAAATGAGGTCTCTAGGTGAAAGTATGCAGAAGTTACAAGGTTCAGAAGGTGGAAGAAAAACAGGAAGAATTGGAAGATTTCCCCATTGACTTCAATGTTAAAATTTTTGCATAAAAAGTTAAAAAAATCAAAAAGTATAAAGGGTAGAAAAGTGAAAAGTAATCGCCGTCATGTCCTGAAGGAGAGGAATAGTTTAAAGTTTGAACGGTTGAAATCGCACAAAGTGGAGAAGAGTTATAAAGTGCCAAAAAATGGCGGAAGAAAAATAATAATAACTAGAAAATTTGCATTTCCTTGCAGAAAATGCGTGGAAATGCTGAGTGCTGAAAGCTGAAAAAGCAATGCTAAACTGCTAATAAAACATGGAGAAAGGTATAAATGTAAAAGCTGTTGAAGGGGTAAAAAAATATATATAAGTTAAATAATTGTGAAAATGGTTGGAGGATAAATAGTATGAATATGCTCCTCAAATTGAAATTTGATTCATGCTGATAGAGGCTGGAAAATGTTCTACAATTACACAAAGTTTGAATGAAGAAGTAAATTACCTTAAAAGGCAAGTAAGTGAAAAGTGGCATAAGTTTAAGTTGTAGTACTAGAAGTAGTATGATAATAGGTAGTTGTAGTAGTGATATTAGTAGTCATGTAAGCAGTAGAAGTAGTTTTAGAATTGAAGAAGTAGAAGTCAAAGCAGTAGAGCTCGTGGTAGAAGTAAGAGTAGAAGTAAAAAAATATTAAGAGAAGCAAGAGCAGTGGAGGTGGAAGTGAAGATACAAGTTAAGGTGACATAAGTAGTAATTGTAGTGGTAGAACTGGGATTTTGCTTGAAGAATTAAAAAATACATAAATAATGAGAATGATTTTGAAGTGGGAAAAACTCAAAAAATTAGACGTCCTAATGTGTTTAACAGGTTTGAAGTATCCCAAAGGTTTGAATCAGTTTGAATGAGTTTGGATTTGTCTGAAGAATTTCATAATGCATGAATAATGAGAATAATTTTAAAGTGGGAAAAAGTTAAATGAATAAAAATCCTGAGTACACCCCATATTGTCCTCAATGAGCTGAATTTTTGGAGCCCTGAATGGTTTCTGTAGGTCAAAGTTTGTAGTCCTCGCTTTGTGGGTCTTTTCTCATAGACCTCGCAAAGCAGCAAGTACAAGATTTTGTGTGTGTGTCTCGTTAATGACTGCATCCTAAACAGCTGTGAGATCAAAGGCATTAACTGACCTACTGTTTGACTGAGAAGCAGCTGAACTGCAGAGGATGTAAAGCCTCTGAACTTCTTCACATAGCGTGATTTCCTTAAGTCCCAGAATGAAAATAAGAACATTGTACGAATCCTCCGCCCTTCATGAACACAATGATGTGTTTTTCATGTCTGTACTCCAAGAAATGTGGCCACAACAGTGAGTTAAAAAAGTCTGAGCCTGAGTGGCGATAAGGATTTTCTTGGAGAAAAAATACATTAGGGCTAATGGGAGAGATTTCCGCCTATTTGAACAGTTGGTCACCTGCTGGCCAAGGGGTAGGATTTAATGATTTGAAACCTCTTTTGTGAGAAGCAGGACACATATACCTCCATTTTGATGTATTTTTTATGTCTGTGGAGTGAGATTTGTAGGCGTGGGAGCGATATATTCGAGCGAGGTTCTGTCGATCAGAGACGAAGTCTGCACTCTAGCTTTTCAAATTGTCACTCTAGCCTCTCCAATACACACCCATTATAAAGCTTGAAATTTGCTGAAAACCACAAGTTGCTTAAAGCTAAATTGTGGAAGAACTGTAAAAGATATCAAAAAACTGACTACAACTGTAATAGTCGACAAGACAATGAACATTTTAAAGCAAAAATGAGGTCTCTAGGTGAAAGTATGCAGAAGTTATAAGGTTCAGAAGGTGGAAGAATAACAGGAAGAATTGGAAGATTTCCCCATTGACTTCAATGTTAAAATTTTTGCATAAAAAGTTAAAAAAATCAAAAAGTATAAAGGGTAGAAAAGTGAAAAGTAATCGCCGTCATGTCCTGAAGGAGAGGAATAGTTTAAAGTTTGAACGGTTGAAATCGCACAAAGTGGAGAAGAGTTATAAAGTGCCAAAAAATGGCGGAAGAAAAATAATAATAATAACTAGAAAAATTGCATTTCCTTGCAGAAAATGCGTGGAAATGCTGAGTGCTGAAAGCTGAAAAAGCAATGCTAAACTGCTCATAAAACATGGAGAAAGGTATAAATGTTAAAGCTGTTGAAGGGGTGAGAAAGAAATGTAAGTTGGATAATTGATTAATTGGTTGAAGGACAAATAGTATGAATATGCTCTATAAATGGAAGTTTTATTCATGCTGAAAGAGGCTAGAAAAATGTCTACAATTGCACAAAGTTTGAATGAAGAAGGAAACTGCCTTAAAAGGCAGGAAGGTGAGAAGTGGCATAAGTTTAAGTTGTAGTACTAGAAGTAGTATAATAGGTCAAGTCGTGATACTAGTAGTCATGTCAGCAGTAGAAGTAGTTTGAGAATAAAAGAAGTATAAATCACAATAGTAGAGAAAGTAGAAATAGGAGCAATAGCAGTTGAAGTAGAGGGGATAGTACTAGTTTAATTGACATTAGCGGTAGTTGTCGTACTTGAGGTAGGATTTTGTTTGAAGGATGGAGTAAAGCATAAATATTAAAACTTATTTCAAACAGGGAAAATTTAAATAATTAAAAATCCTCAAGTATCAGAAAGTTTTAAAGTATTAGAAAGGTTTGAATCAGTTTGAATGAGTTTAAATTAGTTTGAAAAATTAAATGATAAATCATCACTGAGTGACTTTAAAATGTGAAAAATTTAAATGAATATAAATCCTGAATACACCCCATAATGTCCTCAATGAGCTTAAATTTTAAAGCCCTGAATGGTTTCTGTAGGTCAAAGGTCATGTGAGGAGATAGGGGCTGAAGTTTTTTCAAGCGCTCTAGGAAAGGGTTTTAAGTGTCATCCCCAGTGCTATGTGTACTGAGCCTGGCTTCATGTGTCTCATATGGCCACTAGAAGCAGCTTTCCAGTCAGCTGTGTGTCTCCAGGTGCACAAATTGGTTGCCATGGGGACCTTGGATGCATAACTATAGCAGGAGAAAGAAGGCTTGAAGCTAAAGAAACAGGACTCCAAGAAGGCCCTGACGCTCACCCTCTGTATATATTCATAAGGAGCTTGTGAGAACACAAGACTCTGCTGAACACATTAATACAATTTATCACAATCCTCAAAACACCCCATAATATCTTCAATGAGCTGAATTTTTGAAGCCCAGAATGGTTTCTGTAGCTCAAAGTTTGTGGGTGGAGATAGGTGGCGAAGCAGACACATATTAACTGTGTGTACAAGCAGCTGAACTGCGAGGTGGACCTAAAAAAGCAACAAGTACAAGAATGTGTGTGTGTGTGTGTCTCGTTAATGACTGCATCCTAAACAGCTGTGAGATCAAAGGCAAATCACTAACCTACTGTTTGACTGAGAGGTGCTGAACTGCAGTGAATTTCAGCCTGTGAACTTCTTCACATAGCGTGATTTCCTTAAGTCCCAGAATGAAAATAAGAACATCGTACGAATCCTCCGTCCTTCATGAACACAATGATGTGTTTTTCATGTCTGTACTTCGAAAAATGAGGCCACAACAGCGAGTTAAAAAAGTCTGAGCTTGAGCGATGATCCGGATTTTCTTGGAGAAAAATAACATTACAGTCAATGGGAGAGATTTCCGCCTTTTTTGGACAGTTGGTCACCTGCTGGCCAAGGGGTACGATTTAATGATTTGAAACCTCTTTTGTGAGAAGCAGGACACATATACCTCCATTTTGATGTATTATTTGTGTCAGTGGAGTGAGATTTGTGGGCGTGGGAGCGATATATTCGAGCGAGGTTCTGTCGATCAGAGACGAGGTCTGCACTCTAGCTGATGACATCATCACTCTAAACTCTCCAATACACACCCATTATAAAGCTTGAAATTTGCTGAAAACCACAAGTTGCTTAAAGCTAAATTGTGGAAAAACTGTAAGAGATATCAAAAAACTGAGTACAACTGTAATAGTCGACAAGTGAATGAACATTTTAAAGCAAAAATGAGGTCTCTAGGTGAAAGTATGCAGAAGTTACAAGGTTCAGAAGGTGGAAGAAAAACAGGAAGAATTGGAAGATTTCCCCATTGACTTCAATGTTAAAATTTTTGCATAAAAAGTTAAAAAAATCAAAAAGTATAAAGGGTAGAAAAGTGAAAAGTAATCGCCGTCATGTCCTGAAGGAGAGGAATAGTTTAAAGTTTGAACGGTTGAAATCGCACAAAGTGGAGAAGAGTTATAAAGTGCCAAAAAATGGCGGAAGAAAAATAATAATAATAATAATAATAATAAAGAAACAGGAGAATAACAATAAGTGGAAATGCCTATCAGCATTTCCACTTAATAACTAGAAAAATTGCATTTCCTTGCAGAAAATGCGTGGAAATGCTGAGTGCTGAAAGCTGAAAAAGCAATGCTAAACTGCTAATAAAACATGGAGAAAGGTATAAATGTTAAAGCTGTTGAAGGGGTGAAAAAGAAATATAAGTTGGATAATAGTTTAATTGGTTGAAGGACAAATAGTATGAATATGCTCTATAAAAGGAAATTTTATTCATGCTGAAAGAGGCTAGAAAAATGTCTAAAATTGCACAAAGTTTGAATGAAGAAGGAAACTGCCTTTAAAGGCAGGAAGGTGAGAAGTGGCACAAGTTTAAGTTGTAGTACTAGAAGAAGTATGATAAGAAGTCAAGTCGTGATACTAGTAGTCATGTCAGCAGTAGAAGTAGATTGAGAATAAAAGAAGTATAAGTCAAAGTAGTAAAGAAAGTAGAAATAGTAGCAATAGCAGCAGTAGAGAAAGTAGAAATAGGAGCAATAGCAGTTGAAGTAGAGGGGAAAGTTCTAGTTTAATTGACATAAGTAGTTGTAGTACTAGAGGTAGGATTTTGTTTGAAGGACGGATTAATGCATAAATATTAAAAATAATATAAAACAGGGAAAATTTTATTAATTAAAAATCCTCAAGTATCAGACAGTTTTTAAGTATTAGAAAGGTTTGAATCATTTTGAATGAGTTTAAATTAGTTTGAAAAATTAAATGATAAATTATCACTGAGTGACTTTAAAATGTGAAACATTTAAATGAATATAAATCCTAAATACACCCCATAATGTCCTCAATGAGCTTAAATTTTAAAGCCCTGAATGGTTTCTGTAGGTCAAAGGTCATGTGAGGAGATAGGGGCTGAAGGTTTTTCAAGCGCTCTAGGAAAGGGTTTTAAGTGTCATCCCCAGTGCTATGTGTACTGAGCCTGGCTTCATGTGTCTCATATGGCTATTAGAAGCAGCTTTCCAGTCAGCTGTGTGTCTCCAGGTGCACAAATTGGTTGCCATGGGGACCTTGGATGAATAACTATAGCAGGAGAAAGAAGGCTTGAAGCTAAGGAAACAGGACTCCAAGTAGGCCCTGACGCTCATCCTCTGTATAAATTCATAAGGAGCTTGTGAGAACACAAGATTTTGCTGAACACATTAATACAATTTATTATCACAATCCTCAAAACACCCCATAATATCTTCAATGAGCTGAATTTTTCAAGCCCAGAATGGTTTCTGTAGCTCAAAGTTTGTGGGCGGAGATAGGTGGTGAAGCAGACACATATTATCTGTGTGTACAAGCAGGTGAACTGCAAGGTAGACCTGACAATGCAACAAGTACAAGAATGTGTGTGTGTGTGTGTGTGTGTGTGTGTGTGTCTCATTAATGACTGCATCCCTAACAGCTGTGAGATCAAAGGCAAATCACTGACCTACTGTTTGAATGACAAGCAGCTGAACAGCAGAGGATTAGAAGCCTGTGAACTTCTTCACATAGCGTGATTTCCTTAAGTCCCAGAATGAAAATAAGAACATCGTACGAATCCTCCGCCCTTCATGAACACAATGATGTCTTTTTCATGTCTGTACTCCGAAAAATGTGGCCACAACAGCGAGTTAAAAAAGTCTGAGCCTGAGTGACGATAAGGATTTTCTTGGAGAAGAAATACATTAGGGCCAATGGGGAGATATTTGCGCCTATCTGGACAGTTGGTCACCTGCTGGCCAAGGGGTACGATTTAATGATTTGAAACCTCTTTTGTGAGAAGCAGGACACATATACCTCCATTTTGATGTATTATTTGTGTCAGTGGAGTGAGATTTGTGGGCGTGGGAGCGATATATTCGAGCGAGGTTCTGTCGATCAGAGACGAGGTCTGCACTCTAGCTGATGACATCATCACTCTAAACTCTCCAATACACACCCATTATAAAGCTTGAAATTAGCTGAAAAACACAAGTTGCATAAAGCTAAATTGTGGAAAAACTGTAAAAGATATCAAAAAACTGAGTACAACTATAATAGTCGACAAGTGAATGAACATTTTAAAGCAAAAATGAGGTCTCTAGGTGAAAGTATGCTGAAGTTATAAGGTCTAGAAGGTGGAAGAATGAAAGGAAGAAGTTGAAGATTTCCTCATTGACTTCAATGTTAAAATTTTTGCACAAAAAGTTAAAAAAAACAAAAAGTATAAAGGGTAGAAAGAAAAAAAATACACGCCATCATGTCCTGAAGGAGTGGAATAGTTTAAAGTTTGAATGGTTGAAATCGGACAAAGTTTGAAGGAGGAGAAGCGCGGCAAAAATCGGCGGAAGAATAATAATAACTAGAAAAATTGCATTTCCTTGCAGAAAATGCGTGGAAATGCTGAGTGCTGAAAGCTGAAAAAGCAATGCTAAACTGCTAATAAAACATGGAGAAAGGTATAAATGTTAAGGCTGTTGAAGGAGTGAAAAAGAAATATAGGTTGGACAATTGTTTAATTGGTTGAAGGACAAATAGTATGAATATGCTCTATAAAAGGAAATTTTATTCATGCTGAAAGAGGCTAGAAAAATGTCTAAAATTGCACAAAGTTTGAATGAAAAAGGAAATTGCCTTAAAAGGCAGGAAGGTGAGAAGTGGAATAAGTCTAAGTTTTTATGTATTAGAAAGGTTTGAATCAGTTTGAATGAGTTTAAATTAGTTAGAAAAATTAAATGATAAATCATCACCGAGTGACTTATAAAAGTGAAAAATTTAAATGAATATAAATCTGAATACACTCCATAGTGTCCTCAATGAGCTTAAATTTTAAAGTCCTGAATGGTTTCTGTAGGTCAAAGGTCATGTGAGGACATAGGGGCTGACGTTTTTTCAAACGCTCTAGGAAAGGGTTTTAAGTGTCATCCCCAGTGCTATGTGTACTGAGCTTGGCTTCATGTGTCTCATATGGCCATTAGAAGCAGCTTTCCAGTCAGCTGTGTGTCTCCAGGTGCACAAATTGGTTGCCATGGGGACCTTGGATGCATGACTTTAGCAGGAGAAAGAAGGCTTGAAGCTAAGGAAACAGGACTCCAAGTAGGCCCTGACGCTCATCCTCTGTATATATATTAATAAGGAGCTTGTGAGAACACAAGACTCTGCTGAACACATTAATACAATTTATTATCACAATCCTCAAAACACCCCATAATATCTTCAGTGAGCTGAATATTTGAAGCCCAGAATGGTTTCTGTAGCTCAAAGTTTGTGGGTGGAGATAGGTGGCGAAGCAGACACATATCAACTGTGTGTACAAGCAGCTCAACTGCAAGGTAGACCTCATAAAGCAACAAGTACAAGAATGTGTGTGTGTGTGTGTGTGTGTCTCGTTAATGACTGCATCCTAAACAGCTGTGAGATCAAAGGCAAATCACTAACCTACTGTTTGACTGAGAGGTGCTGAACTGCAGTGAACTTAGGGCCTGTGAACTTCTTCACATAGCGTGATTTCCTTAAATCCCAGAATGAAAATAAGAACATTGTACGAATCCTCCGTCCTTCATGAACACAATGATGTGTTTTTTATGTCTCTACTCCGAAAAATGTGGCCACAACAGCGAGTTAAAAAGTCTGAGCCTGAGTGGCGATAAGGATTTTCTTGGAGAAAAAATACATTAGGGCCAATGGGGAGAGATTTCCGCCTATTTGGACAGTTGGTCACCTGCTGGCCAAGGGGTAGGATTTAATGATTTGAAACCTCTTTTGTGAGAAGCAGGACACATATACCTCCATTTTGATGTATTTTTTATGGCTGTGGAGTGAGATTTGTGGGCGTGGGAGCGATATATTCAAGCGAGGTTCTGTCGATCAGGGAGGAGGTCTGCACTCTAGCTTTTCAAATCCTCACTCTAGCCTCTCCAATACACCCCTATTGTAAAGCCTGAAATTTGCTGAAAACCACAAGTTGCATAAAGCTAAACTGTGGAAAAACTGTAAAAGATAGCACAAAGAGGTTAATACAACATCAATAGTCGACAAGACAATGAACATTTTAAAGCAAAAATGAGGTCTCTAGGTGAAAGTATGCTGAAGTTATAAGGCTTAGAAGGTGGACGAATAACAGGAAGAAGTGGAAGATTTCCCCATTCATTCCTATGGGAAAAAAAGTTTGGCACAAAAAGTGAAAAATAATAAAAAGTACAAAGGATAGAAAGGAAAAAAATACAAGCACACATGTCCTGATGGAGTGGAATAGTTTAAAGTTTAAACGGTTGAAATCGGACAAATTTTGAAGGAGGAGAAGCGGTCCAAAGAAATGTATGGGGAGAGTGTTAAGTATAATACTAGAAAAATTGCATTTCCTTGCAGAAAATGCGTGGAAATGCTGAGTGCTGAAAGCTGAAAAAGCAATGCTAAACTGCTAATAAAACATGGAGAAAGGTATAAATGTTAAAGCTGTTGAAGGGGTGAAAAAGAAATATAAGTTGGATAATGGTCTAATTGGTTGAAGGACAAATAGTATGAATATGCTCTATAAATGGAAGTTTTATTCATGCTGAAAGAGGCTAGAAAAATGTCTACAATTGCACAAAGTTTGAATGAAGAAGGAAACTTCCTTAAAAGGCAGGAAGGTGAGAAGTGGCATAAGTTTAAGTTGTAGTACTAGAAGTAGTATAATAGGTCAAGTCGTGATACTAGTAGTCATGTCAGCAGTAGAAGTAGTTTGAGAATAAAAGAAGTATAAGTCACAATAGTAGAGAAAGTAGAAATAGGAGCAATAGCAGTTGAAGTAGAGGGGATAGTACTAGTTTAATTGACATTAGCGGTAGTTGTCGTACTTGAGGTAGGATTTTGTTTGAAGGATGGAGTAATGCATAAATATTAAAACTTATTTCAAACAGGGAAAATTGAAATAATTAAAAATCCTCAAGAATCAGAAAGTTTTTAAGTATTAGAAAGGTTTGAATCAGTTTGAATGAGTTTCAATTAGTTTGAAAAAATAAATGATAAATCATCACTGAGTGACTTTAAAATGTGAAAAATTTAAATGAATATAAATCCTAAATACACCCCATAATGTCCTCAATGAGCTTAAATTTTAAAGCCCTGAATGGTTTCTGTAGGTCAAAGGTCATGTGAGGAGATAGGGGCTGAAGTTTTTTCAAGCGCTCTAGGAAAGGGTTTTAAGTGTCATCCCCAGTGCTGTGTGTACTGAGCCTGGCTTCATGTGTCTCATATGGCCATTAGAAGCAGCTTTCCAGTCAGCTGTGTGTCTCCAGGTGCACAAGTTGGTTGCCATGGGGACCTTGGATGCATAACTATAGCAGGAGAAAGAAGGCTTGAAGCTAAAGAAACAGGACTCCAAGTAGGCCCTGACGCTCACCCTCTGTATATATTCATAAGGAGCTTGTGAGAACACAAGACTCTGCTGAACACATTAATACAATTTATTATCACAATCCTCAAAACACCCCATAATATCTTCAATGAGCTGAATTTTTGAAGCCCAGAATGGTTTCTGTAGCTCAAAGTTTGTGGGTGGAGATAGGTGGTAAAGCAGACACATATTAACTGTGTGTAAAAGCAGCTGAACTGCAAGGTGGACCTCAAAAAGCAACAAGTACAAGAATGTGTGTGCGTGTGTGTGTGTGTGTGTGTCTCGTTAATGACTGCATCCTAAACAGCTGTGAGATCAAAGGCAAATCACTGACCTACTGTTTGACTGAGAGGTGCTGAACTGCAGTGAATTAAGGGTTCTGAACTTCTTCACATAGCACGATTTCCTTAAGTCCCAGAATGAAAATAAGAACATCGTACAAATCCTCCGCCCTTCATGAACACAATGATGTGTTTTTCATGTCTGTACTCCGAAAAATGTGGCCACAACAGCGAGTTAAAAAAGTCTGAGCCTGAGTGGCGATAAGGATTTTCTTGGAGAAAAAATACATTAGAGCCAATGGGGAGAGATTTCCGCCTATTTGGACAGTTGGTCACCTGCTGGCCAAGGGGTAAGATTTAATGATTTGAAACCTCTTTTGTGAGAAGCAGGACACATATACCTCCATTTTGATGTATTTTTTATGGCTGTGGAGTGAGATTTGTGGGCGTGGGAGCGATATATTCGAGCGAGGTTCTGTCGATCAGAGAGGAGGTCTGCACTCTAGCTTTTCAAATCATCACTCTAGCCTCTCCAATACACCCCTATTATAAAGCCTGAAATTAGCTGAAAACCACAAGTTGCATAAAGCTAAATTGTGGAAAAACTGTAAAAGATAGCACAAAAAGGTTAATACAACATCAATAGTCGACAAGACAATGAACATTTTAAAGCAAAAATGAGGTCTCTAGGTGAAAGTATGCTGAAGTTATAAGGCTTAGAAGGTGGACGAATAACAGGAAGAATTGGAAGATTTCCCCATTCATTTCTATGGGAAAAAAAGTTTGGCACAAAAAGTGAAAAATAATAAAAAGTATAAAGGATAGAAAAGAGAAAAGTAATAGCCATCATGTCCTGAAGGAGTGGAATAGTTTAAAGTTTGAACGGTTGAAATCGGACAAAGTTTGAAGGAGGAGAAGCGGTCCAAAGAAACGTATGGGGAGAGTGTTAAGTATAATACTAGAAAAATTGCATTTCCTTGCAGAAAATGCGTGGAAATGCTGAGTGCTGAAAGCTGAAAAAGCAATGCTAAACTGCTAATAAAACATGGAGAAATGTATAAATGTTAAAGCTGTTGAAGGGGTGTGAAAGAAATGTAAGTTGGATAATTGATTAATTGGTTGAAGGACAAATAGTATGAATATGCTCTATAAAAAGAAATTTTATTCATGCTGAAAGAGGCTAGAAAAATGTCTAAAATTGCACAAAGTTTGAATGAAGAAGGAAATTGCCTCAAAAGGCAGGAAAGTGAGAAGTGGTATAAGATTAATTTTTTAAGTATTAGAAAGGTTTGAATCAGTTTAAATGAGTTCAAATTAGTTTGAATAATTAAATGATAAATCATCACTGACTGACTTTTAAAATGTGAAAAATTTAAATGAATAACAATCCTAAATACACCCAATAATGTCCTCAATGAGCTCAAATTTTAAAGCCCTGAATGGTTTCTGTAGGTCAAAGGTCATGTGAGGAGATAGGGGCTGAAGGTTTTTCAAGCGCTCTAGGAAAGGGTTTTAAGTGTCATCCCCAGTGCTATGTGTGCTGAGCCTAGCTTCATGTGTCTCATATGGCCATTAGAAGCAGCTTTCCAGTCAGCTGTGTGTCTCCAGGTGCACTAATTGGTTGCCATGGGGACCTTGGATGCATAACTATAGCAGGAGAAAGAAGGCTTGAAGCTAAGGAAACAGGGCTCCAAGTAGGCCCTGACGCTCATCCTCTGTATCTATTCCTGATAAGGAGCTTGTGAGAACACAAGACTCTGCTAAACACATTAATACAATTTATTATCACAATCCTCAAAACACCCCATAATATCTTCAATGAGCTGAATTTTAGAAGCCCAGAATGGTTTCTGTAGCTCAAAGTTTGTGGGTGGAGATAGGTGGCGAAGCAGACACATATTAACTGTGTGTACAAGCAGCTGAACTGCAAGGTAGACCTCATAAAGCAACAAGTACAAGAATGTGTGTGTGTGTGTGTGTGTGTCTCGTTAATGACTGCATCCTAAACAGCTGTAAGATCAAAGCCATGAACTGACCTATTGTTTGAATGGAGAAGCTGCTGAACTGCAGTGAATTTAGGGTTCTGAACTTCTTCACATAGCACGATTTCCTTAAGTCCCAGAATGAAAATAAGAACATCGTACAAATCCTCCGCCCTTCATGAACACAATGATGTGTTTTTCATGTCTGTACTCCGAAAAATGTCGCCACAACAGCGAGTTAAAAAAGTCTGAGCCTGAGTGGCGATAAGGATTTTCTTGGAGAAAAAATACATTAGAGCCAATGGGGAGAGATTTCCACCTATTTGGACAGTTGGTCACCTGCTGGCCAAGGGGTAAGATTTAATGATTTGAAACCTCTTTTGTGAGAAGCAGGACACATATACCTCCATTTTGATGTATTTTTTATGGCTGTGGAGTGAGATTTGTGGGCGTGGGAGCGATATATTCGAGCGAGGTTCTGTCGATCAGAGAGGAGGTCTGCACTCTAGCTTTTCAAATCATCACTCTAGCCTCTCCAATACACCCCTATTATAAAGCCTGAAATTAGCTGAAAACCACAAGTTGCATAAAGCTAAATTGTGGAAAAACTGTAAAAGATAGCACAAAAAGGTTAATACAACATCAATAGTCGACAAGACAATGAACATTTTAAAGCAAAAATGAGGTCTCTAGGTGAAAGTATGCTGAAGTTATAAGGCTTAGAAGGTGCACGAATAACAGGAAGAATTGGAAGATTTCCCCATTCATTTCTATGGGAAAAAAGTTTGGAACAAAAAGTGAAAAATAATAAAAAGTACAGAGGATAGAAAGGAAAAAAATACAAGCACACATGTCCTGATGGAGTGGAATAGTTTAAAGTTTGAACGGTTGAAATCGGACAAAGTTTGAAGGAGGAGAAGCGGTCCAAAGAAACGTATGGGGAGAGTGTTAAGTATAATACTAGAAAAATTGCATTTCCTTTCAGAAAATGCGTGGAAATGCTGAGTGCTGAAAGCTGAAAAAGCAATGCTAAACTGCTAATAAAACATGGAGAAAGGTATAAATGTTAAAGCTGTTGAAGGGGTGAAAAAGAAATATAAGTTGGATAATGGTCTAATTGGTTGAAGGACAAATAGTATGAATATGCTCTATAAATGGAAGTTTTATTCATGCTGAAAGAGGCTAGAAAAATGTCTACAATTGCACAAAGTTTGAATGAAGAAGGAAACTGCCTTAAAAGGCAGGAAGGTGAGAAGTGGCATAAGTTTAAGTTGTAGTACTAGAAGTAGTATAATAGGTCAAGTCGTGATACTAGTAGTCATGTCAGCAGTAGAAGTAGTTTGAGAATAAAAGAAGTATAAGTCACAATAGTAGAGAAAGTAGAAATAGGAGCAATAGTAGTTGAAGTAGAGGGGATAGTACTAGTTTAATTGACATTAGCGGTAGTTGTCGTACTTGAGGTAGGATTTTGTTTGAAGGATGGAGTAATGCATAAATATTAAAACTTATTTCAAACAGGGAAAATTGAAATAATTAAAAATCCTCAAGAATCAGAAAGTTTTTAAGTATTAGAAAGGTTTGAATCAGTTTGAATGAGTTTCAACTAGTTTGAAAAATAAATGATAAATCATCACTGAGTGACTTTAAAATGTGAAAAATTTAAATGAATATAAATCCTAAATACACCCCATAATGTCCTCAATGAGCTTAAATTTTAAAGCCCTGAATGGTTTCTGTAGGTCAAAGGTCATGTGAGGAGATAGGGGCTGAAGTTTTTTCAAGCACTCTAGGAAAGGGTTTTAAGTGTCATCCCCAGTGCTATGCGTACTAAGCCTGGCTTCATGTGTCTCATATGGCCATTAGAAGCAGCTTTCCAGTCAGCTGTGTGTCTCCAGGTGCACAAATATGTTGCCATGGGGACCTTGGATGCATAACTATAGCCGGAGAAAGAAGGCTTGAAGCTAAAGAAACAGGACTCCAAGTAGGCCCTGACGCTCACCCTCTGTATATATTCATAAGGAGCTTGTGAGAACACAAGACTCTGCTGAACACATTAATACAATTTATTATCACAATCCTCAAAACACCCCATAATGTCTTCAATGAGCTGAATTTTTGAAGCCCAGAATGGTTTCTGTAGCTCAAAGTTTGTGGGTGGAGATAGGTGGTGAAGCAGACACATATTAACTGTGTGTACAAGCAGCTGAACTGCAAGGTGGACCTCAAAAAGCAACAAGTACAAGAATGTGTGTGCGTGTGTGTGTGTGTGTGTGTGTCTCGTTAATGACTGCATCCTAAACAGCTGTGAGATCAAAGGCAAATCACTAACCTACTGTTTGACTGAGAGGTGCTGAACTGCAGTGAATTTCAGCCTGTGAACTTCTTCACATAGCGTGATTTCCTTAAGTCCCAGAATGAAAATAAGAACATCGTACGAATCCCCCGTCCTTCATGAACACAATGATGTGTTTTTCATGTCTCTACTTCGAAAAATGAGGCCACAACAGCGAGTTAAAAAAGTCTGAGCCTGAGCGATGATCCGGATTTTCTTGGAGAGAAATAACATTACAGTCAATGGGAGAGATTTCCGCCTTTTTTGGACAGTTGGTCACCTGCTGGCCAAGGGGTACGATTTAATGATTTGAAACCTCTTTTGTGAGAAGCAGGACACATATACCTCCATTTTGATGTATTATTTGTGTCAGTGGAGTGAGATTTGTGGGCGTGGGAGCGATATATTCGAGCGAGGTTCTGTCGATCAGAGACGAGGTCTGCACTCTAGCTGATGACATCATCACTCTAAACTCTCCAATACACACCCATTATAAAGCTTGAAATTTGCTGAAAACCACAAGTTGCTTAAAGCTAAATTGTGGAAGAACTGTAGAAGATATCAAAAAACTGAGTACAACTATAATAGTCGACAAGTGAATGAACATTTTAAAGCAAAAATGAGGTCTCTAGGTGAAAGTATGCTGAAGTTATAAGACTTTGAAGGTGGAAGAAAAAAAGGAAGAAGTGGAAGATTTCCCCATTGACTTCAATGTTAAAATTTTTGCACAAAAAGTTAAAAATATCAAAAAGTATAAAGGGTAGAAGAGTAAAAAGTAATAGCCATCATGTCCTGAAGGAGTGGAATAGTTTAAAGTTTGAACGGTTGAAATCGGACAAAGTTTGAAGGAGGAGAAGCGCGGCAAAAAACGGCGGAAGAATAATAAGAAGAATAAAGAAACAGGAGAATAACAATAAGTGGAAATGCTTAATCAGCATTTCCACTTAATAACTAGAAAAATTGCATTTCCTTGCAGAAAATGCGTGGAAATGCTGAGTGCTGAAAGCTGAAAAAGCAATGCTAAACTGCTAATAAAACATGGAGAAATGTATAAATGTTAAAGCTGTTGAAGGGGTGTGAAAGAAATGTAAGTTGGATAATTGATTAATTGGTTGAAGGACAAATAGTATGAATATGCTCTATAAAAAGAAATTTTATTCATCCTGAAAGAGGCTAGAAAAATGTCTAAAATTGCACAAAGTTTGAATGAAGAAGGAAATTGCCTTTAAAGGCAGGAAGGTGAGAAGTGGCATAAGTTTAAGTTGTAGTACTAGAAGAAGTATGATAAGAAGTCAAGTCGTGATACTAGTAGTCATGTCAGCAGTAGAAGTAGATTGAGAATAAAAGAAGTATAAGTCAAAGTAGTAAAGAAAGTAGAAATAGTAGCAATAGCAGCAGTAGAGAAAGTAGAAATAGGAGCAATAGCAGTTGAAGTAGAGGGGAAAGTTCTAGTTTAATTGACATAAGTAGTTGTAGTACTAGAGGTAGGATTTTGTTTGAAGGACGGATTAATGCATAAATATTAAAAATAATATAAAACAGGGAAAATTTTATTAATTAAAAATCCTCAAGTATCAGACAGTTTTTAAGTATTAGAAAGGTTTGAATCATTTTGAATGAGTTTAAATTAGTTTGAAAAATTAAATGATAAATTATCACTGAGTGACTTTAAAATGTGAAACATTTAAATGAATATAAATCCTAAATACACCCCATAATGTCCTCAATGAGCTTAAATTTTAAAGCCCTGAATGGTTTCTGTAGGTCAAAGGTCATGTGAGGAGATAGGGGCTGAAGGTTTTTCAAGCGCTCTAGGAAAGGGTTTTAAGTGTCATCCCCAGTGCTATGTGTACTGAGCCTGGCTTCATGTGTCTCATATGGCCATTAGAAGCAGCTTTCCAGTCAGCTGTGTGTCTCCAGGTGCACAAATTGGTTGCCATGGGGACCTTGGATGAATAACTATAGCAGGAGAAAGAAGGCTTGAAGCTAAGGAAACAGGAGTCCAAGTAGGCCCTGACGCTCATCCTCTGTATCTATTCCTGATAAGGAGCTTGTGAGAACACAAGACTCTGCTAAACACATTAATACAATTTATTATCACAATCCTCAAAACACCCCATAATATCTTCAATGAGCTGAATTTTTGAAGCCCAGAATGGTTTCTGTAGCTCAAAGTTTGTGGGTGGGGATAGGTGGCGAAGCAGACACATATTAACTGTGTGTACAAGCAGCTGAACTGCAAGGTAGACCTCATAAAGCAACAAGTACAAGAATGTGTGTGTGTGTGTGTGTGTGTGTCTCGTTAATGACTGCATCCTAAACAGCTGTGAGATCAAAGGCAAATCACTGACCTACTGTTTGAATGAGAAGCAGCTGAACTGCAGAGGATTTAGAGGCTCTAAACTTCTTCACATAGCGTGATTTCCTTAAGTCACAGAATGAAAATAAGAACATCGTACGAATCCTCCGCCCTTCATGAACACAATGATGTATTTTTCATGTCTGTACTCCGACAAATGTGGCCACAACAGCGAGTTAAAAAAGTCTGAGCCTGAGCGATGATCCGGATTTTCTTGGAGAAAAATAACATTATGGTCAATGGGAGAGATTTCCGCCTTCTTTGGACAGTTGGTCACCTGCTGGCCAAGGGGTACGATTTAATGATTTGAAACCTCTTTTGTGAGAAGCAGGACACATATACCTCCATTTTGATGTATTATTTGTGTCAGTGGAGTGAGATTTGTGGGCGTGGGAGCGATATATTCGAGCGAGGTTCTGTCGATCAGAGACGAGGTCTGCACTCTAGCTGATGACATCATCACTCTAAACTCTCCAATACACACCCATTATAAAGCCTGAAAATTTGCTGAAAACCACAAGTTGCTTAAAGCTAAATTGTGGAAAAACTGTACAAGATATCAAAAAACTGAGTACAACTATAATAGTCGACAAGTGAATGAACATTTTAAAGCAAAAATGAGGTCTCTAGGTGAAAGTATGCTGAAGTTATAAGGTCTAGAAGGTGGAAGAATAAAAGGAAGAAGTGGAAGATTTCCCCATTGACTTCAATGTTAAAATTTTTGCACAAAAAGTTAAAAAAAACAAAAAGTATAAAGGGTAGAAAGAAAAAAAATACAAGCACACATGTCCTGAAGGAGTGGAATAGTTTAAAGTTTGAATGGTTGAAATCGGACAAAGTTTGAAGGAGGAGAAGCGTGACAAAAAACGGCGGAAGAATAAAAATAAGATTAAAGAAACAGGAGAATAACAATAAGTGGAAATGCTTAATCAGCATTTCCACTTAATAAAGAAAAATGGCCGACAGGAATAACAATAAGTGGAAATGCTTAATCAGCATTTCCACTTAATAATAAAGAAAAATGGCCGACAGGAATAACAATAAGTGGAAATGCTTAATCAGCATTTCCACTTAATAAAGAAAAATGGCCGACAGGAATAACAATAAGTGGAAATGCTTAATCAGCATTTCCACTTAACTAGAAAAATTGCATTTCCTTGCAGAAAATGCGTGGAAATGCTGAGTGCTGAAAGCTGAAAAAGCAATGCTAAACTGCTAATAAAACATGGAGAAAGGTATAAATGTTAAAGCTGTTGAAGGGGTGAACAGAAATATAAGTTGGATAATTGATTAATTGGTTGAAGGACAAATAGTATGAATATGCTCTATAAAAGGAAATTTTATTCATGCTGAAAGAGGCTAGAAAAATGTCGAAAATTGCACAAAGTTTGAATGAAGAAGGAAATTGCCTTAAAAGGCAGGAAGGTGAGAAGTGGCATAAGTTTAAATTGTAGTACTAGAAGTAGTATGATAAAAAGTCAAGTTGTGATACTAGTAGTCATGTCAGCAGTAGAAGTAGATTGAGAATAAAAGAAGAATAAGTCAAAGTAGTAAAGAAAGTAGAAATAGGAGCAATAGCAGTTGAAGTAGAGGGGAAAGTTCTAGTTTAATTGACATTAGCAGTAGTTGTCGTACTTGAGGTAGGATTTTGTTTGAATGATGGAGTAATGCATAAATATTAAAACTAGTATCAGAAAGTTTTGAAGTATTAGAAAGGTTTGAATCAGTTTGAATGAGTTTAAATTAGTTTGAAAAATTAAATGATAAATCATCACTGACTGACTTTTAAAATGTGAAAAATTTAAATGAATAACAATCCTAAATACACCCAATAATGTCCTCAATGAGCTTAAATTTCAAAGCCCTGAATGGTTTCTGTAGGTCAAAGGTCATGTGAGGAGCTAGGGGCTGAAGTTTTTTCCAACGCTCTAGGAAAAGGTTTTAAGTGTCATCCCAATTGCTATGTGTACTGAGCCTGGCTTCATGTGTCTCATATGGCCACTAGAAGCAGCTTTCCAGTCAGCTGTGTGTCTCCAGGTGCACAAATTGGTTGCCATGGGGACCTTGGATGCATAACTATAGCAGGAGAAAGAAGGCTTGAAGCTAAAGAAACAGGACTCCAAGTAGGCCCTGACGCTCACCCTCTGTATATATTCATAAGGAGCTTGTGAGAACACAAGACTCTGCTGAACACATTAATACAATTTATTATCACAATCCTCAAAACACCCCATAATATCTTCAATGAGCTGAATTTTAGAAGCCCAGAATGGTTTCTGTAGCTCAAAGTTTGTGGGTGGAGATAGGTGGCGAAGCAGACACATATTAACTGTGTGTACAAGCAGCTGAACTGCAAGGTAGACCTCATAAAGCAACAACTACAAGAATGTGTGTGTGTGTGTGTGTGTGTGTCTCGTTAATGACTGCATCCTAAACAGCTGTGAGATCAAAGGCAAATCACTGACCTACTGTTTGAATGAGAAGCAGCTGAACTGCAGAGGATTTAGAGGCTCTAAACTTCTTCACATAGCGTGATTTCCTTAAGTCCCAGAATGAAAATAAGAACATCGTACGAATCCTCCGCCCTTCATGAACACAATGATGTCTTTTTCATGTCTGTACTCCGAAAAATGTGGCCACAACAGCGAGTTAAAAAAGTCTGAGCCTGAGTGGGGATAAGGATTTTCTTGGAGAAGAAATACATTAGGTCTAATGGGGAGAGATTTCCGCCTATTTGGACAGTTGGTCACCTGCTGGCCAAGGGGTAAGATTTAATGATTTGAAACCTCTTTTGTGAGAAGCAGGACACATATACCTCCATTTTGATGTATTTTTTATGGGTGTGGATTGAGATTTGTGAGCGTGGGAGCGATATATTCGAGCGAGGTTCTGTCGATCAGAGACGAGGTCTGCACTCTAGCTTTTCAAATCATCACTCTAGCCTCTCCAATACACCCCTATTATAAAGCCTGAAATTTGCTGAAAACCACAAGTTGCTTGAAGCTAAATTGTGGAAAAACTGTAAAATATAGCACAAAAAGGTTAATACAATATCAATAGTCGACAAGACAATGAACATTTTAAAGCAAAAATGAGGTCTCTAGGTGAAAGTATGCTGAAGTTATAAGGCTTAGAAGGTGGACGAATAACAGGAAGAATTGAAAGATTTCCCCATTCATTTCTATGGGAAAAAAAGTTTGGCACAAAAAGTGAAAAATAATAAAAAGTATAAAGGGTAGAAAAAAGAAAAGTAATAGCCATCATGTCCTGAAGGAGTGGAATCGTTTAAAGTTTGAACGGTTGAAATGGGACAAAGTTTGAAGGAGGAGAAGCGGTCCAAAGAAACGTATGGGGAGAGTGTTAAGTATAATACTAGAAAAATTGCATTTCCTTGCAGAAAATGCGTGGAAATGCTGAGTGCTGAAAGCTGAAAAAGCAATGCTAAACTGCTAATAAAACATGGAGAAAGGTATAAATGTTAAAGCTGTTGAAGGGGTGATAAAGAAATATACGTTAGATAATTGTTTAATTGGTCGAAGGACAAATCGTCTGAATCTGCTCTATAAAAGGAAATTTTATTCATGCTGAAAGAGGCTTGAAAAATGTCTAAAATTGCACAAAGTTTGAATGAAGAAGGAAATTGCCTTAAAAGGCAGGAAGGTGAGAAGTGGCATAAGATTCAGTTGTAGTACTAGAAGTAGTATGATGAGAAGTCAAGTCGTGATACTAGTAGTCATGTCAGCAGTAGAAGTAGATTGAGGATAAAAGAAGTATAAGTCAAAGTAGTAGACAAAGTAGAAATAGTAGCAATAGCAGCAGTAGAGAAAGTAGAAATAGGAGCAATAGCAGTTGAAGTAGAGGGGAAAGTACTAGTTTAATTGACATTAGCAGTAGTTGTAGTACTAGAGGTAGGATTTTGTTTGAAGGACGGAATAATGCATAAATATTAAAACTAATATAAAACAGGGAACATTTTATTAATTAAAAATCCTCAAGTATCAGAAAGTTTTTTTAGTATTAGAAAGGTTTGAATAATTTTGAATGAGTTTAAATTAGTTTGAAAAATTAAATGATAAATCATCACTGAGTGACTTTAAAATGTGAAAAATTTAAATGAATATAAATCCTAAATACACCCCATAATGTCCTCAATGAGCTTAAATTTTAAAGCCCTGAATGGTTTCTGTAGGTCAAAGGTCATGTGAGGAGATCGGAGCTGAAGTTTTTTCAAGCGCTCTAGGAAAGGGTTTTAAGTGTCATCCCCAGTGCTATGTGTACTTAGCCTGGCTTCATGTGTCTCATATGGCCATTAGAAGCAGCTTTCCAGTCAGCTGTGTATCTCCAGGTGCACAAATTGGTTGCCATGGGGACCTTGGATGAATAACTATAGCAGGAGAAAGAAGGCTTGAAGCTAAGGAAACAGGACTCCAAGTAGGCCCTGACGCTCATCCTCTGTATAAATTCATAAGGAGCTTGTGAGAACACAAGATTTTGCTGAACACATTAATACAATTTATTATCACAATCCTCAAAACACCCCATAATATCTTCAATGAGCTGAATTTTTCAAGCCCAGAATGGTTTCTGTAGCTCAAAGTTTGTGGGTGGAGATAGGTGGTGAAGCAGACACATATTACCTGTGTGTACAAGCAGGTGAACTGCAAGGTAGACCTGACAATGCAACAAGTACAAGAATGTGTGTGCGTGTGTGTGTGTCTCGTTAATGACTGCATCCTGAACAGCTGTGAGATCAAAGGCAAATCACTGACCTACTGTTTGAATGAGAAGCAGCTGAACTGCAGAAGATTTAAACCATGTGAACTTCTTCACATAGCACGATTTCCTTAAGTCCCAGAATGAAAATAAGAACATCGTACGAATCCTCCGCCTTTCATGAACACAATGATGTGTTTTTCATGTCTGTACTCCGAAAAATGAGGCCACAACAGCGAGTTAAAAAAGTCTGAGCCTGAGCGATGATCTGGATTTTCTTGGAGAAAAATAACATAACGGTCAATGGGAGAGATTTCCGCCTTCCTTGGACAGTTGGTCACCTGCTGGCCAAGGGGTAGGATTTAATGATTTGAAACCTCTTTTGTGAGAAGCAGGACACATATACCTCCATTTTGATGTATTATTTATGGCTGTGGAGTGAGATTTGTGGGCGTGGGAGCGATATATTCGAGCGAGGTTCTGTCGATCAGAGACGAGGTCTGCACTCTAGCTTTTCAAATCATCACTCTAGCCTCTCCAATACACCCCTATTATAAAGCCTGAAATCTGCTGAAAACCACAGGTTGCATAAAGCTAAATTGTGGAAAAACTGTAAAAGATAGCACAAAAAGGTTAATACAACATCAATAGTCGACAAGACAATGAACATTTTAAAGCAAAAATGAGGTCTCTAGGTGAAAGTATGCTGAAGTTATAAGGCTTAGAAGGTGGACGAATAACAGGAAGAATTGGAAGATTTCCCCATTAATTTCTATGGGAAAAAAAGTTTGGCACAAAAAGTAAAAAATAATAAAAAGTATAAATGGTAGAAAAGAGAAAAGTAATAGCCATCATGTCCTGAAGGAGTGGAATAGTTTAAAGTTTGAACGGTTGAAATCGGACAAAGTTTGAAGGAGGAGAAGCGGTCCAAAGAAACGTATGGGGAGAGTGTTAAGTATAATACTAGAAAAATTGCATTTCCTTGCAGAAAATGCGTGGAAATGCTGAGTGCTGAAAGCTGAAAAAGCAATGCTAAACTGCTAATAAAAGATGGAGAAGGTATAAATGTTAAAGCTGTTGAAGGAGTGAAAAAGAAATATAAGTTGGATCATGGTTTAATTGGTTAAAGGACAAATAGTATGAATATGCTCTATAAGAGGAAATCTTATTCATGCTGAAAGAGGCTAGAAAAATGTCTACAATTGCACAAAGTTTGAATGAAGAAGGAAATTGCCTTAAAAGGCAGGAAAGTGAGAAGTGGCATAAGTTTAATTTGTAGTACTAGAGGTAGTATGATAAGAAGTCAAGTAGTGATAACAGTAGTCATGTAAACAGTAGAAGTAGTTTGAGAATAAAAAAAAGTATAAGTCAAAGTAGTAGAGAAAGTAGAAATAGGAGCAATAGCAGTTGAAGTAGAGGGGAAAGTACTAGTTTAATTGACATTAGCAGTAGTTGTCGTACTTGAGATGGGATTTTGTTTGAAGGATGGAGTAATGCATAAATATTAAAACTACTTTAAAACAGGGAAAATTTAAATAATTAAAAATCCTGAAGTATCAGAAAGATTTTAAGTATTAGAAAGGTTTGAATCAGTTTGAATCAGTTTAAATTAGTTTGAAAAATTAAATGATAAATCATCACTAAGAGACTTATAAAAGTGAAAAATCTAAATGAATGTAAATCCTGAATATACCCCATAATGTCCTCAATGAGCTTAGATTTTAAAGCCCTGAATGGTTTCTGTAGGTCAAAGGTCATGTGAGGAGATAGGGGCTGAAGTTTTTCAAGCGCTCTAGTAAAAGGTTTTAAGTGTCATCCCCAGTCCTATGTGTGCTGAGCCTGGCTTCATGTGTCTCATATGGCCATTAGAAGCAGCTTTCCAGTCAGCTGTGTGTCTCCAGGTGCACAAATTGGTTGCCATGGGGACCTTGGATGCATAACTATAGCAGGAGAAAGAAGGCTTGAAGCTAAGGAAACAGGACTCCAAGTAGGCCCTGACGCTCATCCTCTGTATCTATTCCCGATAAGGAGCTTGTGAGAACACAAGACTCTGCTAAACACATTAATACAATTTATTATCACAATCCTCAAAACACCCCATAATATCTTCAATGAGCTGAATTTTAGAAGCCCAGAATGGTTTCTGTAGCTCAAAGTTTGTGGGTGGAGATAGGTGGCGAAGCAGACACATATTAACTGTGTGTACAAGCAGCTGAACTGCAAGGTAGACCTCATAAAGCAACAAGTACAAGAATGTGTGTGTGTGTGTGTGTGTGTGTGTGTGTGTGTGTCTCTCGTTAATGACTGCATCCCAAACAGCTGTGAGATCAAAGGCAAATCACTGACCTACTGTTTGTATGAGAAGCAGCTGAACTGCAGAGGATTTGAAGCCTGTTAACTTCTTCACATAGCGTGATTTCCTTAAGTCCCAGAATGAAAATAAGAACATCGTACGAATCCTCCGTCCTTCATGAACACAATGATGTGTTTTTCATGTCTGTACTCCGACAAATGTGGCCACAACAGCGAGTTAAAAAAGTCTGAGCCTGAGCGATGATCCGGATTTTCTTGGAGAAATATTACATTAGAGTCAATGGGAGAGATTTCCGCCTTCTTTGGACAGTTGGTCACCTGCTGGCCAAGGGGTAGGATGTAATGATTTGAAACCTCTTTTGTGAGAAGCAGGACACATATACCTCCATTTTGATGTATTTTTTATGGCTCTGGAGTGAGATTTGTGGGCATGGGAGCGATATATTCGAGCGAGGTTTTGTGGATCAGAGACTAGGTCTGCACTCTAGCTTTTCAAATCATCACTCTAGCCTCTCCAATTCACCCCTGTTATAAAGCCTGAAATCTGCTGAAAACCACAAGTTACATAAAGCTAAATTGTGGAAAAACTGTAAAAGATGGCACAAAAAGGTTAATACAACATCAATAGTCGACAAGACAATGAACATTTTAAAGCAAAAATGAGGTCTCTAGGTGAAAGTATGCTGAAGTTATAAGGCTTAGAAGGTGGACGAATAACAGGAAGAATTGGAAGATTTCCCCATTCATTTCTATGGGAAAAAAAGTTTGTCACAAAAAGTGAAAAATAATAAAAAGTATAAAGGATAGAAAAGAGAAAAGTAATAGCCATCATGTCCTGAAGGAGTGGAATAATTTAAAGTTTGAACGGTTGAAATCGGACAAAGTTTGAAGGAGGAGAAGCGGTCCAAAGAAACATATGGGGAGAGTGTTAAGTATAATACTAGAAAAATTGCATTTCCTTGCAGAAAATGCGTGGAAATGCTGAGTGCTGAAAGCTGAAAAAGCATTGCTAAACTGCTAATAAAACATGGAGAAATGTATAAATGTTAAAGCTGTTGAAGGGGTGTGAAAGAAATGTAAGTTGGATAATTGATTAATTGGTTGAAGGACAAATAGTATGAATATGCTCTATAAAAGAAAATTCTATTCATGCTGATAGAGGCTAGAAAAATGTCTAAAATTGCACAAAGTTTGAATGAAGAAGGAAATTGCCTTAAAAGGCAGGAAGGTGAGAAGTGGCATAAGTTTAAGTTTTTAAGTATAAGAAAGGTTTGAATCAGTTTGAATCAGTTCAAATTAGTTTGAAAAACTAAATGATAAATCATCACTGAGTGACTGAAAAATGTGAAAAATTTAATTGAATATAAATCCTGAATACACCCCATAATGTCCTCAGTGAGCTTCAATTTTAAAGCCCTGAATGGTTTCTGTAGGTCAAAGGTCATGTGAGGAGATAGGGGCTGAAGTTTTTTCCAACGCTCTAGGAAAGGGTTTTAAGTGTCATCCCAATTGCTATGTGTACTGAGCCTGGCTTCATGTGTCTCATATGGCCACTAGAAGCAGCTTTCCAGTCAGCTGTGTGTCTCCAGGTGCACAAATTGGTTGCCATGGGGACCTTGGATGCATAACTATAGCAGGAGAAAGAAGGCTTGAAGCTAAAGAAACAGGACTCCAAGTAGGCCCTGACGCTCACCCTCTGTATATATTCATAAGGAGCTTGTGAGAACACAAGACTCTGCTGAACACATTAATACAATTTATTATCACAATCCTCAAAACACCCCATAATATCTTCAATGAGCTGAATTTTTGAAGCCCAGAATGGTTTCTGTAGCTCAAAGTTTGTGGGTGGAGATAGGTGGTGAAGCAGACACATATTAACTGTGTGTACAAGCAGCTGAACTGCAAGGTGGACCTCAAAAAGCAACAAGTACAAGAATGTGTGTGCGTGTGTGTGTGTGTGTCTCCTTAATGACTGCATCCTAAACAGCTGTGAGATCAAAGGCAAATCACTAACCTACTGTTTGAATGAGAAGCAGCTGAACTGCAGTGAATTTCAGCCTGTGAACTTTTTCACATAGCGTGATTTCCTTATGTCCCAGAATGAAAATAAGAACATCGTACGAATCCTCCGTCCTTCATGAACACAATGATGTCTTTTTCATGTCTGTACTCCGAAAAATGTGGCCACAACAGCGAGTTAAAAAAGTCTGAGCCTGAGCGATTGTCCGGATTTTCTTGGAGAAAAATAACATTATGGTCAATGGGAGAGATTTCCGCCTTTTTTGGACAGTTGGTCACCTGCTGGCCAAGGGGTAGGATTTAATGATTTGAAACCTCTTTTGTGAGAAGCAGGACACATATACCTCCATTTTGATGTATTATTTGTGTCAGTGGAGTGAGATTTGTGGGCGTGGGAGCGATATATTCGAGCGAGGTTCTGTCGATCAGAGACGAGGTCTGCACTCTAGCTGATGACATCATCACTCTAAACTCTCCAATACACACCCATTATAAAGCTTGAAATTTGCTGAAAACCACAAGTTGCTTAAAGCTAAATTGTGGAAAAACTGTAAGAGATATCAAAAAACTGAGTACAACTTTAATAGTCGACAAGTGAATGAACATTTTAAAGCAAAAATGAGGTCTCTAGGTGAAAGTATGCTGAAGTTATAAGGCTTAGAAGGTGGACGAATAAAAGGAAGATATGGAAGATTTCCCCATTGACTTCAATGTTAAAATTTTTGCACAAAAAGTTAAAAAAAAACAAAAAGTATAAAAGGTAGAAGAGTGAAAAGTAATAGCTATCATGTCCTGAAGGAGTGGAATAGTTTAAAGTTTGAACGGTTGAAATCGGACAAAGTTTGAAGGAGGAGAAGCGGTCCAAAAAAGGTACGGAAGAATAATAATAAGTTGAATAAAGAAACAGGAGAATAACAATAAGTGGAAATGCTTAATCAGCATTTCCACTTAACTAGAAAAATTGCATTTCCTTGCAGAAAATGCGTGGAAATGCTGAGTGCTGAAAGCTGAAAAAGCAATGCAAAACTGCCAATAAAAAATGGAGGAAGGTATAAACGGAAAAACTGTAGAAAAGGTGGAGTAGAACAAGAAGAAATTGTATGAATGGAAGAATTGTAGTATAGCTGGAGGTAAATTAGTTGGATTAATGTACAAATTGTCTGATAGCCTAAGTGAAAAATGTATATGATTGATGTGAATAAACAGAACTGATATGGATAATTGAATTTGAAAAACAAATGCCTTTAAACAATGTGTAACAATGTTCCTATTAAATGTACAAATAGTAAAACAGATTTTTGCAGTCTGCAGCATCCAACCATAGTAACTTGAGAATGCAGAACAGCACCATCTATTGCCCTGCTTCAGTTACTGCCCTACATCTGAATGTAGAAAGTATGAAACAGCTGAAGTTCAATTAATTGTATAAATGTAGAAAGTATAGAAAAGAAAAGCAGAAGTAGAAGAAAAAGAAGAAGTTAGTATGTTAAAAGAGTTAAAGACAAGAACTGTAACAACAAAGTTCATATTGGGGCTGTATTTTCTACTGACAGAGTGACAGTAATTCACACATGGAAACAGTGTGTGTGTGTGTGTGTGTGCCCGCGCGCGCGCGCGGCCGAGCCCGTGCGTGTGCATGTGCGTGTGTGATCGAAGCACACAGCCCATGACAAGTGCAGAATCTGACAGAGAGACAGTAAGAGAGAAAGAGATACAGTAATGCACTCATGGAAACAGTGTGTGTGTGTGTGTGTGCCCGCGCGCGCACGAGCGGCCAAGTCCGTGCGTGTGCGATCGAAGCACACAGCCCATGACAAGTGCAGAATCTCTGGCTCCTAAGGAATGTACTCACCTCCTGGGCAAGCTGTACAATTTCATGACTTCAGACCGATTTTGTGAGAAGCAGGACGAGTGTACCTCCATTTTGATGTGTTTTTTATGGCTGTGGAGTGAAACTTGCGGCCGCGGCAGCAGAATAAACACGCTTGGTCTAGTGAATCCAAAAGGCCCCGCCCGCATCTAGCGGTGACGTAACATCTGACGTCACACGCTGTAGCGTGAGTCAGGCTGAAAAAGGCAGAGAACTTCATGTTGCTCCAAGCGAAATTGTGCAAAAACGGTAGGAAATAGCAAAAAGGAGTGAATACAACATTTGTAGCAGACACGTTGCTGAACATTTTAAAGCAAAAATGAGGTCTCTAGGTGAAAGTATGCAGAAGTTATAAGGGTGAGAAGGTGTTATAGCTGTATCTCCATTCATTTGTAATGGAACAAATTTTGCAGAAAAAGTGAAATATTGCAAAAAGTATAAATGGTAGAAAGGTGAAAAGTAATAGCCGTAATGTCCTGAAGGAGTGCATTAGTATAAAGTTTGAATGGTGAAAATAGCACAAAGTGGTAAGGAGTTGAAAAGGGCCAAAAAAGGTACGGAAGAATAATAATAATAATAATAATAATAAAGAAATAGTAGAATAACAATAAGTGGAAATGCTGTGTCAGCATTTCCACTTAATAAAGAAACAGGAGAATAACAATAAGTGGAAATGCCTATCAGCATTTCCACTTAAATAATAATAAAGAAACAGGAGAATAACAATAAGTGGAAATGCCTATCAGCATTTCCACTTAATTAACATCTCTAATTACAGAGGGGATTCAATAACGATACTTGCGTTATTAATGGTGATGAATTAGTAGTAAAGACTGCATTTCTTTCCACAGTGGGGTTAAACACAAATTGCCACAAAAAGCATAATTAAAGATTACAGTAGGATAAGGAGACAACCTGATCATAGCCATAGTCATTTACATACTCCCTCTCTTATTCCGGAGATGTATGTCATGACAATATTCACTTGCTTGATATGTAAGTTTGGACTTCCACGTGCCTTAAGGAAATTTTTGACCCTGTCACAGCTTAAGGCTATACTATGTTCATCGGCAAAGTCATTAAGTTGTGCCACATTTCTTGTACATTTTTTGAGCAGACCTTAATTGAGATATTTTGGACAGTTTACTTGTATTATTGCAGGATTAGTTGATGCAGATGTTGAAATAAAAACTTAGTAAAGTTTTTGTGAACCAACATCTTTAATTTCTAAGATTAGCCCACAGGCCCGCTCTCTGATAGAATAGCAACAGAGGCTGTAGACCTCAACGACATCATATCCTATCATCCCGCAGGTGGTTCAGTTTGTCGATGGGAGGAAATGGGATCTTTACACCCAATTTGAGGTGAAGTGACTCAGAGTTTACATGTAGGATATCCCGTGACCCTAGCGTAATGACTTCCAGACTGCAGGTGGTCCTGCTCTTGTGTGTCAGTGATAGGCCTCCATAAACAGACTTAATCACATTCTTCCAGCAGACTCTCTCTCTCTCTCTCTCTCTCTCTTTCTCTCCCCCTCTCTCTCCCTTTGGTCCTTACTTGGAAACCTATTATTTTTAATATTCGCGTCTTTCCCTCAGATGTTGTTTCTCCTATCTTGCTCTCTTGTTCACAGTGAATTAGTCGCCACTAAATGTCCACTTCTGGCCCTCACATATGTACGGCACTACACATGAACATGAATACATACATATGTACATTAATGTTCTTATGGTTTATATATCTTCCTCCACATATTCCAGTTTGTGGAAACACAGATGTGTGTAGTAGACATGGTCTACTCTGTCATATGTACACCATGTGAGGAAGAAGTCTAGCCCTGAGGGGGGGGATCCAGTCTTACAGAGGGAAATCATGGTAAGCAGTGTGAGCCGTCACAGAAAACAGCTGTTCACGCATCCTTTCTCTTTTTAATGGCACTTCCGTGGCATCCCACAGGTCGTCTGGTATTGAAATACAACTGCCACTCCTTTCTTAGTACAAATGCGGTTTGTATGTAATTGTTCTCAGATTTTTTTTTTCCTTTTCCTCACCCATTTCAGCTTTTTCCAGACCTTAATAACAGAGCGGTTTGTAAGACTTAGACTAAGCTGTAGTCAAAACTCCATGAGCAGAAGTGGTTCTTCCAAGTCTGTGCTGAATCCAGCAGGCAGCATGTTGCCCAAATGGAAGCCGTCTGTGGATCAGAATACAGTGCTCATTAAGACTGACTGATATGTGGCATGATATAAATGGAGATCAAGCTGTCTTTGCAAACAAGCCCTTGTTGTTTCCTTGCAACAAAGTTATCTTTTACTGTATATCCATCTACTCACAAACATGCCAGCTTTTCGTAGTGACTGCAAGAGTTGTTCAAATCAAATCAATCCAAAAAAAGTTTTTTGTTGGTGCTAGCCAGTGTTGTTTTTGGCAGGCATTTTAGATTTAGTTTTAGTCTTAGTCATTTTGACGAAATGCTTCTTCGTTTTAGTCCCATTTTAGTCATTTCTATCCTTGTTAGTTTTCGTCTAGTTTTAGTCCGAGGAAAACTCTAAAGGTTTTCGTCTAGTTTTAGTCGACGTAAAGGTGCCTTTTGAGGTTCGTGGTGTTCTTTCCCGACAGTTTGAAGCATGAGGAAGCTGTGGCTCCACAACTGTCGTCTGTCTCGTCTCCCCGTCCCGTGTTTTATTGTCACTTTTATTTTATTGTCACTTGAACTGTATCTGAAGTAGGACCCTCTTTTTCCTGTAAGGGACTGTTTTTCCTGTCCCTCTTTTTTCGGCCACCGGGCACCGCTGCTGTGCCTGCCGCCACGGTGTGTGTGTGTGTGCGCGCCTCGTCCACCTGCCGCTCTGTGTATGTGAATGAGTGTGTGCGCGCAGCTGTGCGCGAGCGAGGCTTTTGGTGCGTGTGTGATGGGGGCGTGACTGTTAGGACAAAAAAAAGCATGTTTTGAAACTTTGTTTGTCCACCTAATACCAATTTAGTCTCGTCTCGTTCTCGTCTGACAAAAATGAATATAATTTTCGTCACATTTTAGTCTTTACAGAGCTTTGGTGACGTTCGTCTTAGTCTCATTTTCGTCAAGGAAAAAAGGGGTCTGACGTCGTCATTTAAGTTTTCGTCCTGCCTGACGAAAACAACACTGGTGCTAGTTGTCTGATTGTAAGTCTACAATGGTAACCCAAAGATTTCTCCTGAAGCAGCAGTGGTGATAAGGTCAGTCGAGGTGTGGGAATGGCCAGCGGATAATACTTTTAAGAGCTGATAGGGAGCGGAGTTAAATGCTCTGGATCACCAAAATGAGCTGAAATTCCCATCACTTGGATTCATGATGTAGCTGTTTACCTGGGGAAAGAGGAAGCATGCAGACTCTGCTCTGACATGAACTGCAGACAAGATTCGGAGTAATCTGTGTGTTTACGCTTTTAATGCATTTGGATTACATCTTTTCCATAATTTGGATTGTGGCGGGACTCTCTCTGTTGCAGTAGGAGGTTTGCTCAGCTCATTTTCATAATACATGGTATGCAGACAAGAAAGGTTCTAGTCGGGCCTAATCTCTGCTGCCTCATATTAGCCAGATTATTCTTGCCTTAAACACTTTTTTATAGTTTTTCCATCTGCAAAAGTTGAATAAAGTACATGGTTCCTTGTATCTATTTTTGGTATGACCTTGGTTGGGGTTCCAAGTGTGCAGAGCTTATTATAAGGGACATGAAAGAACTGCAGTCCATTGATCGTTTCTACAAGATTGTTGCAAGCAGGACAACTGTAGGCATCCTGCAAACACCTGATCAGTAGTAGTGGAATGGTGGGCCTTGTCCTGTCTCAAATTGTGTCCCAAATCCAAGTTGGAGGTTGTTGATGTGACAAAGTTGAGCTTTTAAAGGCATGCCTGAGAGAGATTATCATTGGTTGGGGGGTATGAGTGCAGTAGGAGCCCATGAAACCCACCATACAGGCCTTAATTTGAGGTCATTAATCATGTGAGGCCATCCTGCAGTGAACACTTCTGCATTTCTCTGTGCTGTTTGGTTATCATGTAGAGGTCTGCTGTGTGGACAAGCTTTCCAAGTCATATTCAAACTCTCACAGCAAGAACTGGTAAATGTGTTGCAGAGCTTTGGAGAAGTAGTTGTGTTTGCTTAAACCAAAGAAGGACACGTGTCTTTGTTCCAGTGACTTGTTTCAACAGATTTTATTGTAGGATGCTGATAAATTTAGTTGAACTCCATCAGAAGAGACTGGTGTTTTTAATTAAAAAAAAAACCTTTGTACCATGCTGCAGAGATTTTTTTTGATATGTAATATTAGAAAGTTAAAGAATTCAGTAAGTCTCTCTAAGCCAAACTAAGGGTTGCAAAATGCTTACCATGGCTCTGTTGTGTGCGACTCCTAAAATTGTGTGTGTAGATCCAGGATGCACCTCTGGACATGAAATCCAACTGTCTCCACACTTCCTGGTTCATTTATTTTTTCATTCATTTAGACGGGCAGCATGAGTGCCCTGACTACAGTGTCACTGATGTGGTTGCTCTAAAGATAACATGCAGTTATTTTATTTTATTTCATTTCATTTTAACTTTTTTCTCCTTTGGCCACTGTGTTGGTTGATGAGTGAGTGGTATTTCTACTTTGCGACTCTGTACTGAAACTTAATTTTCCAAAGAGGTTATAAAGGAGATGGCTAAGTGTTTCTTTCAGGAAAAAAAGAAAGAAAAGGAAACACTTAGGAAAAGTAAATTGATGTAGTCTAAAGACAACTGTGCACAAAGTGGTGTGTGTTTTTAAAATGCCATTCACTTAAGAAAAAAAAAAACATAAATTGAAGTTTTCATTTCTGTCCTTCCTCTACGACAAACTCAAACTCTTCTGTCTTGCCTGGTGAGTTTTAAGTCACTGATATGAATTAGGAGTGGGAGTATATCTGAAAGCTGGAAATCATGACCCCCTTCCAGCAGCTATTGATTGGAGTAGCAGAAAATCCATAGTGGCTGATTTGTGAACCATTAAGTTTTGAACCCAAAGCTCATAATGTTCATATTCACAGCTTTACTCTGTGCTGATGAGGGTGAGGGTGGGATAAAGAGGCAGGGGGTTAGGGTGTTAGATACTCAGGGGTTAGAGGCAGGCTGTTAGAAAATGAGGGAAAAGCGTTGGAGGGATTGAAGATCATTAAACAAATCAATTCAGCCCTATCTGGAAGATTGCCCACACATGCAATAAAACAACGAGGGAAGTGCGCAGGAGGAACAATTTCTTATTATCATATTTACAAGTCTGTTCTAATTTATCTTTAAATTTATTGACCAAATGCAAAGTAGTATAGGCAGGGGTTCGTCCCTTAGCCACAGTCCTCATTTTTTACTGAAGATAAAATGAAGGCAGTGCTGTCAGCACAGTTTTCATACTATTACAACCTTTGGAAAGAAAAGGAAATTTTGGAAAAAAATATGTCATGAATAAACACATTTCTTCTGCAGTTGATACAGCCTTTTGTAATACTCAAAACTTATATTTTTACCAGTTTAATCTGGACTTAAAAACTGGAGACTTTTTCCCTTTCAGGTCAAACTGCATGTTCTGATTTTGTGCATTTTGTTCCCATCTATCTGGGTTATATAAAGTTGAGCAGTAAAAATTAGTTGAGATACAGATTTTTTTTTTATCCTTGAGGTTTTTCGTTTTATTTAAACTACGTAGTATCTGGAAATTCTCAGATTTCGAACAGACGGACCTGTTCAAAAGTGACCTGTATCCCAGCCCCACATTAAAATGCATTTCCCAGCTACATAACTCTAGCCTTGTTTCCTTTCCCTCTGGTCAGCCAGAGGTCACTTCACATAGCAGCCTCAGTGATCCTCTTTCCTCGCTGTTTGAAAATGTCATCAAACCAAGAATTAAAGATTTTAACGGGAATATAACAAGCCCCCTCTTCTTCACCATCCTCTCTAATTTTCCACCGTCATCTCTCATGTGCCCTCTTCAGTCAGGAAAAATTGCTGACAACAAAATTCTCTGGTGAGATGAAATGATGACGATAATTAGTTATTTCTAAATGAAGGAACCATTGGTGTCAAAAAAGTCATGAGGACACATTAATCATACCAAAATCACACATTCTCAGGTACACATATACCCATCTCTTTACCGTTTTCTTAACATAAAGTGCATGTAAAAACTGTGGAAAGCCTCAGGGGGAGAACTAATATGTTTTTATATACATATTTTGATTTCATCCGACTGCTAGCTGCATGTGAAAATTGCCCCTGACTTACAGAACGCCATTGAGGCCTGTTGGATGTCGTCCATCTGTCCACAGTAATTGAGGTGGGCAGGGGTGGGGGTGTTGGGGGATCACTCAACAGTTGAGCCATTTACTGCACAGGTACTTTCAGAAAGCTACTGACCTTATTTTGAAGCCAGGTGTATATTGTTAATGTAAGTATACTGAGCTGTAACTCTAGAGCTACAGTTTTAATGTAATCCAAAATCATCTGATGAAGTAAACTAGAAAACTGAGAAGAAATTTGCATGAAGTAAAACCATGTTCATTTAGCATTTTAGTCTGGACCATTCTGTTTTTCTTTCTGCCTTGACATTTTTCAACTAAGAGTCACCTCAAACTGTTGTTACATTGTCTCTCAGCATTTTTATATCCAGACGTCCTGCTACTTAGGGGTGGGAGAAAAAAATCGATACAGCATAGTATCGCAATATTTTGTCTGGTGATATAGTGTATAGTCTCATTTATCAAGTATTTAATTTTCAAATTAATTGCTTATATGAAGTCAAATCTATGTTAATGGAAAAACTAAAATTAACTGTTTGTCCAGTGACGTTGGCAGAGGTGACATCAAAGAGCAGGAAAAAGTTAGTGCAACAATTATATAAATATATAAATGTAAGGTTTACAAGATGTGCCACATGAAAATAAAATACAGTGTAAATAAGATAAACATAAAGGAAAGACAAATGCCAAATTAGCTCAACAGTTTAAAAGACTGTATAAATGGCAATCTATTGTTTCGCAACACTCACTGTATTGCAAAATGTTAGAAATCGCAATACTATCGTAACATGGCCCAAGTATCATGATAGTATTGTATTGTGGGGCCACCGGTGATTCCCACCCCTACTGCTACTTAAGGTGACTGGCTGACCTACCTTCCTTCCTTTCTTCCTTCTGTGAAATAAATGGCAATTTTGTTTCCCTTAATTTTGTATTTTGCTCATTTACTTCCAGGAATGGTTAATTATGTTGGGTGATATTGTATTTGAGTGTGTATGGCTGTATGAGTAGTAGACCCCAGAAATAATAACTCATGCTGGTGCTCATTGGGATCCAACCTTAAGTGAGTTATTTTTACAGGTTCAAACACATTTCTTGCAAATGCTTATCAGGAGGTGCTGTCGCGTTTTTAAGCTATAAAAATATTTGAGATTACCAGTAATAATAATCAGCTCTGGTGATTTTGGGGACTGTTGTTCTGCACAACAACAGACTACTAGAATTGCATGGTCCAATCTAGTCTGTGTCGGTGAAATACAATAAATTGTCACTATAACATTAAGTGTTTTGGTGACGACCTGCAAATTCCATAATTTCTGTCTGCCCTGATCAAAAGAAAAATACAGTGGAAAAAAAGACTGAACATAGTTTGTATACAAATACATTTCATCTGATTTCATAACCATGTTAAGCATTTTCAAGGAAGCACAAATAACTTAACTCGCAAAAAAACACAGTTTTGGAGAAATAAGGACTAAACTCTAACAATACTGCCATGATCTTATTGCAGTCATTGTCATGATAAAGTGTACAGTATCATAGTTTAACTGACTGCCACACAAATATTTAGTATAGTTTATGGTTGTTTGTCATACACTTTACCATTGTAGCACCCACTGATACATGAGAACACATTCCTTCAAAAATCTGGGAAAGCAGTCTGATCTGGAGGAAATATTTTCCCAACTCCTTCCTAGATGTGTTGAATGGCGTCCTAATCAAAAATCAATGTGCCCACTTGAGTGGGCCCACAAGGCTTCTGTAGCAGGTTATGTAATCTGATAATATCAATCATAACTGTGTTAGAGGCAATCCATCTGACTTTCACAGGGCTGGGGTCAGTGAGTAGGGGGAAGGCAGGGTGAGGGAGCCTTGGCCTCCCATGCCATCAATTACCACTTATTATTGGGGGGGTCTCACTCTGCCAGAGAGCTGTGTAGCTCCTCTTCCATAAATAATATTAACAGGAGCAGCCTCATCAATCAATACCAGCACAGTTGTATTGCTCCAGCCTAAATGGCGGCTTCCATGGCTCTCCAGCCTCGATCAATGACCATGGCTCCTCCAGACTAACACATAAGGGTAAATCTAGCTCTGTTTGAGCCCTGGGGTCTTCATCCTGCCTTCTCCAGCTACTCCAGTGTTCTTTCTTCCCGGGCTCTGTGACTGCCTGTCTCCATATTGCTTCTCCTCTGTTGAGCACTCAACCATCAGTGCCATCTAAAGCTCCTGCTAACTGCCGCCGCTGCGATCTCTGCCAGGCTCGTGCGGGCTGGCTTGTTAGACGTAAGATGCAGATTGAGGAAGAGTCAGAAAAGTGTCAGAAAGAGTGATTATGTAGAATTAATGAGTCATTTAATGATTCCTCATCCCTCAAACCTTTACTTCTTTTCACTTCTCCGTGTGATTTCCTGCTGTGTCGGATGGGGTGTGAGGAAGCCACCTCATTGTAGCTAGCATGAGCAGGATGGTGCTGGATCAGAATGATGTGAAGTGATTTTTCACTTTTTCTGAAACAGATGTCACAAATAAAGCCATGTGATTCCATTTCTTGCCAGCACATGCTCCATAAATTCAAATTTATGGGCTGTTTCTGTAGCTACAGGCAGGAGGTCGAGATGGGCTACATCAGTTCAGGAGGGTGGGGTGGTGTTAGGGGCATAATTACGGAAGCAAATAATTAGCGAGTGGAGTGCAAAGCAAGATTAATTAGCCTCATCATCTGCCTGTGACCTTAGCTCTTGCTATTCATTCCCTGCTTGACCAGCTCTGCCATAAGCGAATCATTCATCCCGGTTCTGAGCGCTCAATGCCCAGCAACCAGCTAGAGAGTAAAAGGCTCGGGCAACCTTTGCCCGGGACTGTTATTTAGACGGCTACAGCACATGTGTCATTGTAAGATGTGAAAACACTCGTGTGTGGGCTGCAGTTGAGAATATTTTTTTTTCAGAAGGGAACACAATAGACTTCTTTCATAAATGATCTTATCCCAAGTGAGGATCCATTTACTTTTAATTTTGACAGATAGGTGTGACTTTGACTAATCTGAGAAAGATACTGAGCACAAACGAAGAATCTAAAACATTCTGGTTGATAGCCACACGATCATTCCTCTCACCATCAGAGAATGATTACATGCTTATTTTTCATAAATGTGAAATATTTTCATACTACTGATTTGAGGTGTTTACACTGGAGGAAATTAGCTGTATTCATCCCTCATTTTTTTCCAGTTAATTTTTTTTTTTCAATTTTAAACCACAAGTAAAGGATCTTTGTCCTAAATATCAAAAAACATACAAATATTTGATGGTGAAAACTTTCAAGAGATTTGTAATGATTAAGATTGATGTATATTTGTAATAAGTGAACTGTCGTAAATGGAAAGCGAACTGTTTCCGAGTGTTTGCTTGTGCTGTATTGTGCCCTCACCAGAGAAAATCTGCTTAGTCCAACCTCAGCAGTGACTTCAAATACTGGCCTTACACTGACCTGCAGACTTCAAAGCTTGATCAAGCCTTCCCCAGACTAGGAGTTCTGTGGTTCAGGCAATTTGTTAAACAGGAGAGAGGTTTAGTGTGATTTGGGAGTGGAAGGATGTTTCAGTAGTCCTGTCTAACCCGGAGCTCAGCCACTTAGGGCCTAAGGGGATACACCACAACTACAAAATAAAAAAATTGAAAAAAGGGAAAATAGGTATTGCTTTACCAAGGGAAGACAATTTCATGATGCCCTGGTATATACTCTCCTCTGTGTGCCAGACACTTTTATCTTACAGACTTCATGTTGTCATGTCTGAATGATTATCATAAGAATAATTCAGTCAATGGGTAAATAATGAAAAGTGCCAAAAGTCAGATGGTCAGAGCAATTGGACTGAACAAGCTTTAGTTGGTGTGAAAGTCCCTGTATATTTAATTTCACAGGACACTGAATTTTAAAAATGCAGTTACATACCAGGTGCTGAGTGTTTTGAGTATCATTAAGTAGAAGTTTCTCACTGTCATTGCATTTAAAAGATTTTTGATATAGATTGTTCATCTACAAAAAAAAGGTAAATTCTTGGAAATTTTATGCAGCTCCTTCCCCCAAAATTCTCCAAAGTTTGGTTGTTTGTACATTTTACTTTCAATGCGTGGTCTACTCTATCAGACGAGGGGTTTTTACCATGTGTAAAACTGGCAGATGTGCAGACAGCTTCACTATTCTTGTCCCCAAGAAATTGAAATCTCCACCCTCAATGTTATTCAGCGTTGCTCCTCTGGTCTTGCACCACCCTCTCATAATATAAATGTCAATACTAGGTAAACTACTGACTGACCACTGAAGTGACAGACATATTTTCCTGCAGATCTCCTGCAGGACAACCTTCTTATGCTGCAGACACAGAGTATGTGAGCCTGACGAGGAATATCTGATTCCACACAATAACAACAAAATCTACAATGAAGTCGCAGTCCGCTGACGGGAGACTTTGCTTTCCAGTTATGAGCGCTTGCTAGCATGCTGCCTCCTGCTGTTTTTCAGAAGAATTTTTGACTGGTCATCACACTTTTGATATGCGGGTCCAGTCAGCCATATGTGGACAAAACTCAGAGAAAGTTGCCTTCACAGTTAGAGTAGACAAATGGAGACGGAAATGGAGTGATAATTGAAGATTTTAATTTCGAGGATGTTTTCCAGCTATAGAACGGCAATAGTCCATGGCTGAAGTCTCAGAAAGATGCACTTCTTGTCCACACTATAGACTTCAGTCTCATGTAAATGCTCTGTAGACCACAAGCTTTATTTGAGTCACTGGGTCTGGTGTCAACTACAAGTCTGAGATGAACCAGACAGGGAGGGACATATTTCACCAACAGTTGGCTTGTTTTCTTAAAGAAAGCAGCCCTGGTATAAAATTTGCCTGTTTCTATTTTTTAAAGGTCTTGAAACTAAATCAGAATTTAAATATATTTGGATTTGAAAGTGCGACTAAAATGCTCCCTCCTCGTTTTGCGCTTCAAAATAAGTCAAAATCTGAAGATTTTGAGACTGTAGCTCTGTTAAATGATGTTTTGCAGGCAGTTAAAAAGCATTAACTCTGATTTCAAGATGTTTAATTTCAATCATTTTCAGTTGGGGGAAGTCCAAACCACTCCCTTGATGAGGATGTACAGTTTGACATAAGCACTGTGTTTACCTCCAGTAATCGTCACAGTCGGCTGAGAGCTGTCAAGTTAAGATGTATGAGTGGGTATAGAAAGCGGACATAATTTCATGGTAAAGATGGGAAATGTTATTGCTGTTTGATTATTGAACCTTGCGGTGCAAATGCTAAAGTCTTTAGTCTGGATTAACGTTCGAGCTGGACCCAATTATTTATGTGTACTACAAAATGATGTTTTGAAATCTGTCTCCCCTTTTAAACACTGTAAACAAAGGCTATCAATCATAACCCTCGACAGCTGTAATTGCTACCAGAGATGGTGAGTCAGTTCAATCACTACTGCATTAAGACCTTATTCAGTCCCACAGAATTCAGTGCCAGTCTCCTTAATCAACAAAGTTTTAGGTTTAAGTCGATGACCCACTATTTCCATTGGTGGAAACTTTTAAACTAAATACAAACTGATTTTCTAATTGTCTCAGGTCTTCATAGTTAATTCAACTTGTGGCACTTTATGACAAAGAATTAGGCTGTCTGGACGGTAGAGGTAATTCTTGAATATCACTTTGTATGTGTTTGTTTCTCATATGAACCACAGACAAAATTTAGACAACAGTCAATCATGTTTAGTCCTCATACACTGCTTTACTCTAACTGAAGAAAGTTTTTCATTTTTGCTGTGCAGTACCTGTTTTCTGTGTAATCCAGTGTCATGATGTTCTTGTAACACCTCAGAATTTATTCCCTCTTTTTTACAGTTTGCTTACTTATATCTATGTGATATATATGTGTTGCCTTAAGTGTAAACATTAACATTATAATATATATATATAATATATGTACAACAACATTATAATGCAAACTGGTTTTCATTTTCTTTAAAATATCACACACACAGGATGCTTAGGACACAGCATGATTCAGAAAGTGAATCTGATAACTCAATTGTAATTTTGTAGTCCCCTACTCTTTGTGTATTTCTTATTTATGATTAGCCACGTTATAACCCTCTGGGCTCTTGTTATCATAGAAATGAGAAGCTGATATGTGAGTGGTTGGAGTCGAGGAGGAAGCTGAGATGCTGCTCACTGACTCCTTTCACACTAATGAATGGAGAGGCATAGATTTTATGGAGTCGAGTTGTATTGACCTGTGGCTGACATCCACTTTTTAGTTTCATAACATAATCAGCACTTGACACATGATTATAATAACCCAATACAATTTACTGCATTCTCTGCAAACACATTGATTTTTTTGAACAGCTCCCAGAACCAATTACATTAATATTGCTGCATAATTAGTTTACACATTACTAAATTACTGACAGATTAAAAGTGAAATAGCACAGTTCATACCCTACCCACATAACTGCCAGAGAGGAAATTAATATGGATTCAAAAGGTCCTCAGAGGCCTGAGCTGTAAAAGGGGAAAAAAAGCAACAATCTATAAGGCATGCTTGCATAAGGATATCCTGTCTTCAGGCTTGCCAGGTGTTGGTTTCAGCAGGGCTGCTCTGGCCCTGGCAATTAATGGCAATTAATATGGTCTTTAGTTAGATTTGCATATGAATATCGATAGGGTCTGCTCCTATGGGGTGGTTTAGAGTTCTTTTAGTTCAGAGAGTGTATGCAAAACTACTGAGGCAGCCAACGCTTACAGCCTCCATATCAGAGCCGCCACTCAAGTCTTGATAAGAGATGAGCTCATTTATAAACACTACACTACTGTTTACATCACATAAATTTACAGAGTATTAAATACCTTCATACCTGTTGATCAGTATCTTAAAGCAGTAGTAAATATGCTGTTGTATAAGAATTCTCCATAAGAAACTTGGAGGGAGTATGCTGCCTATGTAAATGTGTCCGTCTGTCTTTATAGGTCCACGCGTTCAGGGAGGAGATGTTGTTGGCTGCCACATAAGCTGCTTGATGGCACACTAACTTTTCAGCAGAAATGTATTGCTCTGACCTTTGATGTCCACATTGATCCATTGCACTGAGTGGCCATTTCCCCAGAAACAAACATATATAATTGGTATTGGGATCCAATGGTGCTCTCTCAATGTCTTGGGGATGCTTTGCAGCAATATAAATCAATTCACACTTATAGACACAATATGGATGCATTAGTGCTGACTAGTCATTTGAGGATGGCTGAGAGCTAAGAATTCAATAGACCTTGATCAGGCACGACCAATCTATCTTCATCAATCCTCAACTTCTTGTTGTGCACCAAACCCTGAGACGGTATCATAATTAATTTTATTTTAAGTCTTTTCTTTAACAGTGCCGTAGTTTTGCATCGTTATGGACGCCGTTTAAACATGCCAATGAAAAAGCAGGTGGTTGTGACTGGAAGTGAGTGCAGAATGTAAACGATGTTTGAAAAATTGCGTGCTCTTATATCACATGTATACATACTCGCACTCATTGTGATGAATATTGGACCATTACAACGGCGCTTTTTTGTTTTATGTACTTCCTCTGCCCTCCAGATTATAAGATGGTATATTGCAGAGGCATGGCATCAGCCAGAGTTTACATGCGTCAATGCCTCTGATGCTTTTCTCTGTTTACAGCCTCATAAATGACCTCTCTAAATGACACAGTAATACAAACATCGCTTAAGCAACAGATCTTTGCAAAATCTCTGAGGAGACGCTATTTAGTTGCTCATTGGATGCCAGTGCAGGAATAAAAATACATTGAAACATCTCCCTAGCTTTGAATAATACATTTACATAATTCCCCCACTTTCCTCTCAAAGATATTGATTCTTCTCATTTTCCCAACATCTCCTGAGCCCTCTGGTCTTGTTGGTTTTCATATCCATCTTTGAAGTTAGCTGAATAGACCCGCGGTAAAGATCTTAATTCTCCTTGAACTTCTTTGGCTGTGGTGCATGAGATGTGGGTTTACTGAGGAGGACTATGCCAGAATCTTTTCATCGTCTCTCACTGCTGCGGGACTTAACACCCTAGTATAACAAATGTCTCCACACAGATTGACCACATCAGGAATATAGCAGAAAGATCACTGACTTATAAAAACATACACTGTGTGTTATCTCACAAAGTCCACAGCTAAGGAAGAGTTAAGGTTATGGCAGGGGCTCGAATAAAGTCTAAATGAGAGCAGATCAGATGCCCACAGATGGCTCTGCTTTTATCAAAGAATGACTCTTTTTACGTGTTTCAGGCTTTGTCTTTCTCATGCCTCTACATGTGTCCTCTCTTTACATTGACACACTCTGTCCTTCTGTGGTCTTTAAAGTAGTCTAAAATAAAAGTCTTTTGTAGATGTTAATCTGCATTTTTACAAATTATATTTCAAACATTATGCACATAAAGTTCAATAGCAGTTTTCTTAATTGCTAACAGTGGCTTTTAAGTCTTTGTTATTTTAGAAAATGTCACTTGTTTAAACTAGGAATCCTGTGTCTGAGGTAACGATGGTTTTATTGGTCAGTGCAGAGGAGATCATGCTACAGTTGTTACCTGTCCACCATACAGCTCTGCTGTTTACTCAGCTGTAGGGCCTCTGCCTCCAGTGGAAGGGCAAAAGCAACAGGTCACTAAATATTTCATTTCCCAAGTAAAACATGCTTCCCCTCGTCAGCTGCAAAAAAGAAACAGATCACAGTGATGAATGTGCAATCAGGCTGATTAAGTCGTTATTAGTTGTCCACGAGATCCACTGAAGGAAATGAGGGCAAGAAGCAAAAATGGTTGTTTATATGTCTCGTGCTCAGAGTTATGAATGTGATTTGAGGAAGAGGCCTCCGTGAACTTTTACCTCCAGAGTTGAATTATGATTCTGACATGTCGGACTTGTTTCCGCTGTCTAGGTCATTCTTATTCAGACCTGTAGATGTAGATGTTTTTTTTTTTCCCTTGTGCACCAAACAGTAGGCTACCATGACAACACGAGTTGCACGAGTGACTCTGGTTGGTATTGAAACTGAAATGTTCACTGTGGACCCATCTGTCTGCAAACTCCCACTTCTCCTCGTTTTAAACACCTTTCTGCCAGCAGATGGTGCTGCAATCTCTTTGCACTGCATCTACAGCTGCTCTAGACAACATATGCTCTCCTGGTCTCCCACTGCCATGGACTGCACACTTTAAAAAGCCCCCCAAAAAAGTACGTCCAGCTTAGTTCCTGAGCTGAGCCAAATGTTTGTTGAAATAAGTGGAGATTTCCTGGTTTTCTTTGTGCAGGAGAAAAAAAAGAAAAAAAAGAAAAGTTTCTTCATAGGATGAGCTCCAGGAGTTCTGCAATTAGTCTTACTGGTGCTTTTGCTCTTTTTTTTCCCCTCGCTGAGCAGGAACAGACAATGTTTTCCATTCCAGTTGCCTCTGACTGTTGCAGAGAGGGCACCGGTGGGCTCAGTGTTAGAGACTGTTGTGGGACATGGTGGGTAGGATGGCCGGGCTAAATATCACAGCTAGCCCGGATGTTGGGAGGCATTTGGACGTAAGTAAGAGCGGAATTCACATTTTTGTTTGCACGGAGACAGAGCTGACAGCGAGGGGAGAGCATGCTGGATTTTAGTGTGAAGAGGTTAATAATTAAGCGTATGAGCATCTGCCAGGGTCTCCATGTTTCCAATTACAGGAATAGGTTATGTAGACTGTAGAGCTAAATTAATTCAAAATTAATAATTGTATTTTTCATTTCCAAAATAAAATTTTAATGACTTGTTTTAACTTAATTTATAAATGTTATTATCATGTTATTATTAAGTAAGAGACTTTTTTTTCTTTAAAACACCTGTGACTTGTCAAATGGATAACATTTGCTTTTCACACCATTAGGGGAGGTGTGGGCTGACCTGGAGAAGAGGTGTGTGTGTGTGTCTGTGTGTGTGTGCGTGTGTCTGTGTGTGTGCGTGTGTGTGTAGAAGGGGGAGAACCGAGAGTGGGGAGTGCAGAGGTGGGGGACCGTAGCGTGTAAGCTATTGAAAGAAGGAATGTGAGAGAGCATTATTGCCCACACTTCATGTGAATGGAAAAGGGGTTAAAGAAATGACAGTGTACAGTGGGTGGTAGGGCCTCAGCGCAGCCTGGGAGGAAATGGAATGAGAAAGTGCAGTCAGGCAGACCACTCATTCACCATGACAAATGGGAGAGGCCTCAGCCAAGGGGATACCTGATACCACACGGTGGACTGCGTGCACCTGCCTGGCTTCATGTGCACAAAAGTGCAAATAAACCTTAGCCACTTGTAGCAGCACAGCCCCATTGATGACAGAATGACATATTCCAATTACTTTATAATAAAGACATAGAAAGTACAGTTGTAAGGTGTTAATATTTTATTAATTTTAATTCACTCTTAACCAACCCTGAAATTAATATTTTATTCCAAAAAATGACATGATTGTGTATTTCTGGAAAAGGATAATAGCAGCATGAAAAGACAAACAGTTTTATTGTTGAAATGTTATGTGAGTAAATTATTTAGAAATAAGCCACTACCAAAACTCAACTTTATTTACTTTAATAAATGAGAACCAAAGAGGATTCAACCTTGAACTGCAGTTAACCAGAATAAAGCAGTACTGCAGTTTGTTACTGTGACTCATTAAAAATGAACCCACAATATTTGTCTCCAACTAATTTGAAGCGAACAGAAGTTTTGAAACATCTGATTTATTGTACTTGAAAATACAGACCACATTAGTCTAGATTCAGCTGTTGCTTTAATGGTTTTCTCCATTTTGAGGGGATTTTTTTGTAATCAAATTCTCATGTAAAACAAAGAGTGAAACGTCTTCATTATTTTTTATAACAAATGCATCAAAATAAATAGACCTTAAAGGAAAAAAAACTTTCAGATCACTGTTCCCAGAATCATGTAACATTAGCCCCTCATTGATATTTTTTTCTTAGTTATTTTATTTTCGACTCCAGCTTATTAGCCTCTCTAAAGTTTGTTAAACCTTTGTTCACATTTGACCCAGAATCATTGATACGCTCACAAAAAGCCGGTAATCGCTTAAACAGGAGGTCACAAGCTGCATGTCATGAGGTTTCTATCTAAATTAAGTCATATATCAAATTCCAGGGGCATATTAAATCTTTGAGAAGTGTTCAGAGTTGGAGGGGTTCTTCTATAATCCAATTGTATCGGCGGACAGAAGAAGAGACATGCATCAGGAGCAGAAATGTCGTTCGGTTCACATACTGGTGACACGTGGTTCAGAAAGTATACTCTTCCTGGGTGCTGCTGTCACTCCTCTCTGAGCGCCCTGAAAGGATTACTGACCTTCTCTCCTTTAGGCAGATGAGTTGTGGTTACTGGTCAGTCTCTGGAGTCAGGATGCAGTGCAGCATGCCTTCAGAACACTCTCCGTCTCTCCTCTCACATTTCAGTGTTTAGATTTTTAGATTGAGACGTGAAATGACCACATGCTGACCCCAGTCGAGCCTGGGGAGGAGAATAATATAAAGTGAGCTCCCTCCGTAGGTTTTTAGATTTACTAGTTTTAACCCTAGAAGTCTGGTAGCATTGTTTCCTAAAATGCATTAAGCAGATGAGTATCAGATTTTTACACTTAAAATAAGTTAACCCAGAGGACGTGTAAAGCACCGGTGTAGCTGGTTAACTGCAGAGAGATAACAGGCTGGGTTCTCTTCTCACAGGGTTTAATTTAAACTGCTGACTTCAACTTAGAAGTGTTCCCCCAAACATGATCAAAATCAAGTTTCTCTGAGTTTGTAGTGGTCTTTGTCTGAATAAAAGATCAAAAATAAAGATGTTCATTTTACATCAATGGAGGTAAATCTGTAGCTTGAAGTCATAACCCTCTCAGTGTTTATATTTTTAAATAATTTGATCCATTTGTTGCTTCTGTTTATTTGCTGCTGCTGCCAAACGGGAGAACAGAACTGTACAGCTCATCATTTACAGTAAATATTGCTCCTTCCCTGAGGTTGTGAAAATGTTGTGATTCTGTGTTTTCTTTTCCAGTCATTCCGTTTTGAGACAGTCTTCACCTTTGGGACCTTTGGCTGCATAACCCATAAAAACAGAACTATTTTATTTCTGAAGTTGGTTAGTGGGAGCATTTTTCAATGTATTTCTTTTGTATTTCTTGTTACTCCTGTTTGCACCATGAAAGAGTTTCCCAGCATCTTAGCAGTATCTTCCCCCTGCCAGCTCAAGACTTATCAGTAGATAGCAGTGCAGGCTCTCCTTTCTGCGTGAAGTGTACATCCGCCCCTCCTGTGTGTGCGACTGCTCTACTTTAACCACCAGCAGTAATACATGCGTTTTGGAAACTTTGGCATTGGCCTGAAACAGTTGTAGCTGGCTGTTTCCCACTATTCCTGAACAGTAAGAACTATTTACCGAATGTTTATTGCAACTGTCCTGATCCACTGTTATCGCTGCGTGGTGGTTCTGAGTATTTCCCACCATGCATGCTGGTGAGTGTGTTTTTTGATTCCCGCACATAGCATCTGGGTTAATCTCATATTAGTCAAGAAGGATCTTTCTCACAAACAGCCTTAGACTTGGTTCACAGAACCATGCTCCAAATTAATCGCACGGTGCCAGTGGATTATTCTGTATTGTATAATAAATGTAAATATTTATTTTTTAAATGATTGTGAAATCTGTCGGCGATTCTTAAAGAAGCTCTAAAGCACCTGACAAACAGCTAATGTTATGAGGTTGAGGAACATGTAATTCCCAAAATCCAGAGTTTAAATGAGTAAATTAATACAATTCTATTAACCGTCCTGATAGCCTTTATACTTTCAGTCATAAAATTTGTATAATTAATTAAAAATCTAATTAGAAATTCCCATGAGTCAGTTTATGTTGATTGAGTTAAATGCGCTCACTTGTTTTCTCTCAGGGTTGCCCATCACTGGACCTGTGCATGGCGTTTCTCTGTGTGCTTCCACTGTGCTCTGTGTATTAATGCTCTTCGGTGTGTCCTGTGCTTTGCATTATTCAGTTGCACATTCCTGTCCTCTACACACACTCAGGTTCTCGCAGTAACTGTTTTATTTCCACGCTGAAATGTATTTATTTGTCCAGGAGCAGCGGGTGGCAGAGACATCTGTTGCACTAATCCTCAGCAGATTAAACAATATGTTTTGAATTAAGATTTGACCTCGGAATAAGCCTTATCGTATTTATAAATCATAGTGAGTTAAATATGCTTTGTAAGTAGATTAGGTCATGTGGAGTCTCTCCCTCCCCCCTCTCCGACATGGGCGCAGACTCTCAGCAGTGAGGCTGAGAGATGTAATCCAGATTTATAATCCAATGATTCCTACAAGCTGTTTTGTGTTGTTAAATACTGGATATTTGTGTTTATTTAATATCAGACTCCCCCCAAAACTGCCAGTTGCTGTCTGGGTCTTGGCCATCTTGTTACTCCACTTAACTGCAGGCTGAGAAAAGGAATGATACTGAATCATACAATCTCGATGTGCTTCATGGAATCATGATAATGTTCACTGCAGTATGATGCTGAATTGTTATAGCTTTACGCGTCAAACTTCTTGGTATTTTTTAAGGGCTTATTTTCCTCGTCATTATTTAATTTTCTCATTCTACTGTATTTCTCTGACAGCCTCTCTGTATCAACTAAACTTTAATAAACATGCTGTCTTACAAATTTTAGGAAGTACTTCAAATGTTTAGCTTCTAGACACCATCTTTGAAAAACAGCACTGTGGGGGAACAACAGCGTTTAAAAACAAACTCTCTGCACTCGGGAATTTTCACGTTTTTTTAATCCTTCATATAAACTAGTGTGCTGCATTTAAACCCTCATGATTATCATAGAAAAGGCTTTTGTTTGTAGCAAGACGGTGTTGAATTTAAAATAATTCATTGAAATTTAGGACGAATCTTTTTTGTCCTTTTTACATAATTTTTTTTTAAGAATCTCTGTCTTTCTTGAATCCATTATTCATCTTAAATATACAGAGCATGGATATATTTTCCTATTCTAAGAAAGACAAGAGAGTGTGTGTGTGTGTGTCTGTGTGTGTGTGTGTGTGTGTGTGTGTGTGTGTGTGTTTCCCCTCCTGTGAATGTGTGTGTATGGTTTTGGTGGCAGGAATAAAGCTTCGTTAAAGGTTTAAACCAGCTTTTTGTATTCATTCCAGTTCAACAGGTGCTTCTGAGAATTGTGTCCTAATAAGTGTTTACTGTCATTTCTAATTTGCAGTAATTGAGTCATCATAAAGCTTAGTCTGATTCTGATTGTTGCTATTTCTGTGTAGTTTTGCAGTAAGTGGATTCTGCTTCAAACAGATATCCGCAGCACTCCTCCGACTTGCATGTCCAATATTATTAGTTGCTATGAGTTCAGCCTGTGCAAATCTGTTAATGCATAAGACCATAAGAGCTTCTTATGCTCAAAGCCAGGTCAGAGTGAAGACACATCAGATTAATATTTGATCATGCAGAAGGGCCCTTAATCAGATTTGCTTATTCCCTTAGCTGAGTGCTCTGCTGCAATTATCATAATTGTAGCGCTAAACATGCTTGTCTTTACGGCTGGCGGGTGGACGTGAGCATGTGTGGTGAGAGGGGGATTCCAGCACCAAACCCAATTAATGCACAATGGATGGTTAGGCCAGCTGAGGGAGAGGAGGAATACAGGGAAGAGATAGGGGAGGGCAGTATGCAAGGATGCTGGTCCAACCCTCCGACAGGGGCATACCTCAGGGTCGCTCGCACCTGGAGCTCCACAGGACTGGCTCTCCCTGTGCTGAGAAATCCTCCTTAGCCATGCCACCAGATTTGGCTCAGAGTAGGGGGAAGCAAAACTGCAACAGGAAAATGTCAATTTCCTTCTACGAGTACCTGTACGATCTTTTTCTCTACTCTTCTGTTTTTAACAAACTCTGAGCTCAAGATGATATCTTTTATTAAAATTATTTTTAGAAATACATCAGAAAATGTGTGAAATAGGGAGACAAATTGCAATTAGCAGTAATTTTCATCCTTTTCAATTCATCAGGAAAGTTTATTTCTTCACATTTCTTTATAGCTTGTTTGCATTTGATAAAATCATTGTGACAAAACAGAGAAACAACAACAAAAAAATTAACATAATTAAAATCGTTTTCATTTTGCTGCCAGGAAAAGAATTCCTTACGTTGCGTCACTGCACTGTTTAAAGTCCCTTCATCATTTATAGAAACGTTTTTTTAAATCAACTTTTTTCTAGTGTTTTGGTGTCATTAATGTACTTCTGTAGAAAAGCTTGCCCAGTCTTACAAAAATCAAAAGTTGAATAAAAGTAAGTGAATTCACTTCTTAACTTAAGCATGCTTATTATACCTGTCTCTTCCTGTTGTTGGCAGCTCTGGAAATGAGGGGCACACAGCTGAAAGTGTCTGGGATACACAAAAACACGAGTCAGATTTTTTTTTAATCTGTTTATTTTTAATGTTTTATTAACAGTTCCTAAATCCTACACTTCTCTCTAAGAATTAATCAAATACCTGGAACAAGTTTCATATAAAATGTCCTGAATTAAAACATTTCTGTGTGTTTGATAATGAAATACAAAAAGGAACATCATATCAAGCTGTAAATGATCGTTCAAAGCTGCTTAAAAAAACATTTTATTACCAAAATCTCAGCTTGAAACCGGGGGACTCCTTTTCCAAAGTATAAATGGAAAAATTCGAAATATAACAAAACTTAATCCCTTTAAAAGGAAGACACAGTGTAGACAAAACAGCTTTGGTACACAGAAGTAAAGCAAAAAATATATATAGAACAAAGTATAAAAAAATAATCACTCCTATTGACAATGTATTTTAAAAATAAAAATTCTCTTCAGTGTAAGGAGACAAAAATGTGCCCCATTGTCTTTCAAGGTTTCTCTCTGCTCTAAAACATTGTAGAAATCTGGCTAATCTTTCGCAGAAAATCTGCCCTCTGTCATTTTGATGGTTCTCTGATGAATATGTTTATTCACACCAGTTTGTCATAAACATGTCTATTAAATAAGTGAGTCTGTGGACCAGTAGTGTCTGCATGAAAGTCATCCATCCTGCTGGAGGCATGGCACTGCGCAAGGAAACACTAGGAGAGATGCTTCCCCATTAATCTACGCTGACTGGCTGGAAATTGCATCTTTGTAATGAGTATTAGGTGTGCATCTACATGAATTAAAGCTGAATGAGCCTCTGATTGATCACCTCTTCCCAAATGATGCTCCTTCTGTGATCATTATTGTTTAAAAGTGACTAAATCATATCGGGATGATTAAAAGTCTTCTGCTCTGAGGGGAGGGAAGATAAAGTATAGACACAGTGTCTGAGAAATTGTGCTCCAAAGCAGAGGCACTTAATATGGATTTACAGTGAGCTTTTTGAGAATTGTACAGCACACACAAACAAACCGAGTACGAGTGAAATGGACTGGAAAACAGGTAATAAATGGAAATGAAGGAAATGTTTATTAACATATCTACTTCAGTATCCAAGGTCCTGTTTAAGGGTACTCAAATTAAACCAAATCTGTTCCTCACTGTCTAGTACTATTTTCTCAAGTTCCCCCTACACTAAAATGCTAGAAAAAAATATTTCCTGTCCTGCATCCAGGCATGAGAGAGGTACATTTCACCACTCCACACTTGTTTAAGATGCCACACATTGAGCTATGACGGTATGAAGTAATTTTTCTTTTTTCTTTTCTTTTAAAAAAAAAAAAAAAAAAAAAAAAAGCCTGACCACATGAAAGGTCTGTGAGGGTACACAGAGTGCACAGGCGATGTTTGAAGTCAGGGCCAAAACGTCCAGGTGCTTTTACAGGCATTGTGGCATTTATGTGGTCTAAACTATATGTCTGGAGTCGCCTGTACAAAAGTGCTAGACATCCCTGCCAGGTATTCGCTTACTTCATAAACTACCTTCAACTGTAGGCAGCTGATTTGCTGCAGTTCAAGTCTGAGCCATAAAATTGTGATTGTTTGGACTCCCAGTTGACTGGTATCTTCAAATAAGGGCCCACACATTGAACAACTGGACAGACCACAGCGCGAGTTCAACTGTTTGCACGCAGCCATTTTTGCAGCTCCACAGTTTAAAACTTGTAATCGTGAGGGATTGTCACGGAACCTGTTATTGTTTCAGGGATAGATTGTAAGTGTGATTTTCCCGGGAGCAGTTTGGCACACGTGGGAAAAATAACAGCTTGTTTCGAAAAGGATGCAGCTTCAGAGAAAGAGCAGACCTCGTCACCTTGTATCCCGACATATTTACTGTACCTGGACACACTAATGTTCCTCTTTAATGTCTTTCTGGTAATTATACTGCCAAGCACCCTGTTGGGGTAATTATACTAAAAACACCCTCATTAGCAGCATCAAGATGTAAACCCCCAGAAGCCTCGGTATCTTTCCCCTCGTGCACCCTTGAAAGGCGAGTTATTTGGCCAACCTCACTTCATACTTAACTTTTTACTTGATGCAGTAGAGTGCAGTTTCACACCACTGTTTTTCTTATCATGGTGCATGGAATTTGTGAAAAAAAATGCGTTTTTGTTCATTCAACATAACAGATATTGTCATTCCTTTAACAGGCATAACACTTGTAGATGATGTACTAATAGCTAATAAGCTTGTGGTTATGCTTTACAGTTGTTTGGAATAAAAGATACTGGGTTTACCTATTCGGGGTTTAACAGAGGCATGCACATGTCATGAGATACACACACACATTTACAGACAAACTGGCTGGGAGGAGGAATAAACTCTTTTCAGTGATGAATCTTTATAAGTTTACATAAAAACTGCGAAAGAGAAATATATTGTAGGATAATTGCAGATTTCTTTATTTAAATACAAAGAAGGCTTAAACGTGTCAGCGCAGCCATTTAGGGAATAAATATTAGGAATAGTAAATAAAAACGCAGCGCTGAATTTTTGCTCTGCTCACACAAAATGGACATACTGCTCACCATAACAAACCAGCAAAGAAATTACAACAGTCCTGAGCCCTGTATCGTCTGGCAATTTGCTCTGCTTAAATAATTCAGAGGCTTGCCTTTTTTATGTCAGCAACTGTGTGTTTTCCAGTGACAAAGCTAGCCTCACCTAATAGTTTCACTGCGTCTGCCGTTTTATGACTGACATAGCAATAAGCAGATTGTCCGGATATTTATGCCATCTGCAGCTAGGAGAGATAATTAAAGTATATAAATTAATCAAGTGCAATTAATTAGTGGCTTTATGTTCACAGCAGTACATCTTTGCATGTATAATTTATATTTATTGATTTGTTTGGTTTCATTAGCCTATAAGATAACAGTGCAAATGCATTAGAGGGGAAAATGCACAATTAGCATGCAGTAAGGGCTGCCTGTAATTGATAGATCAGCGAGCACTCCCTGCAGATATAAAGCTGTGTAAACTGTCATAAGCAGTTACAATCGATGACTGATATTTCGCGCCATATCTCCTGCTTGATTAATGATGTTTTTGAAAGCAGCCCCCCACTTAATGGGTCCCTGATAGGCATACTGAATTTACTGTTTAATCAGGGGATAGAATTTATTATGGTCCAGAACCTGTGTCGTCGCTGGTGGAAATGTATGATTGGTCTCTGTAAGTGCTATGCTGATGTTATTTGCTCCCGTCAGCAGCCAATATGGCTGAGCATTAAGAGCTTTGTGCTTCCCAGTTGATTTTTCATTGACTGTGCTGCCATCGTTCATCACTGGCTGCTTTCCTTTAGATCTGCAGAGCAGAGAGGAAAGCAAGCCGGGAAGTCAATAGTAGCTGATGTGTTTGTAGCTTTCCAGCGTTTCCTGCAGAATTAACAGTGTTCAAACGGCACTACAAACATGATTATTTTGTGATAAAGCTTTAAATTTGGGGAATCACAGAGTTATTTTTATGCCATGGACCTGATTTGTTGTTGAATATCCTGCTGACATTCATGTACAGTTCGTGTATGTATTCATGTATGATGTCAGGGAGTAGAGTACATTTGGATCCCGTGACTCTACATGGAGAGCTGCGTTCAGAAGTCTCTCAACTTTACTCTTTCATATTCCTCTGTTATACTTGCCCCTCCCACTGACCTTGTAATGGAAACTGGAGTCATGTGAATGGGTAGCTCCTGTTTGCTGCGGCTGACATATTTTGAAGATGCTGTCACTATGTGTTGCGTCACTGATAATTCATGTGGCTGTTGCAATATAATTACCCTAAATAGGATGTGGGTTTTATGGGCACCACATGTTGCTGTTTGGGAGCAGCTTCTGTGTGTTTCGACTCTTGTTGAGGTCGACAACTTTCTCTTGTTACACTTCTTCTCCAGCCTCAGATGTGATGTTCCCTCTACGCTCAGTATTCCCAGGAGATGAGAGGCGCAGGTGTGTGGTTTTGCAGTATTAAGTTAACCAGACGTCTGTACGGTGCGGTGTACTGTATGTTGTACTGTGTGTGTGAAGGGTTGGGTACTGCAGCTGGGTGCCAGACTTCTACATTTTTTTCCCTGTGTCTGAGGCGATTTCCTCCCCTTATGTCATTGTAAATGCTTACAGAGACACCGCCCCCTCTTTAAGGTTGCAGATATGTGCTGGGGAAGAGGAAGGAGCCATTTGCCTTCTGGTGATGTGCTTAAAATTGGGTTCTTACTTTACACCTGCTGGTATATACTTTAATTTCCCATCCTTAGGGCCGCTTCCAAGATGTTGAGCTGAAGACGGACTCTAAGCAAAATTCGCTGAATGCTTACAGCCTGTACCTGTCTTTTCTGTACTTTTGTTTGAAATAAACCAAGGTTACAGACTAGGGCTGGGTAATAAACCGAAAATTAACCAATACTGAAATTTACGACAATAATCAACGTCATTTTGCCCATATCGGCATATTCGTGTCAAAAATATGAATAAATAAAAGTTGGTTTTGGATGTGTGTAGGTAGGCTATGGCCTCATGTCCCTTTAGGACGCTGTCCTATGTCATGACAGACGTGACTCCACCCCATCCAGTCTGTAACAAAGAAGGAAAGACAGGTGAGGAGATGGAGGACGGTTCAGAAGTTGGAGCGGCTGAAGTAGACAAAGTTAATGTGGGAGGAGGTGAGCAGCTTGTGGAGTAGTTATCGTCCATTTACCGTTATCAAAGTCTGCTCAATATATCAAGATATTGATTTGAGGCTATATCGCCCAGCCCTATTACAGACTGTTGATCATGATATGATTCTCCCCTCAAAAACATATTGATGTATAAGGACTATAACGATGGTCAGTTACTATGAATAATGCAAAGAAAGGTCTGTTGCCCCTGAAGAAACAGTAACAGAAACCCTGTGACCTTCCTCTCCTCCCTGTTACTCGTGCTCATACTCAGAGCTAACAGCTGGAGATGTTTGGGTCTTGCTTTCCTCTGATCCTCTCGTCTTGCCGTAGGAGCTGGTAGAGCAGTAGGCTGCCAGATAGCAGAGCCATATTGACCCTGCTGGACCTTTGTGGCTCTTAAACCCACAACAGGCTATCTGATTTCCTCCCAAAAGATCCCCAGAGAGTGAGGGCATCCATTTTTCCTAACTTGTGTATAAGTAAACTGGAGGACCTGACTGGGAGGTCAAATCAATCTCTGCTATTTATTACATAGAAATGTGACACTCTGTCTTAAATGCTCCAGTCCTGAGGGATTTAACCGTGTGTCTGCGTTATGTCTGCAGAGTGTGTGCTTGTGTGTGTGCGTGTGTGTGTGTGTGTGTGTGCGCTTACCACCGAGACGGAGAGCGCTGAGTTTTACGACCATTGTGCCAAATTGTCTTTTTCTCCGTCTTGTCTCTTGTAAACAAAGATGGGTTAATATGTCCTTTGAAGACAGTTTTATGTAAAGCTTTTAGCCCTGGTGTATGTATCATATTTACTGTAAGTACACTTCAAACACGAGGGCAGGCTAATGCAGTGAGAATGAGTAAGAATCATAGTCATGCACAGGTCAACTCTTGAACACAGAGTCTAAATATGATCAGTATCTCCTGCTAGATCAGCAGGCTTTGATGCTCGCTCAGGTTCAGTAGTCTGTATTAAGCCGTTCAGACGGTGCAGGAAAATATGACAGTGACACAGTCATTAGCCCCTAAAGGGAGGATGCAATCCTGTTTCTGTGGGAAGCAGAGCTCTGTTTACTGCGTGACAATGTGATATTGTGCGGCTCATGCTGTCTTAATTGGAAACAGTCTCACCCCACAAAAGGTGCATAAGACCCTTGATTTTGTGAGGCAATCTTCCCCCTCCCATTTCCCACCCCCCATCACCCCCCTCTCCTCCTCCTTCTCCTCCTTCTCTCTGAAGAGCAGCAAAACCCCCTGAAGCATTTCCTTAATCCTCCGGAAGATCATGCTCTCCCACTAAATATGGTACCTGTGGACAAACAATGGATTTTTCCATAATAATAAGTTGAAGATTTCATTATGAGTGGCTAATGGATGGACGGGTCCAGGCCCAAGCAGAGACACGGTGAAGCCTCCTTTTGATCAGCAGCATAGGGTTAATCCATGGTAAGAAATAATGGAGGTTTAGAGGAGGAGGGGGGAGCAGTATTGAGCTGGGCTGAATTTACAGCCGAGAGGGCTCAGTAAAAGGATGATTTTTAGAGCCTCTCGCTGCGTATTGAAGGGAAGACTGTCTGACAAGTCATCAATGAGCCCCGGCGCTGTACTAAACTAATGAAAGCTGCATTTGATCTTCTCCGAAGAGGTTCAATACCACTCCTGCTATTATTTAAGTCCTCAGCTTCACCCAAACCTGTTTTCAGATCCACAGAAATCATTAAATTGCACAGTGAAGTAAACTGTGTTTGTAAGTATCGGATGAGGAGGAAATATCTAAACTGCTTATAATGTATCCCTGCTGATTGCATCCAATAGACACTTCTCCACTTGTTTAGTGCTTGTCTGCATCTTTCTGCAGGTCCAGGTTTGGTTAATTGTTACGTCTGTTTGGTCAGAATCGTGTTATTTACAGAATATTTCCGTTTCAAATGTTGTAGGTGAGCTCAGACTGATTTATTATCCGCTCAGACTTTAAGACAGTTTGCTATCGCTTTGTTTAGTCATCTTGTGAGGTCTGATTGTGGAGTCCTTGCAGAGGCTTGAATTTAAAATGCTTATAAGGACGGTCCATGATGCTTTTGATGTAGTTTTGACCTTGGCTGTATTCGACCATTCTGGTTAAAAAGAAGTCCGACTTTCCCACATATCAAATCCTATCTGCTGCCCATCCGAACTGTTAAACTCAGCTCTCCTGTTGGTTGTATTATTTCCTCAGTGAACTTGGATAAAAATTAAGTCAGATTGTTGGATTTATAGTCAAGCTCAAATCTCACAGACCACCCTAACCGCACACAAGAGGCAAGCAGGATGAAAGATTCAGTCTGAGCCCGTGCCAAGGAACAGGGCATGCGTCATCTGCTAACATCAATGACGGGGCTGCACCGCAAGCAAAACAGCCCATCCTCGCACTTGAACTGCAGTGATTCAAGGTTATGTTAACTAAAACATGTTGAAGTAATAATATAAACACCGTGATAAACCAGCCGTTTGCAAGATCTCGGTCATAAATCTGGCCAGAGGGGGCCTGACTGAAATTTGTGATGACATCAAGTGGTTGTTAGTGTAAAAGTCTCCCATTATGCATCTGTTCTGTATCCCTCCTGTCCATCCTGGAGCAGCTTTAGTGGCATACTTTGACTGAATATTGTAAATAAATACATAAAGGGGTAATTGATTCTGTGAAATGATAACTAAATTATCTATTAAGTTGGCTCAATTAAAATATTGAAGTATTTTGTGTTAAAGAATTCCTCTAAACTTTCTTTCAAAGACGAGAAGAAAGGTTGCCTGCTTCAACATCTTCATTTTAGTCATAATCTTGACTTTTTATGGTTTCCGTCTGGATGGAGGGTTTCTTAACGATGAAACAGAGGTAAAAGTTTGGACTGTTCACATTTTATTTTGGAGAACAATAGAAGGTTAGGCAGGAAAAAAGGCTGTTTTCATTACATATTTATGGGCTATTTTCAACTTTGCCCAGACTTAAATCATCAGAGCACAATCTGGATGAACTTTTTGGAGGCACATTCTTAGTTTTGAATCAAAGTCTTGTTTTTTTTTTTGTCTGTTAAGCCTACATGCAGTCATGAAGTATCATTAAAAAGCCCTCCCTGAGTATCTCTTCAAAGGCTGGTGCTTCATTTATCTGAAGTCGTGTTTGGTAGGTGTAAGGAAGCTATAAAAATCCAGTGTAAGAAAAAGAAAGAAAGGGAAGGACAGAGGCTGGTTAAAAGGGAAGTCAGCGAGAATCACAGTGAGTTCAGGAAAGAGGGCAGTAGAGCTGGATACGGACCAGACAGAGACCGAGGGCTACAGGGGCACATAGAGTAAAGAGAGAGAGAGAGAGAGAGAGATGCATGCTAGAAGGGACAGCCCTGCTAATCCTCACATATATGTTCTCCTAATTAATCCTGATTACCACTTTTTAATCGGCCTGCTCAGGCTGCCCTGGAATAAAGTGACACTTCCTAATGAATTAAACCTGCAATTTACAATTGGTGCACTATTTTCCTCTCTGTTGTTTTTTTTTTCTCCACCTTCCATATTGGTCCCGTGTGGGAGCTCTGGGTCTGTCAGTGGCGTGTGGTCTCACTCTACACTAGTTAACTGCTAAATGCTCGGGTCACACCTGCGCCCTTTTATGGGGTCTGGCAAATCAGTGGGGTTAGTGTGAAGGGGTTGATCAGTCCAGCTGCCCCTGTTTGAGGATATGCAAGACATGCACTTCTATTGGAGAGTGGCTTTCATGCACGTGCACAGAGGTTTGAGGAACACATACATCAAAGTTTAAACAAATCATGTCCCCCTTTTAGCTCAAAACCAGCTCCTGTGTGCATTTTTGAGCTCCTGCTGAATCAAAAGGGTCTCATAAAAATGTTAAGGCTCTCTGTGCCCGGGTGAGAAAAGCAAAGTGTGATCAACCTCGACCCCTTGCTCAGTCTAGTGTCTAATCCAATGAAATGCGTTTAGGTGCAGAAAAGGTAAACAGATAGATTGCTGACCCCGCCTTTACTTCCAGGTCAGCAGCGCCCGGTAGCCAAGCGGTTTGAGACCACAACAGTAATGAACTCTGTCCCCCTGTGGTCGGGCCCTCTGCCTCCCTCATTTGAGTGGGTGCATCCCTGGGAGATGGGATCCTGTGAAACAGTGATTGTTTCCACGATTAGGTGGGAAGAGCAGGGGAGCCGTGCTTGTGGATCCCTCCCAAGGATTCGCTCCCTCAACAGAGCCGTGGCTGAAAAACAATAGCCAGCTGTCGCCCAGTGGCTGATGTGCCTTTGATCAGCCAAATGAAGGCTGCTGGCATTTCTTATGGAGTGGAGATTGCTTATCGATCTATATCAAAATATTCATGCTAATCCCGGGGCAGCGGAGACTATTTTCAAGCTGGGTTAGCAATCAGAGCTGCCGTCCTGTCTAGAGCGATTCGCTGAGCTGGGAAGTCTAATCAGCTCAGGGTCCTGCAGTCAAATGCACTTTGCTGTTTAAATTTGGACCCCTGACATTGATGGAGGAGTCCAGAGAAAGGTGTTGACAAACCAAATTGTTTGTTCCAGCACTATTTTGCTAGAGATCAAGTCCAGAGTAATGCGCAGTGAATTTGTTCATTACCAGCTTGGGTTGCAGAGGAGTGGGCCGGGATTTTAGCTGCTCCCCACTGCAGGAGGACCAGTGCTGCTGGGGGGTGGGGTAGGGGGGGCTAAATTATGAGTGTATGCATGGGTTTGTGGTGTTTGTAGCTGCTTTAGGATTTGTAGCAGTATCCTTTGTTTTCTTTTACCTTGTATTTTTATATTTTTTTTATGGGCTGTTGCTATTGTGACAATAGTTTTAAGGTAGCTACACCAGTGTGTTGCACGGTCAGCTGATGATCTCCTGGCAGTGAAACAACGCAACCTCCCCAGACTGTCTGTCTTCACCTGGGGGACAGATTGGTTTTGCACACCCTCTCAATCTGGCACCAGTTTAAGTTTCATTTTATGCATCTAACAATAAAACTACACATTTATATTAAGTGAATTTCATGAACCTAATTTATTTGACACAAAAAAGAAACAACAAAATCCACTCTCAGAAATATAAGAATTATTACCTTTTCATTTCACTGAACTGTTTGTGGCCAAAAATACATTTTACATAAGTGTGACTTTGAACGGGTTTTTGCATGTCGTCTTTGATCACAGATTATGTTTCCTTACTTCCTCTGGGGAAAAAAAGAGCCCCTCCTCTGTCCAGTGACGCAGGCCTTTCTAAATCTGTCGCCATGCTTTAATACTGTCATGCAATTATTGTGCAAAGAAATCTGTGAAGAAAAAGCGTTGCCAGAGTGGAGAGATTATCCTGCTGGAGGGTTGAAGGGCTAATGTCTTGCCATATGGCCCAGATTGTAATGTGCAGTGTCCTGCTTCGGGGTCAATCATACATCAAGTATTAGTGTCAGGTGGGGATTAATGCTTAATGTTCTCTCACCTCAGACATAGCGCACTGTACTCTACCTGGCTCTGGTTACTACCCTGACATGATGTATTTCTCATGCTAGGTAACAGATGCTTCCTTGATGACAGTTTTATGTCGGTTGTGAAAATCAAATGAGCAGAAAAGCACAAAAATAAAGAGATAATTTACTATCCTATCGATAAGAGGTGCCTAAAGTTGTTTGTTCATTTCTTTTCTATCGAGATACAGAATTGTTATCAAATTTTAGAAAACATTCGACTTTTCTCCTCCTTTCTTTTGCCTGTTAAGCAGCCCGTCACCTCTGAAAAACTCTTCCTGTTTGTGTTGCTGTTGCTGCAAAAACCAGCGATTAGTGAGATTATTGCTATTGTTGACTGATGCAGGGCCATACATTCTCGCAGAGGGTGATTTACCCCACACTTATGGCATAATGCTCGGCTTGTTCACACCGCAGCCGAGGATGTTTCTGTGAACATAATCAAGATTTATTTTTCAGTTTCCACCCTGATATTAGCTTTATATGGATTGTTATAATTCATCCAATATAAGTACGCCAAAAAGAAGCTGTTATTTGATGCGCAGTACAGCATGTTATGCATAATCGTATATTATTTGATTATTGCCGCTGTTAAAAGCATCTTAGTTTTTCCTTAGGGCATTTCTCTGTCACTTTATAAGGGATGTGTATACAGTATTTGTGTGAGATAATAATTACTATGGATCTTGCTGTTGCCTCAAATGGCCCAGCGCTCCCAGCCACTCTTTGTCACCTGGTGGAGTGTTAAGCCAAGTCCTGGCGAGGGCATTAACCTAAATGACTATATAAGTAATTAGCCTCATAATCCCTTTTTGACTGATTAGAATTGATAGGTTCTTGCTCATTTGACACGTGAGCCTCTCCGTATGAATCCTCTCAAAACTAAGTGGCAAACACAAATGTCAAGGGGGGGCCCAGACATATTGTGTCGTAATGAAACCACAAGAAACATGGTAATAGGGAGGGAGGGTTATGGGGAGGGTGCGACTTGGCAAGGTGAGATCTGTGATGTTTTTTGTGTGTCTGTGTGTTTGTGCGAGGTTCACATATGTCAGACGTGCAGGATGTAAGGTGCAGGTGTCGCCAGGCTTTGGTGCTGCCTGTCACCTTGTGAATAAACAGCAGTTGTTCGTTGGGGAAGGCGGGACTGATTCATGCGAGATTGGCAGAACATGGCAGATGGATGTACTTTTTCATATGTGTAAATAGTCACAGCTAGCTATTAACATACCTCCGTGCAGATGGCAAACTGTAATAAAGTACAGGCGATAAAACAAGCCTCCTCGTCGATGGCTGACGCCCAGCCGATGTTTGTTCATTTTTACATACAGTGCAATATGTTCTGTAGCACAAGGGCACAATAACTAGTGGGGATATTTAGGAGTGCTTGTTGTTCCTGAATAATAAACAGTTTTTGATGTTGCAGTAAAAGCAGTTTGATCTGGTTTAGCTTTAAGTTCCAGAAGTTGAAAGCTTCATTTTTTTGTTCTGACTTTATTCTTCTGCTTTAGGCCTGTTGAATTAAAAGAAAGATTTTATTCTAAATGGATATGTTCAGGATCAAACTTGATTCTCATATATTTGACTTGACTGAAACATGAATTCAGGCTCTGTTTCCTGCAGTTGTAGGAGCTGCAGCCATAACGTGAGTGGTTCTGTGTTACATTACCATTGGTTCTTCTCAGACTCCAGGATCTGCTCCTTCCTGACTTCAGAGACCCAGAAGAGGCAGAAAAACGCAGACAGACTGAACAGCAGCTGAGAACAACTGGGGCGGATGGGTAGACGGAGGTGGAGAAACAGTCAAAAGGAGAGTGTGAGCTGGAGTAAAAGAAAAAAGCGGGGGTGCATGGCGTCAGCATCCAGATGCATCACAGCCCCTTGCCGCGGAGATGTGTGTGCTTGTAGAGTGCGTGCATGCGTTTGTGGAGCCCAAGGACTTGTTGTCTGTCTGCTGCCGGTCGTGGCAGCCAGCTGTCAGGGGAGCTCAGGGAGAGAGAGAGGGGGCCAGGTGAAAGGAGGGCCAGCGGCAGACGAGGACTGGAGCCAGCGCTCGCTCACTCCAAATGAATGGTGACAAGAGCGCGAGAGCCATTGATCCACTGGTCAAAGCACCCCTAAGGCTGCAACCTAATGTGCTGAAAAAAGAAACATCAGCCCCAGTTGGGGCCCAGGGAGGGAGACAACCCACACCGGATGAAACACACCCTCATCACAACATGAAGGAGATCAATAGACAGAGCTGGTGGAGGTGCTTATTTCATACATTTACATCCATTATGGAGCATTAATCTTAGAAAGTACCACTTTGAGGAGTTTTTGGAGAACAAAGTTGGTACTCTCATTAAATGAGAGAATACAAAATCCATAACCGTAATAGTAAGCTCCCTTATTTATAATACACACTGAACTTTGCGCATGTTAAGGATAATAATTATTTAGGATTTCAATGGTTCTTATTCTGAACATGTGTCATTATTCGAAATTATGTTAGAATAAAAGTTACAGCCAACAGTAAATAATAAGGAAACCCCTACATGAAGACACACATTTTTTTTAAACACTTGAACATATATCAGCTGTTTTAATGCAAAGGCAGCTGCAGTGTAACATTTACAGTAAAATTTTATTTAGGTGATGGTATTCAGTTTTTTTTTTTTTTTTTTAAAACCTCTGATAACATTTGCCTTACACTTAACAGAGTTCATCACACATATCTCTGACTTTTAGCCATTTCCTGAGAATTTCCAGAGTTGTTGTTCTGAATAATGCCTCACAGCTACAGTACATGTGTTAAGAATTAACGAGCAAACATGTACCAAAAAAGCATGGAAGATGCAACACAGGAAGTAGCCGGAGCCAATTTGCAAACAGCGTGCAAGCATAAAACATGACATTATCTTAACCTGCTCCTATAGATCTAAATCTGATCACTACACATCAGTGCGGATAATTACCTCGCTCTGCAGAGTTCGTTTGTCGTGAGCAAAATAAAATTACATGAATTTAAAACTTGACTGAAAATGAGTTTAAAGTGAGAGCGAATGAAGATTCAGCAGCCGTTCTTTGAATATTAAGATGTGTCCTGAGTGCTTTGATATTGGTCTTACTCGGTGCGGTGACACCCGATTGGCCAGTGAAACCTGAGCCAGGTAGCAGGGCACAGGAGGGCCCTCTGTGGGCGTAGCGTTGAGCTGATTGATCGGGGATGCAGGCTGAGGGAGATGATTGATTGATTGAGGTTGGTTAGGTGACAAACAATGCAGCGCCTAGCCCATCAAGGTGCAGCCCTGTCAGTAACAATAACCCCTGATTGCCTCGGCTCCTCGCCTTTCCCCCCTCTTCTCACTCTCTCCTCTAGTGCACCTCTCCGTCTGGGAATACAAAAACAGTCGTTTGTGTACATGAGCAAACGCGCACACAGACAAATACCAACAAACAAAAAGTACTCCGGGAAAGAAAAAGTCTGAAAATGAAGACTCTGAGGGCTCAACCAAACTCTTGTAAATATTGACGACAACATCGAGCTTTGTTTTCTCCGCACCACACACCTGCATGTGTGCTCATTTCACTTCACCTTTTCTCAGCGCTCAACGTTCAAAGCAGCCAATGGCCCTGGGCCCCTCACACATATTATTCATATTACTGCCCATTCTGAAAAATTAGTCGCCAGGATATCCCTTTGAGATTGCACAGATTATCAAGCTCAACTTCAAACACTTCCCAGGTTTAGTTTAAAGCACCACACAACATCTATTATCTGTTGAACTTGGTTTTAGGGCATCAACCAGGTGGTGTTTTTGAGCCAAGAAGAAACATGGGTGTTTCAGTTTGCTTTTGATGGAGCATGGCTAATACCCCGACCAGCTATTATCTATAGATGAATCTGATAATATGAATTTCTATAACTATTTCATTAAGACCCTCACAACATCCTTTGTTTGGGATTAAACTCAGTCAAGATTTCAAGTTGCTTTTTTGCATAATGCTCCCTACATGTCTGACAGCCTGCCCTGCGGCTCTTCCGCTCTATGTGGACTACTTGGCGGGTCTGCTCTGCACATTTGGTTCATGTCCCACACATTTCCTATCTGGTGGGCATCACAGGCATTTTGCTTTAATTGCCAGGCGTTCTCTGACTGAGTGCAGCTTATTTGTATGTTTGTTTGCCTCCCTGCCTGAGCTATTGGTAATCTATTCTCTCTTCTTAGCGGGAGGAAACTGAGGCAGCCAGTGTCTGGATTCATTGAACTGGCAACAGGGTTAGTGCATTATCATGCTGGGTTAGATGTGGAGACATACTTGGCTGGCTTTTCTTGATTGCAACTAGAGACCTGATAGTTCAACTTTTCTAAGTAGTTTGGAGTTGTGCAACATTTCCATAAGATGTGGAGAGTTTGTAAAAGGTTCCCCTAATGTTCAATTGTTTGTCATTGTTGGTTATCACAGGGCTGTATGTGACAGTGATTCATACAGTATTACTCTGTAGCCGTGTTACTGAGGGATTAGGTGTTCTTATCCTTTGGAGGAAAATACATGGATAATCTGTGAGGAGATCAAGTGCACAAAAAGCTGATTTTGTCTATAATCCATCTCTGAATAACAGATCTACAAGTCAACAACACTAATTGTGGTTGTGTAACAATGTTTCCTTGTTGTGTCTTTTTGTTTTTTGTTTTTTGGCCCAAATATTGATGGGAAAAAAAGGGATTTATCTTACAAGTAGATAAGAGGTAGTACTCATCCAGCCACTGTGATAACATTGTTTATGGTAAATAATACCATGCAGGAACTTGGATGAAAGCTGTTTTTCTAAGATAAAAAAGACCTTGAGGAGAGGGACTTGGAATCAGTTCAAGAAGCAATAATATGATATTTTCTACATAAACAAAATGGGAAAAAGTCCACGTATAAAGTTCCATCATCTTATCACAGGAAGATAATAAATGTTTATACGTTAATACTGTGTCCTTGGTGTTCTTTAAAAATACACTTACTGGAATGGAAGAACATGGACAAAAATTGAAACCCTTTTCAAATAAGCTTGACAACCTTGTCTTATTTTTTTCTTTCATATTTTTCATTCCCAGTGTTGCATTTGCAGACAGAATACAGAACTGGCTTTATAAGTTGTCAATTAAAGGAAAGTGATGCTAAAATATGGCAAAGGTTCAGAAACAAAAATGACTGCATGTTATCCTGCATGGTAAGAGGGTTGTGTTTAGGGACAGGTTCCTGCAGGTTAGGCTAGAAAATTATCTTTATGGACCTTTTCCCTGATTGATCAAAAATAAAAAAATAGAAGGCCGGTGTTTTATCCATAGCAACCAGTGCAGTATTGATCCCTTAGTAAAGGCTAGAAAATGCCCCAAACACAACTCCGTTCCCAGATCATTTCACCTTGTCTAATCCAGCACAACATCCGGTAAGCTTTGCACTAAAACTTCCCCACATTGTGTGACTGTATCTGGCACAGCATGCACTGTAGATTAAGAAAAAAACATCAAGGTAACAGTAAAAACTTTCTTTTTTTAAATAAGTCTTGTCTGTGACATAATGGTGAGCATAAATCCCCGATTGTTCGATTAAGTAGTTGCAAAAATAGTCTTCTTCTTTCATACTCACATGAGTGAGGAGCAGGCTCTTGGTTTTGATTGTTACAGCAGTGAAATACAATGAGAATGTTGAGTAATCTAGTAATGCTTGAACCTCCTAAACCCAGCTGCCCTCTCTGGTTCTGTGTCACAATTAAGCAGAGACCCCGAGCAGATTGCGGCAGTATTATAGATCACAACTAAAGCATATTGCCATTAGATTAATACAGCTGCATACTGAGTCTCAGCATACCACCAGCTCTGACAAGTGTGAAATATGTTTAGTAAGTGCATAATTATGACATCTGTTACTCGCCACAGCAGCTCTTTGCACAATATTAAATGAAGAAAATTACAGGTTTAAGTACAGTAAGTGTTACTAACACTCCGATAGTGTGGTTAATTGAAATATGGCTGCGGCGTAATGAAGATTAAATTAAAACTGGAGATAATCGTCTGACACAAAGATAATTGAGTTGCAATCCGCAGGCGATGAAGAATAGCTCAGGGAGAAGAAAGAAATAATCACGGCCCTTTGCTAGAGAGGAATAAGCTTATTTCTCTGATGGGGCACATATAAATTCAGCGCTGGGATTAAAGAGTGATTAATCAAAGCAGTAATCCACAATTTGAGTGGAATCAGAATGACATATGTCTGTTTTATGTAATTTACTTTTCGGTCCTCATCCAGGGACTGCAGGCTGATTGCACTATGAGTGTAAGTGTTTGCTTTTTTTTTTTTCTCTTTCCCTCAGCCATCCTCGCTGGATGGCTTGATGGCTGATCCGATTGCAGAGGGAAACAAGAATGGCAAAATGTTTTCATTCTCCCCCTGAATTTTGCACAGGGGAGTGCTTGTACTCTCACAAACATATGGTCCCTCGTTGTGTGCCTTTGACAGTTCAAAAAGGGGTTAGAGCCTGTGGGTTGAAGTGTCTCCGTGTCATCGGTGGCACCCTGCTACATTTCCAGGCTCTGCATCCACTGGCAACACATAACGCTCAAGCATCCAAATGTAAGCCAGGCATTGACACGAACATGTACACTGCAGTCACATTTAGTTTGTCAAAATGTGTTTCATCTGATCAGTCTGGCAGTTTTCTATCACTGTGGAGCTCACATGAGTTTCTTTCCAACTTTCCACTTAGTTCAAGGAAAGAGCGATTTAGATGTTAAAGTTGTTTGATCAGACATCTCTGCGCCTCTTTTCACTGTGGTATTCATTCTTGTCATGCAGACAGTTGCTGTTATCCTCCCAGTTTTCCATAAAATGACTGTCACACTGCTCTCTCACTTGTATGGATTTTAAATAGACAAACAGGCAGGTTTGTGTTTCCTGTTAATTCTGTTTCACTTTCTTCTACATATTTGGATTTCCACAAAAAAAGTGTAGATTTCTGCCCTTAAAGAGCTGAGTTCTTGTGCAGGTTAGAGGTCATGCGTCCAGAGGCCTATTTTAGAGAGGTGAATAATTTACACTGTGCCCAGAGAAGCGGTGTAGAATTACATCAACAGGAGGACGGGATAAAAAAGGCAAATTTCCAAGGGCAAAGGGCACATGTAGGAATCATCCCTAATTAGTGGTTGCCATGGAGAACGGCTCAGTGTACAGAGTAAAATAAAGGCAGGCAGAGCAACTGACCATCAACTAAAGACGAGCACAAAGCACACATGGATCACACCATGGAGCGGTGAAGTAATTACATGGGTATGTCACGGACTGGTTTAATCCTCACATCAGCTGCACATGTTTGCAGTATTATGACTGTATTCTTCTGCATGTAGGCATTACATCTGATTCTTAGTTTGATATGTTGTTATAGGATTACTCCACTCGCATCTGTTAAGTCTATCACACACAAACGTTGAACTCACCTGTTCCCACCAGACTCCCATGTATCAGTTAGACTTCAAGTTTTTTAGGAACATCTTGAAATCATACTTAACAACAGCGGCGAGGTCATAACCCTCAAAGTCAAAATAGTTAATCCCTGGTCTGATGATAACAGCTCAACTGAAAGGGAAAAAAGATGTTATCCGCGTATCGACTGTCTGCTATTGATGTTGGTGTCATTATCTCCAGATTGGCTCTGAATTGGAACAATGGCCATTTTAAGTACCATTTCCTTTTCCTCCCAGCCTGCTGCATGTGGTACACATTAAGCAACATGCCATTAGGCTGAATATCCTCATTTCTGTCCTGATTCATGGCCTTCTTTGGACAAAAACATCATAACTTGGCAACAAATCTTACAAGTTGAAGTGTCGTCAAATAAAACTTTGATTTATGCAAGTTACAAGTTTTTGCACCATCAGCTTATTTATTGTGAGTATTCTGCAGTAAAATGCATTTTTTTTTTTTTTTTTTTTTTTTTTTACACCAATTCAACATTAAATAAATCATACTGAGAGTCATCATACAGTTTTTGGCAAAGTGACAGCAGAGCGATCGTGTCATAATTGTTCAAACCAGTTAGTTTGCTGGTAGTGTTGATAATACTCGAGCTTTAGAAACAGTATATCAGCCTGAGATACAATACAGTTGACCGGTGGAAAAACTTTGGATTGGACAACAGTCTGTAGTCCCTCCTCTTTTGGGGTTTTTATTGGCCTCCAGTAGGATTCAAGACACAAAGTGGAGGGAGCTGAGAGGTTGCAGACAGTTTGCTGCTTTGTACTCCAGCCCACTGGGTCATAGGAGGAGCCAGGAGGACAGAGGGTGTTGTTCCCAGAAGTCAACTGCAGCGAGGCGGGGCGTCAGTCGGTACACCAGCGACCTGCCTTCCCTCTGCCTTCCCAGCTGCTGGGAAAGATGGAGATACCAGCAAATCTGTGTTTGTTCAGCCACTCCACAAATATCCCCTCTCCAGATTGTGGCTGGCCGAGGAAACAGCACTTGACTGGGATTCTGAAATGATTATTGGTGGCAGTGTCCTTCTGGGGCTGCTTTTATAAATGTGCCAATAAATTTCACATGTCCAGCTTTGTTTTGCTTTCATTAGGCCTCTAATCTCCGTCCCAGGGCCAGGACCATTCTGCCATGAGTGAACTCTCTGTTTTCTCTGGAGCCAGTGATTAATGACTGGACAGCATCATTACCAACGCTCTGCTCTGGAGTTACATATCTGCCTCTGTTGACACAATGCCACAAACACTGCAGCATTACACCCATGGTGTGCGAATATATGCATTTGAATATACATAAGAATATACAGTACGTGTCTGCCTGAACAAAATGCTCTTCATGTTAAATAAAAGAAGTAAAGAAAAAAAAAAAGCTTTTTACTTACATTTCTTTCCAGGTACATCATCTATTTTGATTTAGCTTCAGATGTTATTTTATTATTTTATCAAACTGTTTGTGAATGAGCTATTTGTTCCAAGCTTTGACTTGAGCAATGACAATCAGCACACAGTTAACACCCTTGGTCTCGCCTAAGTAACTTGTGTATTCATATCTCTGCAGTCTCAAACACAGTGTATGGATCGTTAATGGACTGAAAGAATCTGACCTGCCAACAACCCCACCTTTTTTACAATGCTGGCATTGTTCATCTTTTCCTTTTAAAACTCATATGTCCGTTGCAGCCAGCTATTAACTTGACATTTACAGTACTTTTATCGACTCTGAGTGCATTGATTCATAACACTCATGTTGGTACAAATCTCCTGGGATATTAGTCACCCAATCCCTTGACGCTGTAATATCATATTTTCACCATTTGTTCTAGTCACTGCCCCAGGCTTGGAGACATATGCATAGCCAGACAAACCATAGCGCCATAAACCCCACCTTTGTGCTGCAGTATACATCCGGCTGAGCTGACTGTGAATGTGAATGTGTTTCCACATGACTAATAGATGATCCATGCTGTCTGCCAGGCCAGGTTTTGTTCTAGTCAAAGGCCAGACAGTGAGCGGTGGGAACAGAAAACCTGGGTCCTTTTCTTTTGTTTTTTTCAGCTCAAAGAAAGGCAGAGTCACCTGTAGGATGTAGTCAGCAGCTGTTCTACCTCTCAGGTCTCAACACCTTTACTGTCTTGGGAGAGATTATGCCGCCTGCAAACTGGCTGCTAATTTGGAGGTCGAGATGGGAGGATATGTTTGTCCGCCAAATTGAGCTGCTGTCCATGATGTGTCTAAAGAAACAGAATGAATACGGGGGTTTAAAGCATGAAAATATTGTTTCTTATGAAGATTTTTAGTAACATTAACTCACAACAGGACTTCAACACAGTTTGTTGCAGTTTCTAAACTGATTTGCACCTTAAATGTGACAATAATATCCAAGAAAGGGGGCCCATCTCAGCTTTGATGAATGATATTTTCTCAGCAGTGAAGCCTCCACTGTTTATTCTTCCTCTTTCTCAATGTTATTCTTTTCATACCAGGTTGAGTATTTCCCCGGCGAGTGAATAAGCCTGTCATTCCCATATTAAACACAATGCTGGTCCAATAAATGGACACCACCTGTTTAAACGGTCAGTGCCATGTAAGGGTCAAGCAGGGTCCCGTTTGATTGGCCACATCGCATGGTCGGAACACGCCGCGTGCCCTCTGTGGTAACTTTAAAAAATGTTCAGGAAGTTTGGTTCACCCTTTACGGCCTAGGACATTTCCTACTACAGGAGTTAAGCACTCAGGACAGGAAACCATTTGCTGTGGCTGTAAGATCTCTTTAATGACTGTCTAACTAGAAACAGGCTGGCCTAATTCAGTGCCTGGAGCCAGCAGAAATGGCTTTGCATCTAGACGTTGTTAGAATATTTACTGCTTCTTCGATGGGAGTCTTTTTGACACTGCTGCAATAAAATTTACAAGGAATCCCTTTTTAGCGTGATGCGAGGCAAAGTGTGGTCAAGAGGGGGAAAAACATGCTTGAAAAAAGTAGAGGGCCATTAGAGTTATCATTTATCTTTGTTTATGTGAACTGGGAACTACGGATGGCTGACATTTAAACAGCATTTGATCGGCTTTGTCCCCAGTTAGTACATGCTGCCATTGGTTGATGGTCAGCATCATCTGACTTTGCAGTATGTCACAGAGGATAACTTTAGAGCATTGTGAGATCTTAGTTTTAGTACTTGTGAAAGGGTCAGTGTTGTCCTTGCAGGGGGGGGGTAAAAAGCTGCTGATTCAAACATATTGAGCTTTCATGCCCTCTAACTTTCTCCTGACTGCTGTCAAATGTTGTTTTACTTTAAATCAAAGTCTTCCTGTTGCTAGAGCCCCGCGGCAACCACATGCTAGCATGGAGCTCAGCGTTGAACAACTTGGTAACTGTGGGAGTGGTTATGGATTAGGAGTGTTTGTGTACATGTTCATGTGTTACATGCCTATGTGGGTGTCCGTGCACCAGTGTACACAGTGTGTCAGTGCTCCCGCTGGCTGAGGAAATGAGTTGGGACCACCAGAGGTGATTGTTCATGTGCTAGCAGAGACCGCGAATGGCTTGTTCCAGTCACTGACTGACCAGGCCTGTTCTCCGACCCACCAACTATCACCCCCCCCTCAACTGCTGTTTAATAAGCCCAGGGAGTGGTAACCCCTTTTTTCTTAAGTGCCACCGTGTCTGGACAAACTGACACACTTCAGTTTCACTGCAACCCCTCCACCCTCCTTTCTCTTTCTTCCACTGTGGATTTAAACAAATGCAGTCAAACCCAATTAGGGCCGAGTGAGAGCAGCACAGGAGAGGCGCTGGTAATAGTAACTTTGTTCAGCTGGTTCCTGCTGTGACCAGCCCTCATTTAAATGAGCCGCTTGATAACCCTTAGAAATACGATCCCAGTGAGAGAGGGAAAGAGGCAGTCTCTCCACTCTCCTTGTTCCCAGTGGAGCGTCTTTTAACAGGCCTCTCACCTCGCTGTGTCGAGGGGCTCCACAGTGACACAGATGAGCCAGTTGGGACAAGGGAAGTGGCATTCATGCTCTGGAACAGCATGTTGCATTTACAATTTTTCTACTCGGGTTTCTCTAGGACCTAAACGCATCAAGATGTCTTATTTAATTGTCATATATGTTAAATTTTCAAACCAAAGAATTATGAAAAAAAAGTAAAATTAAAACTTTTACCTTTCCAAGTTGGCAGCAGTCCTTGAATGCTTAGATGCATTCAACCCGGCTCGTCTGGCGCTCTGTGGGATAAAAGAAATGTTTAGAATGACTTAAAGGTGACCTTTCTTTCCAGACACTTTCAGAGCAAACTTTGAAGTGCTCTTATCATTGCTTTTGTGTTTCTTGTCCAACGTGTTCTCCCAGACAGACAAGCTGAGATGAGTGTCAAAATACTGTTATCCACATCATTGCATGTGAGGTAATGGAACAATTGATAAGGTGCCCTGTTACCTACTGGGTAAACAACGCATCCGAAAATTCTGCCATCATTCCTCACTCACCCAAAGCTATATTTGCGCCAAGAGTGTGATTTGGTTTCTGAAGCCCAGGTGGTCTTTTATCCATCTGTTGCTGAGGCCAAAACTAAGTATTTTGAAAAATTGTTTCTAGCTTGTTTCTAGTGGAGAAGTTGTTTTTCGAGGTCTGAATCAATCCTGTTATGGATGTTTTAAATGCTGCTGTTGCTGCAAAGATTACAAAACACAAAGTGCACGAATTACAATGTGAAATGTGGAAATAAGCAAGTAAAGAAGGATATAGAGAAACATCACAGTTACTTAAATCTCATGATCACAGTGGGGCAAAACAAGGCCCAATGTTTAACCCTGAACTCAGTCATTTGTGCACAAAAAGCAGACATTTTCGGATACACAAATGGTTGTGTATTTGGGCTTGGCGAGAGGCTGGAGGGTGCTGAATCCTCTAAAGTTTGATGGGGGGAGTCAGAGGGCTATGATTTGTTCCCCAGTATGTTTCACATCTGATCGGGGGGCTCGGCTGAGGAGCTGCTGTAGGCAGATGGTCCCTTTGTTACTTTGAAAATAAAAATCCAATAAACATGGTAATTATATAAAATGCAGGACACTGTTGGCAGGATCACACATTGGGCTGATTTTTCCCCCTTTTTCTTCCTGAGAATAGCAAATACAATTTCTGAGAGCTTTTGTACCATACACACCAGCTGATTAACGCGATGGTGCCTGTCCAGCAGACAAAGTGGAGGCCCACCTGGAATTAGATATAAGGAGGAAATAGTGACACATTTGCCGCTTTGTCTATGAGGATGTTACAAGATTTCCGAGTTCTGGAGAATCAAACAAAAACAAAACAAAAAAAATCATTCTTTATTTGGCAATTAAAATAATGACACATGAATTTGACTTCATGCCAAGAACGGAGATGTTTGCTGGGACAGTTGCTTGTGAACATCCTCTCATAACTCTGATAGCAGATCAGCCAGGAGAGCCTGTTGGGCCTTTGATAGGCAGTTAATGGCCCATGAGGCATTGGGAAGAGATATCTCAGAGAATCCACAGGTTTCACCACCCTTGTTCTTTTTTTTTTTCTCTCCTGCCCTTACTGCACCAATCAAGCTGTAACACCGGGCTGTATTTCCCTTGGCACTTAAAGTGATGTGATTTACAGGACCACGAGGTTCAGGTCAGCTCCAGAAAAATGACAAACAATAAAAAGAGGCAGTTTAGCACTCTGACAGCCACAGGACAATAGTGTGTGGCTTGTGGCACGACAGAGATACATTTTAATGTCCTCAGTGTTCTTTTGTGGGGAATAAAACACGTGTCGTTGTCGGGGGGGAATGGCTGTGGTCTCTTTGTGGAATATTTCTCTGAGCACTTTATCTAGCATTAAGGATGGAGGAGGTTAAATATGTGCTTGGCAGTGTGAGGCCATACACGGCACTGTTACATTAATAACACAGATGTGGGGGTGGGCTGGGGCTGAGGGGTTACACGGTCAGGCCCTATTATACAACACACTGTGGAAGCCTTTGTAGGTGCTGGGGCCACACTTTAAGTGCCTCTTTATTTTGGCTCTCATTACACGCTCCAGTCCCTCAGCAGATACTGTTGTATGTGTGTGTGTCAGGGGCTTGAATGTAATGCAGAAGTCCCTCTGAGGAAGCCAGTGTCGCTAACCAAACATTTCCTTTTGGCCTGCCCTGTTGGGCTCAGTGAAGCCCCTCGACAGACCAGCAGCTTGTCCCGCTTGAGCCCCAGTGGATCCAGAAAACCAGATCCTGATTTATGCAGGATCTTTTATTTGGCATTGTTGTCAAACTTGATTACAATTATGTATATCAGTGTCTCTTTTGTGGCAGGGTGCTTAAACAGA